GCAAACATCAAGGAGGACGATGAGACTGAGGGGCCGCACATGGCGACTGCTCAGCACATTGTCAACATACTCGAGTCGTGCGTGGAAGAGGTCCTCCTGCTTGACCTTCGCGTCTCCACCCAGTATGCAAGGGCTCGCATAGCTGGTGCCCTCAGCCTGTGCATACCCACAACACTACTGAAACGGACTTCTTTCAACGTTCAGAAACTGGCCGAGACCTTCAAGGATGTGGAGTCGCGAGAAAAGTTTGAGCGGTGGAGGAGAAGCAAACACATCATAGTATATGACTCCAGCTCCTCGCAAATGAAAGATGCTGCCACCTGCATCAATACACTCAAGAAGTTCACGTCAGAAGGCTGGACAGGTGGCACTTACATCATCCGTGGCGGCTTCCAAGAGTTTGCAGAACGATTTCCAGCTTGGATTACCCATCAGGCCTCGAGCAGTCCTATGACATCCGCAACTGCCTCTCTACAAATCGATTCCGGTCTCCCTGCACGCGGCGAATAGTGGGTTCGCGGAGAGCGTTAGCAGCAATGGGAGTCATGGGGCTAGTCCGGCGACGGTCGAGGAGGTGGAGGATGAGACGAGGAGGGAGAGGCGGAGGAAGAAGTAGTGGTAGTATTCCTGACTCTGACTCCGCGTGCGTGCAAAGGTTGGGTGTTGGAGTGCGAGCAAGGAAGAAATAATGACTTTAATGACTTTGCGGAGTTTGAGGGGGATTTTCCCAGATGGGTGTAGGAGGTATGATTCGTTTTGAACATAAAAATTAGATACCCGGGTTTGAGATTGTCTTCTCTTCTCCATATAAAGAACACGTTTTTTTTCTCTCGGAGACTTGTACTTGAATTGTGCGGATGATGAATGGAGTGATTGAGTGTATTGCTTACAAACTTTCTGTTTGTGCGCAGTTACCTGGGATATTGCCACAAATCTTGATGCCGATCGCGCGGAACTTTGGGGAAATACTGATGTGAAAAGGGAAGTAAGTGAGCATGTATTTTTATTTTTATTTTTTGCTTTCCCAACTTCACACTAATTCGGTGCTTGACCTGACATGCACCGTCGCCGTCTCGACATGGAGTCGATGAAAAGACTTAGAAAGTTGCTGGAAAGCTGTAATGATTCATGGAAATGCTGGATTCTGGGGGGAATTGTGCTGCAGTGCGTTTAACGAGCAAAGGGAAGAAGTCGAGTTACTTGGGTAGCTATCAGGGGCTCTGTATGTTGGCGGCGCGGACTGCTCTGCGTATAGTGCGTAAGCCTGGGTGCATTTGTCACAGTCGAATGTATGGTGGCCTTTGCCCGTCTGTTTTGAGGGGTTTCTCACACACGCAAAGATGTGCGTTAATATGATGTTCACCTCCATGGAATTTATAGCACCTAGAGTGTCTTTTCCGCAAAGCTAGGAGGCATACGTGAGTTTTGTGGCTTTTGTTGTGGTCACTAGGAGATGTGTGTATTCATGCGGTATTAGTGTACGTAGCCTATAGAGTATTACGGGGGTGTTCAAAAACTTGGAAGGAGATGCGAATCCACGGCTTGAATCCACGGCTTTCCTATTCACTACTTCATACGTGGTCATATACCGGTCCACGCAGTATACACATAATTTATGATCCGTTTCGAAAGCTTGTGGGATGTGTGAGCTCTGGGCTTTTTGTGGTCTCTAGGCAATGTGCGTTCGCGTGATGGTTGTTCACGCAGTGTGCAGAGTACCTAATCTATGACTTGACTCGAAAGCTTGGGGAGATATGGAGATTTATAATGTCTTGACTGGAGATGGTCTGAGTTTGCTTATGGCCGCGTAATAGTATGTCTGCTCACTGATCAAATACCAAACGGCTTGCTGTGTGTTAGGCGCGCAGAGAGAATTGTCAAGTGCACTGAGCGACCAGTATCTCGTGCATACAGCTGCATCGATGGAACCAGTTCAGGATATCTTATCCTTGAGTGGCGAGTGTCTCTCTATTATAGCTGTGTCAATACTTCCAGTCCTGCATCCACTATCTTATCTCTCTATATAGTCTTTCCCTCCGGACCGGGGGCGCTCGTTGAGTCGTGTGTAATCCAAGGCATTCCGCTCAGTGATAGGCTGTTCTCGGGCCTGCGAGCCCTTGCCCTTTCACAACCCCTGAATATTCCCCTTCCGGCATAGGAATGAGCTGTGCGAGCTGGCGATGTACGTCATTGTGTGTTTAGGACGTTGCTGCGATATATCCCGGCGCATGCTCACGACTATCTCCCGAGTTGACCACCGCGCACCCAACAACTTGGAGCTTCCACTTAGTTGACGCGACTAACACACTTCTACTAGGACTATTACCTAGACTCTTTCTTCGTTGGACTAAATCCACGACCAGACGCTCGTCGCGTACAAGATGCCGAGCATCATCTCCGCCAACTTCGGCGCTCTGAGCGGCCTCAGCGACCTCAAGGGTAGAACGAAGAAGATCCTGAGTGACCCAGACCAGGTAAAATCACGACAGCGGACTGAAATGGTGGCGTACATCGCATGCGTGCGCAGGAGCACCGCAGTCGCTCCTCCTTCTACCGTTTACAGAAACAAGCACTTCATGCCATGCGCAGTGCTTGATACATCGACCGTGAGTACCGCCTTTTCCCACTCTGAGGTGCACATGACTAACAGAACGAAGATACAGACCAGCTCCCAGCTCCTCCGAGATGTGAAGGTTGCTTGGGACAAGGCGGCGGCCCACGCGCGTACGCAAAAGTACGTGGACGAGCTGTCAGCAACAGCCGTCAATCCCATCGACGTGAATGCGCAGTCGACACTGCCACCGGAAAACGCAAGCGAACCCGGGTCCGAGACGATTGAGACCGGCAAAGATGCAAGCTACGACAGCCAAGCGGAGACCGCCCAAAAGCTGACAGATCTTCAACAGCTGGTAGAGCAGAAGGATCGCGACTGTGAAGAGATGCACGCACAGTGTGAGCAGTCGGGCTTGGAAGTGCAAGAGTTTCGAGGGAACTACGCCATCCTCGACAAGAAGTACGAGGCGCAGCTGGCCCAGCGCGTCAATGACAAGGCGATGGTGGATGAGGCTCAGCAGCACTGTGACGCTGTGGACGAAAACTACGCTAAGTTGGAGGCGAAGTTCGATGCCATCAAGAACGGGCACGGCCAGACCATCAAGCAGTTGCAAGCACAGCTGAAGATGAATGACCAGGAGAAGGCAAAGCTGCAAGATAGCCACCGGTGCGCGATTGCAGTTCTCCAGGACTCCCACAAGAAGGACCTAGCTAAGAAGACAGTTGAGGTCAAGCGGGCTTTAAGTCTTTTCACCTTGAAGCAAGAAGCGCTTGAATCCACAAGGCGAGAACTCCTTCGCGTCGCAGAGGTTGCAGACAGCAACCGCAAGGCTTGGGCACAGGAAAAGCAGGACTTTGAGTTCCGCGCAGAAGTGTCGGACGCCAGTGCGCTCGACACCATCGGAGCGAATGAGAGCGAGATCATGAGGCTCACGGAACGCAATCGCATTCTGGAGGACGAGGTCCAGTTGCTCTCCTTCCCGGAACGTGGTCACTCCAAAGAGGTCCTTTATGCCATCACCAATTCTGCTGCCATCAGAAAGGAGATCACAGAGGAGCGACGGGAGTTGATGGTCGTCAAAGAGAAACTCGAAAACACTCTCGAGTCCATCCACACAGATAGGGAGATTTTTGAAGCCGACCAGAAGAAAGAGACGGAGGCCCGCGTCCATGCACACGAACTTAAGCGACAAGTCGATACGCTCCAGCAAAAGCTTGTTTTGCGCGAAGATGCGATTCGAGGCATGGAGCTGCGCAAGGTTCCAAGCGACTTGGATCGGAAAGACGTGTTAGGCTCCAACCTTGGCATGATGGTGTTTGTTGAGAACGACAGCCTCCAAACCCAGCTCAAAGGGTTGGAACAAGAGAAGCAGGAAGTACAGACAAAGTACAACAAGCTCGACGATGAAAATCTTGACCTGTTGATCCGGATTAGCGACATCGAGAAGCTGGCCAACGATGACAAGACCGAACTCGAGGTGCTTCGCGCCTACAAAGCGTTCGCGGAGAAAGAGCTTGAAGTCGTCCCAGGAGGATCCGCCGTTTCCAAGGATTCTGACGAGCTACGCCGATACCTGCGAGACACCACAGGTCAGATCCAACTCCTCAGCCAGCAAGCGATTGAGATGGGAGCCGAGCTGGATGAAAAGCGGGAGTGCATCACGAGGGTCGAAGACGAAGCCGACACAAAGTGCAGGAAGTTCGCAGACGAGACTGACTTCTGGACCGGCCTTTACTTTGACGAGGCAGTACCCCACGTCGAGCGCTTGTACGGAGAGATCAAAGCTCTCAACATCGAGCTCGGTAGACACGTTGAGCCAAAGGAGAGGCTCGTACGCAACAAGCGCTTCGAAGAGAGGGCCGTACTACGGAACGCATGCAAATACACCATGAAGGGTGTCGACACTGCCAAGATCCCAGCCGAGTACTACGAGCCTGGCTTCGTTCCTGGAGTTGTTGCTGCTACGTATGATGCGATGCGCTTCCTCCGACCTCGCGGCTGGATTCCGTTGTACAACAGGGACAAAGTCTACTATCAGCCGATGTACAAGCCATTCACCGAGGAGGATGCGGCGGCTCGGTTGGAGGCGCAGCAGCATAAGGAGAAGGAGAAGCAAGACCGCGTAGCTCAGGAGATGCTCGGCGCGATTATTGGTATGTACCCCTGGTCTTCGTGTTCAATAAATGATGCTAACATCTCCTCAGCCCGTAAAAACAAGCCGACACAAGACCGTCCCACGCCTCTTTGTGAAGTCGCTCCAAGCAGCAGACTTGTGACACGACAGGTTCTCAATCGCCCCGTTATGAACAAGCCTGTCACAGGGACTGCCTTCTCTGTCATGAAGCGCCCGAACATGCAGGTGAACGAGGGTCGATATGTGGAGCAGCCACCTTCGACTCCAGCCTATGCTGTGAACGGACCACCTTGGAAGCCTCGATACGCCGACTTCCAGGGCATGACGGAGGAAGACTGTAAAGAGATGGATCCGGAGGTGAAGCAGCACTTCGTTGACGGCTATCTCAAGGGCAGGAGGGCATAGGCGGATGACGATGATGATGAGAAGATAGGATGAGTGTGACGAATTGAACCGGGACTTGATCGAGACTTCCAAGGTTACGTCAAAGACGACAAAGTCTATCAAAGTGGGACATACTATGCTGTTATGGCACTCGCATGATACATGATCTACACAATCTATGCTGAATAAACACACTGCAATCTTTATTGTAGATATTTCTTACGCGGATATCGCTAAACTATGCAATCAAACCATGCACAAGACGATGAAGTTACTCAAAGTCTAACTGAGAACAGCAACGCGCAAGGCAGCAGAAGCAATGATGGCCAAGCTACTGCGCAAAGCTCAAATATTGCATGCCAGAGCTTTGAAGAGAACGGAAACAGCGACTAATTGTATGGCGCAGCTAAAATGTGACAGGCAGCATCCATCCTGTCATCGATGTACAAAGCGACTCGTTGCTTGTAATTATTCAGCCCCGCAGGATCGCAAGCAAATTGCCGCCAGACGAAGAGCCGCTCGCCGTCTTCAAGGCGAGACGACTGACTTACCTGGGAACAGCTATACCGACCTATCTGCTTCCATTTGCGAAAGCCCTAGCGTATCCACTGGTACGAGAAGAGAAGCGATGAGAGCGCCAGTTGACGGTTTTACCCCAGCAACGCTGAGAACAGACAACAATCCATGTTTCTCAACATCTCACATTGCTCGTTTGCTATCTCAGGCCATTGGGTTCATGCTTCTTGAAGTATATTTCGAACGGATCTATAATGCTAATTTGTTGTTCGACAAAGCCGCTTTCTTTTGCTTACATATAAATAACAAAGTGCTAGACTAAATTTTACGGGTGATTCTAGCGCTAGCTACACTGTAGGTTGCTGTTTGTTCGTTCTGTGTCTCGTTAATCACTAATCCTAACTCCCTGAAAGATTGACGCAATTAGCTAGTAACATACATCCTCTTTTATGCTTATGATCCCGAAAGGTATATTGGTTATTGGGAATGGGGAGTCATCGCTGTTGGGTATAGGGTGTGTGAAGAAAGCGCCCATCGTAGCATGTGAATCAATGTACTTGGAACATGTTTAAAATAAAAATTCGGTCCGAACTTGCAACTGGTAAAACCGAATACTTCGGTCCTTGGACCACACACTAGTCCTATCAGTCCGACCTACGTCAATGCGGTCGTGCTTACCGTAAAGCTGACCGCGAACAAAAAGCTGAGCTACTCGCGCACATTGGACCTTTACATTTCAGTTCAAGACCGTTCATTTTCGCCAACTCGGCTTAGCACTTGCGCAATATGACTTCAAACTCATCATACAGCACTTCTTCCGTCTCCTGTCTGACAACTTTGGGGAAACTCTCTTCGTTATCTTTTGCGCGCTGAGCTTTTAATGCGAGTCTCATCTGCGCCATAAAGTCATTGCTGGTGTTTGAGGTGATGTCTGTACCGAGACAGGAACGACAGCCATTGTCGGCAGCGCGGAACGCGACTGGATGGCCAATTCTCATATAGAGCTCGGTGTCGGGCGTTGCTACAATGCTTGCACCGCTTTCTTTGATAGCTGCAAATTCGCCTTCAGTTGAGTTTGCGCCGTGACTGAACACGATATCGGGCCCGAGTAGGTTATCGTTTGCCAGATCTTGCACAATGAATTGGTGACGCATATCGTAGTGACCCATAGCAACATGGTAGGTAGTAACTCTGGCGCCTATCGCGCGTCATATTTTCAGCTCTTCTTTGATGTCTTCCATTGCAGTTGATCCCAACTCATTAGGTGCGATACCAAATGTAAGCAATAACGTCTTGGTATTGTTGTCGGGGAAATGCTTCCTCAACACACGGGCAGCATCCCGCTGGCGTAGCTCTTGAGTGAAGTCTTCGAAAAGTTCTCCACTTGGGTGTTCTGGCATTGGAGGGTTGGGATAGAAGCCATAACAAAAGGTCCCTCTGATGCCAGAGTCCTTGAGACCTCTTATAGCTGCATCTGCGAGGGATGGTGTGTTGAAGATATGGCAGTGATCAAGAACCGTGGTGATACCATTGCTAAGTAGGCTGAGTCCATCAGCGTACTGAGCGATGTATACGTCCTCGGCGGTGGATAAGCTCCCATATCTAGTGCGCATATTAATGAGATAATCAAGCAGTGACAAGTCAGTCGCTATAGAAAGAAGGAATTGTTGCCACATGTGATGATGGCCATCCACAAATCCAAGAGGGATAATACTGTCTCTACAGTCGATGGTCTTGCAGTCGCCATCTTCAGGAATGGAAAGTTTCAGTCCCACGGCCGCAATCGTATCTTCCTTGATCAGATTGTCGCAATTAGAGACATTGCCTATGGCCTGATCCATAGACAGTATCGTGGCGTGCTTTATGAGAATACACTTTGGGTTTGCCATGCTGGAAGCCTATATGGAGGTCCGAATATTCCAAATACTGAATCTATGGATAGTACTGCTTTAGGTACCGAGCCAGATGCAGTAGGTGGGCAGCAACTTACACTATTTATTCAGTACCGACAATTCTAGTTTCGGTCCGTTTCGACATTGCGACTCTCTCGCGGAGATAGTCGCCCAGGCAATTCGTTGCTCCAGAAACTATCGGCACCTAGGTCTGTTAGTTCAGTACGGGAATTTCCTGTAGCGGTAGCCTGAGATCATTTCAATTGCGTAATGTGTAAATTCGAGTTTCTGCATAACAGTTAGTGCGCTCATGAACGTCCTGAGACTCATGCATTCAGTCTGATTTCCAAAATCCAACCACGTTCGTATAGAAAGCTTTGAGCGTACCTAATCCCAGCTCATCGCAACTTCGATGGAGCTCCAATATACATTCGTAAGCATTTAGTACATCGCGGCCCTGTAATGTTGGCCAAACACATGCGTCAACGGGCTTGAATAGAGAAGAGCATGTCGAATTTTTCTAGTGGTATTTTTTACATTGTGTTATGCTATGAGTGCACCATGTTGATAGATGAGCATTTGCTGGGTCATCTACCTTCACCTACGTCGGCACCGTCCGTGCTCACCCGCCCGTTTGCCCACAACACTAGCGCAGCGACTCAACAAGCGCTTCGAAGTCCATCGACTCTAACTCTGCAGCTCTACCTCACCACAGTCTTATACCTCGGGTCTTCCGCGTGCGCGACCGATCGTCACCATGGCCGCTGAATACTTCCGATTCATGGACTTGCCTGCCGAATTGAGGCTCATGGTCTACGAGTTCATACCGGGTAACGACTGCGCTGTAACTCTGTCACGCAAACACTTTCTAATGCGGGTTCGCGATAGTCACCACACGCCATTGCACCGTCTACGGCAAGCCTCCCGACGCCAAATCACCCACTCAAGTTGTGCTTGTCACCAAGTCGCTCTCATCCTCTATCCTTTTGGCCAGTCATGCGATTTACAACGAAGCAAGCCCGGTCTTCGCAGTCAAGCTGGAGACACTGCGGACAGAGCCTACTCGCTTCCTACTTCATGCCGGCGCAGTGTTTTTCTTCACAGAATTGCTGGACATCCTTGCCTGTGTAGGTCCTACTAAGTACACAAGGACGCTAAAAGAACTCAAGAATGATTTTGAGATGGATGTCATTCAAAGCCACCGATTTCTCAAAAAAGCCTCATCGCTCCTATATCGATCTGCATCACAAGGATACGGCCCCAATATCGCTCTCGTGGTTGAGCACAGACTGCGTCCCGGTCTTTATCTCGAAACGGAAATGCGACGTATTATCTGGGGGATCGACTATTATTGCCGCAAGAACTTCCATGGCAAAGGTCGCCTTGATATTCTCATTTCCACAGGCGGTAACATAACCTTGCACCACGATTTTCCAGCACTCAACGACCTCGTAGATTGGTGTAGTGAAGGGCTCGAAGTCGACATGCAAGCTGGCCTGCTGGAAGACCAAGAATGGGCTGAAAGTTGGCAAGAGGATGAGAAAACCTGACGACATTACGAGCCAGGGAGATGACTGTGGAATGGAGTTCTGGGCATCATCGGACGGGAGTAATGATGAAATAGGCATCAGAGTCGTGTATGAGCACTGTCGGCCTCAGGGATATAAACAGCATCATCCCACATAGAGTATTCCCCCGTCTAGCTCGGTCTAGCTTTGCCTCCCACAGTAGTCAAACCGAGATCCACATATTTCAGGCATTGAAATGGCCTAATTTGACATTCAGAATTCCTGACCTCGTTTTGGCTTGTCGCTCGCTCCATATAAAAAATTCGTTTAACAATGATCTGATCCTAGACTCGCACTTTGCCAAGCATATGGCGGAATAAACACGCACATGAGCACACGAAAAACTAAGACACTCGATCAGGATGAGGTTTAATAACTTTACTGATTCTGTTGGGTACGTTGTGGTACTTTCGTAGCACATGAGGCACGAAAAAGCTAGTCTCGTAGTGTCCTTTGATAGCACGGAAGGACATTTGCAAATGCGGCTATTGCAAATACGTCTTCGAAACACATCAGATATTCTGGTACACGAACTGGTACCGGTAATGAGATTCTGGTCGCTCTATCAGATCATGTGATATGCAGAGCTCTGATCGACACCAAGGAAGCAGATTCTGAGTCAAGAATTGAACATCTCATCGTAGCCTGTGTTGGCGGAGGAGCAGGCTTCCGACAAAAGCAGTGAGAGCGCAAGCCAATGATAGCACTGTATTGATTAGTGTCTTGTAATTATGCGTCTTTGTGACCTTACCATGCGTCCATGTCAGTGCGTCGACATACGATCCTTTCACCGCCTTGGCAACTTGCGGAGTTGCCCTGTCAACATAGTGAACATCCGAGACAGCTTTTTCAATAATTCTTGACCTCATCTTGTCTTCATACCCTAGCTCTTCTAGTCGCCGACCAAGTCCTTGCCGAAGTGTTCCCTGTAGCACGGCGCTGGCAACTGCCAGCCCTGCAACATTACCCGTAGGCTGCGTCAAGTATAGTACAGAAGCTGCAATCGCCGAATATTCAGGAGCAATACCAGCTTGAATACTGATGAATAAAGCAGACTGCATGATACCCATAGCAAAACCGCAAGGAAAGATATACAGAGACTCAAGCCAGTTTGTGTCTCCGTGCCAGCGCAAGACCAGTAAGAAGAAGCCAATTGATGCTGATATCGAAGCCACGACGGCAAGAGCTTTGTAACGTCCAGTACGTTGGATAATGCGCCCCGAAAGGATGCCAGCTATCGCATTACCGACGACAGCAGGAATTAGGTGCGCTCCGGCCACAGTGTTGGAGACATTGGATGTAATCTGGAAGTAGAGTGGTACTGCAAACATGAGAGTAGTTTGCGCAGCACACTGGCAGAGCATGATGGAGCCAGATGTTATTACGTCTCGATGCCGTAGTAGATGGACCGGGACGATTGGTTCTTTCGCTACCCAGGCTTCAATTACCAGAAAAAGTGTGCCGAAGATAGCAGCGCCCCCAAATAAAGCGAAGATTATAGGGGAAGACCATGCAACGCGTTCACCACCAATCTCAAGCGGTAAAAGTAGTCCAAGCAAGCTGAGCGTCATACAGATCGCCCCCATGAAGTCAATGCGTGCAAACTTGCTACGTTTCAAGTCATCTTTGAGGTCTTCCGGAGTATGAGCAGGAAGCGTCAAGGCGATTAGCAGTATTGCCATGCCTGCGATCGGGGCTTGGCCCAAGAATGACCATCTCCAGCCGACAGTATCAGCCAGCCAGCCGCCCAGAGGCCCACCGATACTTCGACCTGTTGTCGCTGCGATATTGACATATGATCTCCATGTCGCCACGTCCCGCAACGGCACTAGGTCTGTGATGAGAATGGAGACAAGGCTTGTCATACCACTCGAGCCCAATCCAGAAATAACCCGCCCAAAGATCAAGGCAGGCATTGACTGACCGGCCCCAACCATCACTAGGCCGATGCCGAAGAGAGTGTAAGCCAACATGAGCATGGATTTGCGACCATATATATCGCTCAACTTCCCGTACAAAGGCTGTGAGACCGCTTGCGCGAGAGCAAAGCTGGCTATGAGCCACGTTGAGTCATGCAGCGCATTGAACTCAGAGGCGATGATGGGATGAGTCGCGAATAGCAAGGAGCCATCAGCGCTGGAGATGAAGCTTCCGATCAGCAGGACGGACACAATTCGGCCGACAGAAGCGGGCAATTTGCTCACGACGGCGGTTGTGGATGTGCAAACCCTTGCATCTTCGCCATCAAAGCTCCCATCCTGAGTTGAGCTGGTATCATTGTCGATGAGAGGATTTTGAGCATCATCTGCTGAGTCGAGGCAGCGTCCAGGTGGAGTGTTGGTGGGCCGAGGTAGAAGCGGGGTGGTTGCGTCTGACAAAACCATCGTTCAATGATTGAAGCACTGATCTTTGCGATCAAACTTTTGTTTTCAATGGAATAGAGACGTGTGAAGTCGTGGTGATCACTGGATGACACGAGGTGCAAGATCAGACGGTTCGGGGTAAGTTTGCGCATTTGAGTCATCACGGCAAGGAAAGAGATCCACCATATGTGTGACAGATAGCACGATACAACAGGTGGACGAGATACCAAACACATGATGATTTGACAAAACTTTGATGGCAAATGTGAAACTCGAGATCATGTAAAAATTAAGCAGCCCCCACAAATCAAATCTACCTTGCACGAAAGATACAGCATCTTGTCAACATAGCTTCATAGCTAAGAGATTCAAGATGACGCAGCGCAAATCCTAGCGCTGTGTCTGAAAGCTCCATTTAGTACAAAAGCGGTCCAGTTAAGCTGTCCGACTTCAATATTATGAGCTCAAATCCATCGTTGATATAGTTACATTTGGAAGACCACCGACTAGTCTTCACAACTCAATTGCATGCAATTGCAGATGATCGTAAGGCTATTTGAAGCGAGCAAGTCACCTAGTCACGGAATCGCTCTTTCAATCGTACGATGGGCCCTTTTCGGTTTGACACGAAGGAATCGTAGGTCTGGTACTGGTCCTCGTTTCGACGACCCCATTCTCCGTCAGCGCGACCACCTCCGAGTTTGTTGTCTGGCTCCTGCATAATCTCATACTTCCAGATCGCCTTCGTCAGGACCAGCCTCATCTCTAGCCAGGCCACATTCTTACCAGGACAGCCTCTCGGACCCATTGAGAAGGGGCAAGCTGCGCTGTCAGCCAACTTGACGCTTTCTTCGGTTGATCCTGCTTCGCCTACAATCCAGCGCTCGGGCAGAAACTTTGTGGGCTCAGGGTAGTAGTCTGTATTGTAGTGCAAAGACCACGATGTGCTAGCGACCATGGAACCTTCCGGAAGATAATGTCCATCAATAGTCGTACCCCCAGCAAGAACTTGGCGATGCAGATCCGCGGCAATGGGTGTCGACATGCGCAAAGCTTCGTGCAGAACAGCAGTGAGGTATGCGCAAGATTGGAGCGCGGCTCCAGATCTAATGTCGTCGTAGCTCGGGAACGCGCGTTCGATCTCCTTCGCGAGCCGTTCCTGTACATGCGGATTGCGACAGAGATAGAAGAAGAGTGCGGATAGAACGGTGGCGGTGGTATCTGATCCCGCAACGGTCAGGACCTCGCATTCGGCATTCAGCTCTGTAAGAGTGTATCCTTCTCCCGTATCTGGGTCTTTTGCCTCGAATAGCCAGTGGAAAAAATCCTTGCGAATCTCGGAATGTGCCATACGTTTCGACTCATACTGCTTTTGAGCGCGTTCCTTTTGACAATTCGCCACAAAAGCATCCCAAGCCTTGATTTTGGCCGGGGTCACAAATGCCAGAATTCTGTCGAGGCCTCTTGGCTTGAGCCAGATCCACAGGGAACCTAAAGGTGACCAGATGATCTGGATAGATTAGGTAGGTGGACGACTTCAGAATCGCACAAAAGACCTACAGGATTCCCAGTTTCGATGTATGCGACCATCATGTCAATGACGTGTCGAAGGTTGTTGCCGGGTTCTTTCATGTCGAAACACCGACCAAAACAAAGGTCACCCAAAATGTCGAAGACGAGATAGCTAACTTGGTCCGCCATATCAATCGATTCAGTCCAAATCTGACCTACAGTCTTGTGCTGACCCAGCAAAATAAGCCATCGATCAATGTTGCTGTGTATGAAAGGCTCCGCGCTGCGTAGAGCCGCTTCGGAGAAGGCGTGGTTCAGCACGCGACGTTTCCGGGCATGAGCTTTGATGGACGTGGTGTTCCACGTGTTCTGGGCGTCTACTGTACGGTGCCAGAACTTGTACGAATCGCCTTTTCGGACATTGCCACGCGGACCGTAGATGTCGCGATATGCGTTTGGAGTATTGACGCAAACACTGTCAGGCCGATGGCGAAAGGCGACACCTTCGCTTGTTAAAATTCCATGGTATCAGTGCCTTGATTGTCCTCGCTTACCATACTCCTCTTGCAGTTTTAGCAACCATAGATGTCTGCTCTGATTTCTTGTTTGCCACCAAGACGGGATCGTCGAAACCTTGGCCCAGAAAGGTCCTGGAAATTTGGCCAATGGGTGGAAATACAGTCTGTAGATGACAGTGCTGGTGACATATGTGACCAGGATGGAGAGCGTAATCGCAATAAGATCAGATCGCCAGAGTATTGTAGCCATCGCTGCAGTAGGCATGTCTTCAAAGTGGGTTGTCGAGGTGCGCGGGGAAGACTCCATTAAATAATCGTGTCAGCGACATACCGATCATCTGTTTCTCTATCCCTGTTAGAACTATGTGAAGTGGGTGAGGACTACCGATCAGGTTAGCGGTGCATATGTAAAAGACGAGTGCGCATAATCCATGCTTGGATGATTGGTCTGTTAGTAACACAATCGTCCGTCAGCGAGTTGTTCCGTGACTTGATCGGCCAACGGTCCAATAACCAATACTCTATCCTTTCCATTTACCTCTGTTTGCCAAAACACGCATCATTACCTAGCGCTCGGCTTCCAGGAAGCGGGCTTGCCTAGATACGTGCCTTGGCACTTCGCTTTGCTAGAACAAGGAACCGCGGTCCTTGATCTCGCTACGACTTGCAATAACCGTTGCGACTTCTCCGTATCAGTCGTACCAATGAAGTAAGAGCCTCTGATGGATCAACAATGACTACATTTAGAGTTCGACATCGAGAATGCTGCACCCTCTGTCCATCCCATCACCCGATCATCAGCATAACCAATAGGCATACCTTCGCTCGTGTATGTCAACCGCAGTTATGCATTCTTGCATCGTTTACATCCTTCTCCTCCTATCTTCTCTTCCTAGTGCACTCAGTGTGCCACACCTCGGATCGGTCAATTTCACAGACAAACGCATCGCATGCCAGCAATCAGGCACCTTTCACAAGTTCATCTTTTTCAGCGCCGCCAACGATACGGCCTTCCATTACGGCATCAAGACTGGCTACACCGAGTACTATCCTGGAGCTCTAGAGAGCGCCCTCAAGTTGGACGATTTCCATCTCCTCTGGCGGGACGATGCCAATGCATGTGGCTGGCAGCAAGCGCGGAATGTGCGCCATTCAGGATCAATTCCAATGCTCGGGAAGAATCGCGGTGAGATCTACTGGAAGTACGCAGATGTCACTTGGGTGTCGCCCAAGAACAGCAAGCTGGCCGACCACTGGAAATTCGACTCAGCAGACCACAAACCGCCTCATGTGGGCGCCCTGCCACCGAATGCAACGCTTGACAAAATCACCAATGTCCTGCGAGATAATGAGCCAGCGGCGGACGTCTACCAACTCACCACAATCTGTCTCGGCTACCTTTCTGGGTTCCTCGGTGTACTCGTCATCCTGAGCATTGCTCTTCGATACATCGACAACATGGACTACGGAGAGTCCGACGACGTTGAGCTTCCAGTGATCAAGACCAACAGCCTCGACAAGCCTCTACCAGCATCGGCTTCCACAGACACGATTGCGACATCCACTTGCTCGGGTGATGATGCTCGTGGAGCCGATGCAAGTGGACACTCTACACCACCGCCGCGGTACTCGCAGAGCGGCGTATCTGAGCACATTCGCGGTGGAAGTGCTATATCTCGACTGAGGGAGGCCTACGGCATCGATGCTCGCCATCAAGAGCGCACCAGCGGCTATTAGTGCATTGGTATGGCGACACCTCCTGGAGGTATAATGTTGTGGTCTTTCTGGCGTCGCGATCCTTTCCTGGCTCTACTTATCGGGAGCTGCAATGTTTCTTGTCTTTCTTCAAAGTTGTGCCTCTCGGAGGAAGCTTGTGTTGATGAGGCTGAACGCGTTTTCTGCTATTGTCCGGCAGCATGTTCTATAGGCGGTGTCTGCCTGGTCCGAGTTGCATCGCCTCGTTTGTATTATTCCTTTCCTTCTCCTTTTGATAGCTCGTTCATAATGCGATGATTTTCTTATCACGCGCCGGAGAAGTTATGATGATCCTTACCTCGCGACACGCATAAACGCATCCGATGAAGAAACCTAATCCCATCTAGGCCTAGCCTAAGCTGATATGACCATTTTCTCCAGCCACCAGCACTTCCATCACAATGCCATTGAAGGTTGGTTAAGATTGCATAAAATGAAAGCTTTGCTACCCACCCACGATGTCGATGTTCCCCGAACGCGCTCCAGGGCGCGATCAGGCCTGCGTTGGCTCGCATGCTTATCTGCCAGTGCGGTCCTTTTGCTATGGGTATGCTCCCACTGTACACCTGCACAATTTCTTCGATTGAACTAAACGCAAGATACCGCAGAACTTTTCAAGCATACAAAAAAATGGCTTGACCGTCTTGAATTTGAAGCAACAACAATTCCGCCAATGCTCAATTGACGCTTATCTCGCCACTGGCCTTCCATTCCTCGACACAGCCGAGAGACCGCCATTGGATGAATATGTTCTTCGGCGCAACAACCTTGCCAAAGCTCTAGTCGCGGAAGGCGTAGATGCATTCGTCGTTGAACCAGGATATACGTTCAGCTACTACGCCAACATCACGCAGCCGCAATGGGAGTCATGGGAGCCCGAGGAGCGTCCGTTTCTCATGGTCGTCCGACCCGAAAAGTCAGCAAACGGCGAAATCGTCGCGAACACGTCTTTCCTGGTCCCGCATTTCGAGGAAGAACGCGCAAGATTGCTGAACATGCCTTTTGAAGAAGAAATCCAGACTATCACGTATGAAGAGCAGGATGACTACTATGCTACGCTGTATACAGCTGAGATATGGGGCGAGATCTTGTCGCCGAAAGTCATGGTCGACGAGGAGATTCGCGACTTCATTCAGCGCGGGCTTGGTTCTACTGGATTTACTGTTTATGGACTTCGCGGCGAGGTCGAAGCAGTACGACAAGTCAAGACGGAGCGCGAGGTCGAGATTCTACGAGCGGTTAATACTGGTACGGTAGAAGCCATGCGGGCTATGCGGCCCTGCGTGTATCCTGGCGTGACAGAGAACGAGGTACGAGATGTCCTGGACGACACGTTGCGAGCGGCAGGTTTCGAGCCGTTCTTCGACATTGTTGAGTTTGGAATGTCAGCGGCTTTGCCTCATGGGGGTTACGATGGGACTAGGAAGCTTGAAGCTGGGATGCTGATACTTATTGATGTCGGAGCGCATCTTTTTGGGTATAGCAGCGATGTCACGAGGACGTTCTATCCTTTATTTCACAGCCGCCCGCAACATGATAACAAAGAGCACATCGAGGTCTGGCAGCTTGTGCAGGATGCGCAAGCTGCGGCTATAAAAGCTATGATGCCGAACAACACGGCTGCATCGGTGGACATTGCTGCTCGAAAGGTTATTGAGGAAGGTGGATACGGAGAGTATTTCACTCATCGCCTGGGCCATGGCATTGGCATCAAAGCGCATGAAAGCCCGTATCTGAACCAAGGAAACTTTGGGGCCATTCTGCGACCGGGCATGACTTTCACCGCGGAGCCTGGGGTGTACGTGCTCAACAAGTTCGGAGTGCGTGTAGAGGATGTGCTGCTTGTCAAGGAAGATGGCGAAGCTGAAAGCCTAAGCGGTCCGTTTGCAAACAGTCCTTGGGACCCATGATCATAAGTATGAGAGCGTAATATTGGCGAGAAACCATCGTTGTATTTCCATCAGTGTACATTGAACTGTGCATATCGAGATACATTTTAGCTTTTAAGTACCACCGCAAGCTTTATTAATTGTGTCGAGACATAGGGAAAGAATAATCATAAAAGCGATCATCTAGAGTACCACCCATACGTAGTCGAAAGGTGCTTAAGAAGTACAGTAAGTCTCACCAACTGGAGCCCTCATGCCCTTGATTGTAACATCGTCAATCAGGAAAAGCTGCTGATTAGTGGCCGCAGTGCGAGTGACTGTAACAATCAAGCCTATCCCTGTAGCCAGGAGTGCTTTTTGCGATGCTGCATGGCCATAGTTGTTTGGGATCGTGACAGCGAGCTTTCTAGTAGTCGGGTACTTCCACGCCTTGTTGAGACCTTCCTCGAACCCGCTATTGATAGCATAATTGGGCGCTGCAATGCAAGCCTCCGACGGCGTATGAGAGGGTATACTGCTAGAAGAACTCGAAGGTGACGTGAAAGATAGGGTAGACGTAACAGTAGCGCTCGTAGTGATCGAAACGACTGAGCTTGACGGTGTACATGTAGACGAAGCGGTCGAGGAGTCTGAAGTGGTTGAAGCGACCGCGCTCGAGGCCTCTGGAGTATGCGAGACTGTCGAGCTTGCAGACTCCTTGGTGCTCGAGACTGCCTCCGAAGTGGACGAGACGACTGATGCAGATGTTACCGAAGTCGACAACCCAGTCGAGCTTCAAGATATTGACGTAGACGTCGCCGTAGAGATTGAAGACACCGATATGGCTGAGCAACTTGCATCTTCCAAAAGGCCAGAATACACTGAGTTGGTTATAGCAGCTGTTGAGGGCACATCATCCATAGCAGGCATCCAGATCAAGCATTGCATTGTTATGGTGTTGATATAGGTCAAAACTTTGCAGTTTAACGCGATGCACCGGTCAACGCATTCTCGATAAGAACCTGTCGATGAAGCATCTTCGGGATATGAGCCGGAACCGTATGCAATACTGCAATGTGTTCTGTAGATCTTGGTGCCATAGGATATGCATTTGTTATCGCCACTACCTCATTCTGCGCATGGTAGCACAAAAGGTGTTGAAGAAGGCGGGGCCGACGAGCTTGATGTGTACGGACTCGCGGAGCTCGATAGAGGTTCAGAAGAGCTTATAGTCTGCGTGAATGACACAGAGGTACTGGAGCCTGAGAACTCATGCGTAGAGGTAGGAAATGGCGTGGTTGTCGAGCTAACAGAGGACGAGGTCTCGGTCGAGCTCAAAGACGTGGCAGTGAAGCTTTAAGTTGCCACAATCGATGAGCTGACTGACGGGGAGATGCCAGTAGAGCTCAATACCACAGAAGATAATGTAGATGGGGAGGAAAGAGCCGAAGCCGAAGCCGAACCCAACGAAGAGGACGGAACACCATTATATTTTCCGAACCCGGCCATTGTAGCAACATGATGAAGAGTCTAGATCATTCGTGCTATATTGAGTACGACTGTGGTGCAATGAGGCTGATTTTAGGGCGCGCTTATTGTAGATTAGCAAGTTCAATCCTACCCCTGAAGCTGTTCAGCTCAACAACGAAAGCCGCTTGCGCCCAATAAAAGCCTTAAAGGGCTGATATAAAATGAGGAGTGGAAAGAAGTAACGGCTTGCCACGTGCATGGCCCGCGACGTGTAGGCGAGTCGACCGGAGCGGCCGATCTGCCGTTTTGCCAAGTATGAGAGAGAATGGACTTTTACAAGAAAGGATAGTTTTTGCGAGCTCAAGCTTCAGGGTTCCCCAGGATGATTATGTCGAAGGGGTTGGCTTCATCGACCACATCGTGGTTGAAGATGTCCTTGCGTACTTAAGGATTTAAGAACAGTCAGAGGGAAACATGGCGTTCGTGGATGGTGATTCTAAGCTGTGAAATCGCGAAATAACCGATACCCTTCTCTCTCACGTCTTGATGCCATGACTGACCGAAAAGAAGTATCGGACTGGAATTGCTCTCTTGGGGTTGAGTGATGTGAACGCTCAAGCAGCGCTCAGAAGCAAATGAAAGAGTAGGGAAGAAAATCACGCTCATGTTTGCGCATGTAAAGTCTGTAGGACGCATGTAGAGCAACTTAGCATGCCAACAAGAGTGTACAGCGAGGGATTGTCCAGAAGCGGTACTTAGTTTTTTACAAATTGTTCGTAATCAAGATAGATGAAGCTTGAATAGGCGACGAAAATCACAGGATGAAAGTATAGCAAGCGGGAGTATGATCGACTTAGATGGGTAGACGTAGATGAGTGAATTGTCGTGCCAAGCCCATGACATCGATGCAGATGGACCCTTGATCGACCGCGGCTCAACTCCGTCCCCAAACTTATGCTCAAACCCCACACACTACCACACATCTTCGTGATTCCCGCGTAAACAACAAAACGAAGCTACACATTAATTTACGCAAGCTGGAAAGCTCTCTATTCCCAATCCGAACCCTAACAAAGCTTCCCCCCCCCCGTACAACCTCATTCCAAGCATCGCAAGCCGTCACAACATACAACCAACACCCTCATACTACCATCAGTGACCCCACCCACAACAATGGCGACGAATCCCGCCCCTGCCACCGACACCCCAACATCCTACACCGACCCTACCTTCTCCCTCGTCAACACCTCGTGCCTGGACCTGCTGCTAATCGAGCTCGTCCCCATGGCGTACCGCATCACCGCCGACCTCGCCGCGCGCGAAGAAGAATGGACCCGCGGCGCCACAAAGACAAACCGGCTCTCAGGCACAAGCAACGACGGCACGAGCGGCGGGCCCGTGGGCACCGTGGACGAAGAGGAAGCGCGGGAAGCGGTGTTCCATCGATTAGAAGGATTGGGGTATAGGGTTGGCTTGGGGGTTGTTGAGCGGTATTCCTTCCCCCTCCCACCACCTTTCCACATACCTATTATCTTTTGACGCAGGACACTATGCTAATTCCTTCTTCGCACCATAGATTCTCCCGCGACGCCCCCCGCCCCACCACCCCGCTCGACATTATCAAATTCCTCTGCAAAGACCTCTGGACCCTGCTCTTCAAAAAACAAATCGACAACCTCAAGACAAATCATCGCGGCATCTACGTCCTGACGGATAATACCTTCAAGCCGCTGGGGCGCATGAGCTTCGATACAAAGAAATACGACGCCGCGCTGCAGGCGAATCTGGTGGCAACGACGGGCGATGTCGCGCTGGGTCGGGATGCGAATAGTCAGGCGAGGGTCCAGCCGTTTTTGTATTTCCCCGCGGGCGTGATTAGGGGGTGTCTTGCGAGTTTGGGGATTACGGCGACGGTTACGGCGGATTGTGCGGCGTTGCCTACGGCGACGTTTCAGATACGGACGGCGGGGGCGAAGAATTGAGGTAGGGAAAGACGTGGGGAGTGGAGAGCATAATGTGCATTTTCAGCGGCATTGGGAGGTGTTCTGGCGTAAAATAATGACGCGAAGCATTCACACGAACGAAAACAACTATTGGGCCGTATGAAGAGCTCATATTTCAGCTATCTGTATGTTGTATCTGAAGTTGCTCGCCCAATTGTGCAAATTCTTGTGCACGTCTAACGTCATGTTTTCATTCATAATCGTTCCCCATCAACAGCAACCAAGTGCCGCATCCTGTCAAGAATGTTAGCGTATACCGAGAAGGCGGACCAAGAGTGTTGACTTACTATTGAGGTGGGTTCTGAGCGAACTCAACACCCTTGGCGATGTTGCCCTTGAGGCCATCGTAGCAAGCCTGGAGCAGCTTCTTCTCGTGTTCGTTGGCGCTGCTGACGACGTCAATCGCCTTCTCCGCACCGCTGGGCTGGATGATTGTTAGCAACAGCACTCCTCTATCATCGATGTCCACTTACGCCGAGCTCGATGGGGACAGAGAAGAACTCGGTGCCGGTGGCCTTTGCAATGGCATCACCGCCGGCAACACCGGGGAGGTAGACGAAGCTGGGCTCGACAATGCCCTTCTCGCCCTGGGAGGCCTTGATCACCTTCTCGGCGAATCTGTATCTTGTCAGCGATTGCAGTACCACTGGACCGTCCTAACGTACCGGTAGCCGGCGTATGCCATGGAAAGAGTGGCTGAACCAGCACCGTCCTTTGCCTTGACGACCTCGTCACCACCAAACTGCACGCGGTTGACCAATGCATCGAGCTTGTCTGCTGGAATGTTGACGCTAGGCTTGGCCTGGCTGAAGAGCGGGACGATGGTCTCGCCAGAGTGTCCACCGATGACGGGAATGTTCAATTTGGCGGGGTTCTTCTCGCCAGTGATCTCGGCGACGAAGGTCTCGGCACGAACGACATCGAGAGTGGTGACACCGAAGAGCTTCTTGGGGTCAAAGACGCCGGCAGCCTTGAGGACCTCGGCGGCGATAGGGACAGTGGAGTTGACGGGGTTGGAGATGACAAGGATGAATGCCTTGGGGCAGTACTTGACGATGCCCTCAATGAGGCCCTTGACGATTCCGGCGTTGATCTTGAACAGATCATCACGGGTCATGCCAGGCTTACCTGCAGAAATGAGCTTGCTATACCACAATCGGACGTGGGGGTGTACTAACGAGGAATGCCAGCTGGAATGACTACAATGTCGGCGCCAGTGAGAGCACCCTGGAGACCGTCGTCCTTGGGCAGGTAGCCTGTGACAGTCTGTCTACCATCAGTACATGTCGTGGTGAATGGCGTGATTGAGATGAGCTCATACCGCCGGGCTGGAGATGTGGGACAGGTCGGTAGCGACACCGGGCGAGTTCACTACATCGTAGAGAGCGAGCTCAGTGACGAGCTGGCAAGACTTGAGGAGGAGGGACAACGGCTATGTCATGTTAATCGTGTACTGGAGCTGCCCTCGTCCATATGTACCTGTCCAATGCCACCAGCGGCACCAGCAACAACGGCCTTGACCATCTTGTTGAGTTATCGAGGGAGGGAGCTGTAATGCGGGGGCGGGGTAGCTCGGAGCTGGTATGAGGTCCGATTGATGAGTGAGACGGGAGAGAGTGCAATTGATTCACCAAAGCCGGTCTGGTGAGATGAGAGAAATGTGGGAGAGAAAAAGAAGTGACAGCGCGCAAGAGGCTTATAGCTGGAGCAGGAGCTATGGGCGGCCACGCGGATCTTCTGTTGGCTCTAGACAGGTGGGGTAACTTCACTAGCCAAGGGTCTCAGTTGTGTCGCGACAGTAGTCCGTATGCGGGGCAGATGGAGCGTCTTACGAACCTCCGACTCCGCGACTACATTTATACACTTCATGTTCCGCGACCTCTGGTGATGCACATGACGACGCTGACTTCGGGCTCGCTTCCGCGGTTCGCATGTGAACCCTAGCCATCACTATCGGGACGGACCGGACTGCACAGGGCTGATTCGGGATGCAGGTACACCCTTGAGCGCGGAAACAGAAACGCATTGTATGTGCTACTCGTTGGTATTGACCCTATGACGCCGTCCAACCCACGGTCCATCCGCGGCCGTGCCCGTTCCCAAACACCATCCATAACGCCAGACCAAGCCGAAGAAACCAGGGAGCATGTCACTGTCCACGCTTTGCCCCCGGATGAGACATTTTGGTGGGGGAAGAAACATGTCATATGGCTGGGTTGATCCAGGCTTCCTAAGGGCCGAAATCCTCGCGTTCACCTTCCGCGTCATCGTCACCTTCGACATGGCGGTAGCCCTGAGGATCACCGGCTTGAGGTTCAGGACCTCTCGAATTCACTGCATACATTTGCTGTCGGGGGTCAGTTGCGTCTCATTCTTGCCTCGGCAGGATTGCATACCTGTTGCTGTGCCATTGTGGGGTATGCTTGGTAGGTCGGATCGAACATCTGCTGCTGAGCGTAGACACCAGGGTCGGGACCAGCATACATGTTTGGCTGGCGGAAGTCCTCCTGCTGGGGAATATGCTGCATCTCGTAACCTGGCGGAGCCATGGGGTGCTGTGCATGGACCTGAGGGGGCAGACCACTGCCAGGCACTGCGGCCGAGGACTGGACCGCGGCGTTCTGACCGCCACTCCTCTTGTGTGGATGAGCCTCCTCGCGAGGGACAATGTCGATGAGGAAGTCGAACATGTCGGACTTGCTAAGAGCCGATGCAATGTCTGATCGCTGGAGTGTGCGGCGCTTGTTCTCCTCGGCGTGAATCCAGGCGCGCATGGTAAGCTCGGTGATGAAGATGTCGCAGCCCTTCGCAAACAAGATGGGAGCTTCCGCCGAAATCATCTTCACTTCCGGGTCGGCCTTCATCACCTTCTTGATACGCGCCAACGGCAGCTGGTGGAGCTTGTAGTCATGTTCGTCTGTCTCGAGCTTCGTGACCTGCTGCTGCCAGTATGTATTGAGGATATCGCGGTAGTTGCCCGTCAGACCCTGATTGACCTGTGACCCATTAGCGCTCCATGTTTCAGCCATCGCCGTGAGTGCGTCGTACATTCTGCCACGAGCCAGTGAAGAGTTGCGGGTCGGGCGCATGGCCTTGGGCGGCTATCTGGTCCAAAATCAGCGGGAGGCAGTCAGCGCGGGCGCGCAGCGGAAACATACGGATGCAGATGCGCCTGTGGAGTGAAGCCATGTCAGCTGAATTCTGGTAAACAGTGGTCGCGACGGGCGCGCCTGTGGAGTGCGCCTCAATGCGCACAAGGCTGTAGGAGGATCATGACGTACCATAGTGGCCGCTCTGCGTTGGGTCATAGAGCGGATTGCCAGCTTGCCCATCGTAGCGGCGGGGTGCAGCTGGTGCGGCGCGCATCTTCTGGATGTTCTGGTCCATGGTGGCTTTGTTGCGCAAAGGTTACGCGGGCGCAGGGTTGGCTTGCGCGTGAGTCTTCTGATACGATGGCCTGGCGAATACAATGCTCGGGTGCTCTCTGAATTGCGCCTTACACAATGTTGTGGATATGCAGATGCTGGCGTCGTCGCGTGGTGCTTGGGAGCTATGCTGGTGCAGGTGGCTTCGTCAGAGAGGCCAAAGACGGGCTAAGTGGCTGGGACGCGGAGTTGCTGCGGGGGATGCCGCCGGGAGCTATGATCTCTGGCCATGGTCAGTCTCGTCGTCGTTGGGAGCCATATCATCCACCTGTAACGAGGACGTTGACTGACCTGGTGCGTATGGGCGAATCAAATCCTCTGCTGCTTTATGGATTTCCAACTTCTGCTGTGGTTGGTTCGTGTTGGACAAATGCGAATGGGACACCCTTCGCGATTCGGTAACACCCGCTAGTTCAGATCAGATCAGGTCCGCAGCACGTCAAGAAACAGATCAACAACAAGGCAGCTCCGAGGCAGTCTGAGGCACATATATATGAACGTGGCATACCGTGCGGATCACATTCAGCCAAGTAGGCTATCCGCCATCGTCACTGCCGCCACGGTTATATTTGCATCATTCCTGCACGTCGCACGGCGGCTTTCCAGCACACTCGCGAGGCACTGCCCTATGCCGCCGATATCACCTCTCGTCCTCCCCAAGGATATTGGAGAGCATCGTCATCACATCGGACCGGGGTCACCGCTCCTTGCTCCCACATGCCTGTTTCCAAGGCTATCGCCAGTCATCTCTGACAGCACATCCGCAGAGCCGTTCGCAGCTCCAGCATGAACTTCTGTCCGCTTGAAATTTCCAAGCATATCGGATTACTTGCGTTTGTTACCCACAGCAACTGCAAAGGCCGCCTTTCACCTTAGGCGCGGGAGGACTCCATATAGCAGAAGCAACACACTGCACCTTGAGGGAACATCGCTAACGCAAAGGCAACCCCAGCCGCACTCATCCCACACCAAACTCGCATGATAATAACGCTGATTGGCCGACCGGGGAAGCTTATTGATTGGGTGCATGACCATTGATGAGTTGTTCACTGGCCGGAATATTAGCACGCCAGATATGCAGGCGTGCATCATTTGCCAACAAGGCCCTGCGATCTGAAAGTAAATGAAGCTGACGGTCAGCCGTGAATCGTGATGGTGGTGTGTTTCGACGTGGCCGCGGTTGTGTCGGAGTTTAGGTTCTCCCGACGCGGGTGGCCCGTGCCCATTTCCTAAGAAAAAGTTCGTGATCCTCGAAACTTTTGCTATTCGTGCATCCCACCCTGCAAACGCCAACATGGAGCTGTTGCCAGCGCATCAGCCTCTCCTCGAGGATGACACCGACGAGGATATGTCTGACGAGCAGATACGTGAGCTTCTCACTGAAGCCGCAACTCGTATGCGCGCGAAGGCAGCCGGCAAGCCGACAGCCACTCCGGACGCTCCCTTCAGGCTCCCCAAGTTGAGGCCTGGGCACCTTGCCGACACTTACGAGAAAACCGACGGAAGCATCACGCGTCTTGACCACTCGAAGCTCATCGACAAGAAGCAGCAAGCTCTTGCCAATGGCATCAAGAAGATTGAAGACCCACTTGTCGTCAAGAAGCAGAAGATCGAGGTATGTGCCAACACTATTCGCTCTCTCCTTTCATTCGCCGTTGATGATAATTATCCCAATTTCATACTGAGCAGACACGGGGTCCCGTCTTGGGTACTCTCCTGCAAAAACGATGCTTTACTTAGTTCATAGTTACACTGAGGCACTTACTTTAAGCTCTGTTTTCTTGCATCAAAACGTATGCCGAATGCTGACGGAATGAATAGGAAAAGAAAGCTACCGCTGGCGCGCAGTGGTTCAACATGCCGAAGACCGACCTCACGCCAGAGCTGCGTCGTGATCTGCAATTGCTGAAGATGAGGAACGTCCTGGACCCAAAGCGCCATTACAAGAAGGACAACTCGAAGAACGATGTCCCAGCCTTCTCTCAGGTCGGCACCATCATCGAAGGCGCCACGGAGTTCTACAGCAGTCGTCTCAACAAGAAGGAACGCAAACAGACCATCTTGGAGGAGGTGATTGCCCAGGAGAAGGACAGCGGCCGTTTCCAGAGGAAGTACGAGGACATCAACAAGAGCAAGGCCAGCGGCAAGAAGGCCCACTACAAGTCCATGCAAGCGAAGAGGAACAAGGGCAAGGTTGTAAAACCTTGAGCTTGATCACAGTAGTCGCGCAAGTACTAGGCCTGCCTTCACCAGGTCCACACACATATCCGTCACCATGGAAACTTACGGCAATCTTCATGAAGTCCGTCAAGGCATAATTTTTACTATGCGTACAGACCTGCTAGTATCTCCTTGACCAGGGCCTGCATGTCTTTTGCCGCCTCTCGGCCCGCTTCCAGTACCTCCTCATGGTTCGCCTTACCCTGACTGAGATGCTCTGTCAACTCGGCCGGGGTCAGGCTCTGGATCGTTGCATCGTCTCCGCGAAGCCCTGCCTCGAGGACTGCTACGTTGGTCACCAGACTGAAGGCGAGCACGCGCATGCCTGCGTGACGAGCAACGATGATCTCTGGTACAGTGGACATTCCCACCACATCTGCGCCGAGCATGCTCAACATTCTGCACTCAGCTCTGGTTTCATACCTGGAGAAGTCAGAAATGTTCCCGGCACGGAGGACTGAGGACCCATGAATGATTACTTACGTTGGTCCCGAAACGAACGCATACACGCCTTCATGCAGGCGTCTCTGTTGCTTATCGAGGCCCAACTTCACCCAGGCTTGGTGCGTTCGCCTTCTCAAGTCAAGGTCGTACGCATCAGATAGCGGTGGGAAGCGGACTCCAAACTCTTCAATGTTGGGTCCTCGGAGAGGGTGAAGTCCCACGAGGCCGGCCATGAAGAGGTGCTGCTCACGTTAGCGCAAGCCGTATCGAGTGCTTCGATTGAACGTACATCGTTCAGACAGACTATATCGCCTACACGGTAAGTCTGGTTCAGACCACCCGCAGCGTTGGTAACTAGGCACACAATCAACTTTGTACAACAAAACTTGCATCTTGCAACATACCAACCATAGTCTCGACACCGAGAAGTTTACACACTCGAGTAGCGAAAGTAACCACATCCATCGTGTGACCCTCATAGTAGCTAAACGTGTCAGTTGCGTACAGGCGACGATTGTGATGTAGATAACGTACTGTGCTCGTCCGACCAGAAGCGCTACAGGCGTTTTCTGAGGCCCGATCTGACCAAACACAAACTTGCCTGCGTGACCCTGCACTGTTGTACAACATTAGCACTCGAGACCGTTTTCCAACTTTGCAATCCCTCACTCTTCACATGCTTCTTGACTCACCGGTACTCTTGGGGAAGTTGGGAATGTCGCCATAGGCAAGCTCAACTTTTGGCTCCGCTTCAATCGTGTCTGCCAGCCCTCCAAGACCCGAACCACAAACGATGGCTACTTTTGGAAATTGAAGTGATTCGGGAAGTTGCTTGCGCACATATTGGGCGGTTTCAGTCGCACGGACGTAGGCGTTCGGGGCAGCTTCCATCGTGAACGGTCGAGGATTCTAATATCAACAGTGAGGACTTAAGACGTTCCTTTGTAGCGACAGAGAAAGTATTCCACCAAGCTATTTTCCCACTCGGTGGAGTGGTTGCCCGATAGGGAAGGTCTGCGGTGAGTTCCGACGCCGTGCTTTCTGCCGGGCGGTCAGCGCATCGGCGCTAGTGCGGATCTTGATCAGAAGTTCGAGGTGCGGCGGACTGAATCGCGACTTTCATCCAATTATGGCGGCGCCACGGTGTATGCGCTCCTTTTTGGGGCCGGCGAAGAGGGTGAAGGTATGAATTGATAAAATATGCGGAATTGTGTGCTGGGATCGCGGGGACTAATGGCACTATAGATATCACAACCGCCACGGCCGCACGCACGAACTTTCTCGCAAACGAAGGGCTCGAGAGCAGATGAAGATGAAGGTCGCGGGGACGGTAGAAGGGGACGTAGAGAAGGAAAGGCCATGACAAAGCTCTTGGACGACATCGAGAGTGGGAATCTGGATTTGGAAGCACAACTGAATCGTATGAATATTGATCCTAAGAAGTACAAAGAGTAAGGCAGCTAATACACAATGACTATGAGTGCGGGAGCTAACAATCCACAGGCTATACAACAGTTCAGAAAAAGCAGAACAGCGTCTTGCAGAATGGGAACCAAAGACCCGGGAAGAAGCACAGCAGAAGTGGAAAGAGATGCAAGACACACCGGACCACTTCACATTATTGCACACATGGAAGCGAGCTGGCGTGGAGCCCATCAAAGTCGCAAAGTCCGTCCACCTATACACTCTCTCAGACCAGTCAACAATGCTAATACTCATGGCGTAGGGAGCGAGGCATAACCCTCCCCACCGACAAACCCCCCCTCGACCCCAAGACCCAAGAGGAGCTCGACGCCCTCCGAAAACCCCTCAACGTCCAAGCCGTAAACCTCCGCCCTCTCCGCCGCGCCGCCCCATACGGCGTGCCCGTCTGCGACCTCCAACTGCGCACCTACTCGATCCGCCAACTCGTCCTCTTTGCCGACTTCTGCGTGCGCGCCGCCTACTACATGGGCCTGCCCGCACGCGGCCCCGTGCCCCTGCCCCGAATAACCGAGCGCTGGACCGTCCCGCGCGCAAACTTCATCTTCAAAAAGTCGCAGGAGAATTTCGAGCGCATCACCATGCGCCGGCTCATCCAGATCCAGGACGGCGACCCGGATGTGGTCAAGGCGTGGTTGGCGTTTGTCACGCGCTATCAGGTACCGGGTGTCGGCATGAAGGCGAACATCTGGGAGTATGAGAGCCTGGAGAGCGCCACCAGGGCTGGGTATGAGTTGCCGCAAGGTGACTTCTCGAGGAGGAGGGAGGGGAGTGTCATGCGCAAGGTGGAGGAGATTTTGGGTTCTGAGGGGTTCAAGGAGAGTATGCAGGGGCATGAGAGTGGGGTTGAGATGAGGCCGTGAGGGGGGTGGGTCGATAGATGGAGGGGGATGTATGCATTGTTTGACTAGATAGAGACGAGGACTATGCATTTGGTGGTTGTATGAATATACTCGATTTGAACTTCAAGATCCGGGGAAATGTACGAACACTGTCTGCATAGCCAGGTTCTCATTTACACCATTTTGGTCTCCCACCTTTATGTTAGAAGCTGTTGATTATTGCGGGATGATGCAGGCCCCATTGTGACAGCGCACATGCATTCACCGCGCGAATTTCGGTATCCGGTGTCTTTTTTGCAACACATTGGGAAGCATCAACAGGAGTCAGTTGTGCGTTCGTGTTACCCACGATGCAGATTTGTACACACCGCTTGACGTTGAATCGTCAAGATAGCACCAGTTGACCAGCACCACGCTATGACCTGGCCGACTCCAAAGCCACGGAAAAGACTATTGTTATGGTCACGACTTTGAGATGCCTGATGTTGATGCTGATGCATATCGAAGCTCCATATGCAGCTCATCATCTACCATACCAATTCGCAACTAGCAAGGTGCATTCCTTTGACGCAAACATTACCAGCTTCTTGGGAGACGCTTCAAAAGTGACAGCCGTCCGCCAGTTCGAGAGCGGTCTCCTGAAATGTCCTGCACGGTGCCGTTCGACTCCGCACTCTGCGATTCTTTGGTTCGGGCTCACGCCGCCGCATCGCCCTGCATACACGCACGCGCAAATGACGCCGTCGCGTGGGCCCTCCACAATTTCTCTTCCGTAACACCATCCGGCGCGCGCGACTGAACAGCGGTTCATCTGGAGCTCCAGGCATGACTTGGGCAGGTTCGCCGACTCAGATGGAGTCGCGTGATGTGTTCAGATGGCCTTGTCGGTCTAAATCGAGCTTACGCGTTACGCTTTCAAGACAGCCCGCGGCTTAGCAGACATGTCCAAGCGTCCCTTCCCCAGCTTCGTTTAACAACCGTGGAGATGCCGGCGTCATCGTGTCTCGCCTTCTTCTGGCGCTCCTCACGCTCTCACTCAAGAGGCGTTACTTGACACTGTAAATCCCCCTTCAACAGGCAATCATGACCAAGCCTGCGCGCTACAACTTCAAGACGCGCCATGTTGCGCACCCGGATGCTATTGTCGCGGGCGACAAGTACAGGTTCACCATCTTGACCGACGGCCTGCTGCGCTACGAGTGGGCTGAGGACGGCAAGTTCGAGGACAGGGCATCAACTTTTGCCGTCAATCGCAGGCTGGCTGTGCCGGACTTTTATGTTTGGGACCGCGGCCACGGCATCGAGATCGTGACAAAGCGCTTCCACGTCGTGTACAACAAGAAGAAGTTCAGCGCAGACGGCTTCAAGATCACCCTCAAGGGCGCTGTGACAGGCACCTGGACGTACGGAGAAGAACTGTCCAACTTGGGCGGCACCACACGCACATTGGACGGTGTCAATGGAAGGACAAACCTGGAGAAGGGCGTTCTGTCGCGAGATGGAATGGCCGTCCTGGACGACACCAAGTCCATGTTATTCGAGGAGGATGGCTGGATTGCGCCGCGCAAAGGAGGCGAGAGGTCAGATCAGTACATCTTCATGTATGGTCGCGACTACCGGGAAGCGATCCGCGCATACTACGCCGTTTCCGGCAGCCAGCCTCTGCTCCCACGGTACGCCATGGGCAACTGGTGGAGTCGCTACCACGCATACGACGAGAAGGAGTACCTCGAGCTCCACGATCACTTCAACAAGGACGATGTGCCGATAAACGTGGCGGTGATTGATATGGATTGGCACTTGGTGAACAATCTGCCTGATAACATGTACGGCTGGACCGGATACACTTGGAACAAGAAATTGTTCCCAGATCCAGACAATTTCATGAAGAAGCTGCATGATCGTGGCATGAAGATTACGCTCAACTTGCACCCAGCGGATGGCTTCAGATTCTTCGAGGAGCAGTATCCAAGGGTAGCGAAGTATATGGGCATAGACCCTGCGACTAAGCAGACGATTGAGTTCGACTGCACCAGCAAGAAGTTCATGGATGCGTACTTCGACATTGTACATCACGAGCACGAGGACCGCGGCGTTGACTTCTGGTGGATTGACTGGCAGCAAGGGAACCAGTCGAAGATTCCTGGTGTTGATCCGCTGTGGGTGCTGAACCATTTCCATTTCTTAGACAAAGGTCGCGGCTCTCAAAGACCATTGATCTTCTCGCGTTTCGGTGGACCTGGTGCGCAGCGCTATCAGATTGGATTTTCTGGAGATGCTATTATCACATGGGATTCATTGCACTTCCAGCCTGAGTTCACCGCAACTGCTTCGAACATCGGCTATGGATGGTGGAGCAACGACATTGGTGGACACACACATGGCTACAAGGACGACGAGCTGTACACTCGCTGGGTGCAGCTAGGTTGCTGGTCGGCCATCCTGCGTCTACATTCTGACAACAATCCATTTAACACGCGCGAGCCGTGGCGCTTCAGTGACGAAGCCTGTGGTATCGTTGAAGATACGTTGCGCCTTCGTCACCGCTTGATTCCATACCTCTACACCATGAATGCGCACTCCGCATCTGACGACGAGCCACTGATCCAGCCAATGTACTGGGACTACCCAGAAGTTGACGAAGCCTACAGCGTACCAAACCAGTACCGCTTTGGTAGTGAGCTCATTGCTGCGCCTATCACACAGCCGCGCGACGTAAAGACTAAACTTGGCGCGGCAAAGATGTGGCTTCCGGCTGGGAAGTTCGTCGACATCTTTACTGGTGTAGTGTACAACCGCAAGGGCGAGCTTCAGGTCCACCGTCCGTTGCATTTGACTCCCGTCCTCGCTCCTGAAGGTGCCATTGTCCCACTCGACGGAGCATGGCGTCCGAAATCCGGCTCGCCAAACCCCGAATCACTGGAGATCCTCGTAGTCATCGGCGCAGACGGATCCTTCACTCTCCTCGAAGACGACAACAGTGGCACCCACGTCGACGACGGCGGCTTCAGCATGATCGAGTTCGACTCCGAAGGCATTGAATCCAGCAGCGACGAAAACAACGTGAAATTTGTCTCTACGCCCATCACCTACAAGCAAAGCACCGGCGTGCTCAAAATCGGCCCCGCAGACGACAGCAAGGCCGCCGTGATTCCCAAGAAGCGTGACTGGAAAATTCGCCTCCTCGCCTATACCCCCGAACACGCGTCAGCCATAACATGCCTCACCACCTCGGCCACAAAGAAACACCACGCCAAACATCTCTCCCATAAACTCTCCACCGATTCCAACGGCACCCTCATCACGCTGACCTCCGTCCCCACCGACCATGCCATCATCATCGAACTTGGCGCCAAGAGCAGCCCGCAACTCGATATCGTGGACCCCATACGCCGCATCGAGGACTTGATTGACAAGGCGTGCATCCGCATGGACGAGAAGTGGGATCTCTGGGCGACTATGAACAATGGCGAGAGCACGCTGAATAAGGTTAGGGGGCTGCAGGGCAAGGACTATTTGAAGAAGGAGATGCTGGATGCGATGTTGGAGCTTATGTTGGCGGATGAGCGGTTTGCGGGCGGGGAGGTTATGGAGATGGAATTGTGAAGGTGGGGAAGGGAAGGGAGGGGGATGAGGTTACGATATATGAAATGGATTGATGTTTTTCGGTTTTTAGTTGCAGGTGGAAGCGGCGTTTGGAGTATTTTGTATACATAAAGCAAGCCGCCAGTCATCCGCAGGAGCTAGTCCATATTAAAGAATTATCTAAAACCGTCTTCTACTCATTTTCAAAAATAAGGCTGTATCCCTGGGCAGTCTAGGGCGCTGCACGCATTGTCTGGCGCCATTCTATCTGGTTTCGGAGGTTGGCGGCGAGACGCTGACGGCTTGTTTGGTGACGGGAAAAAAACACTGAACCCAGCTCCTGTCCTATTTGCAATCAACGGGCAGTTTTTTTAGTAATCAGTGATTCTGATACATACAATTCGCCTCAAACACACTCATCCCCGCCAGCCTCATCGCGCGAGTAATCCGAACTGCCGGCACTGCGCCATGGAACTGCACCAGCATCGCTGCGTGCAGTGTATACGCCCCGCGATGCAGGCGGTCCAAGGCGCGGACGTCACTCATTGTCCAGTACGGTGTGGGCGCGGTGTCAAGGGCGATTTCGACGGGGTAGGGTAGGGGGCTAGAGGGGCGGGGGTGGGAGAGTGTGTGGGAGAGATGCTGGATTAGCTTGTCGAGTGGGTGTGTGGAGGATGGCGAGATGGGGCTTGTGAAGCGGAGTTCGAAGCGTATGGGTAATGCTTTGAGAGTTTCGAGTTGTTTTGCGAGGATGGGGTGGGCTTCGGAGTAGATGAGTTTGTTGGTGCGGAGGATGGAGGTGGACAGGGTGTATGTGATCAGCGTTATGGTTGCGTCGGTGGAATGGTGGATGGCGACTGTGCGGTGGGTGGTTGACGGGACAATGTTCGCGTAGACCATGAGAAGTAGCTCGGGTGGGAGGTAAAGGAGTAACGGGGTTTTGTGGCGGAGAAGAAGTGTGAAGGTCGTGATGCAAGCACAGGAGCTGCAAGTAAACCTCCGTTCGCGCGAGATGTTATGTAATATGATCTCTGATAAGGGACATCCACGATTAAAGGCTATAGTTGTAGCCAAAGGTTCGATCGGTGACTTTGAAGGTGAGAGCGCATCGTGAACAGAGGCCACGAGCTCTGTGTATCTTGTGACGTACACGTTCAGCTAGAGATCAAGTTTCACTCTCTTCTTTTGTTCTGCCCATTCTTCGTCTGACAATTCCTTCACTTCCATGGTAGAGTCCCTGTATCTCTTATTTAGGCCGTTATCCCCCACGCCACGCATCACGTCATCGAATACGCGTTTTCCTGGAATCACCAATCCTGGACCCCTATAGTAATCGGGTATGGTTCCTTCAGAGAAGACAATGCAGGAAGTTTTTGATTGCCCAACACTGTTCCGCATTTTCCCTAGACCCATGAATACACGAGAGCCTGAAATGTTCTGGGCGTTTCTCTTTAGGAATATTTCTACCCGGGAGCATTTTCTGGGCCTTTGGGCCACGATGGGCAGGCATAACGCATTGGCTAGGGTCATATTCGTGTCCGAGGTGTGCATGCATTCAGCGAATGCACCTATGTCCATGAACAGGCGAATCGGCTCTTGCGCAAGCTGCTGCAATTTTTCGAGGACGATGGACTTTGCTTCCAGGTTGATCTCTTTGCAGACAGCCAAGACTGCGACAGGGAAAGACTTCATGGTGACGGTGCCTATCACATCCGACTGCTGGTCACCACTACTTGTGGCGCTTGGATTATCAGGATTCCTGACTAGATGTCGATGGGTCGTGAAGGTGAGGTTGTCGTAGATCATCAGTCGGAGCTCAACTGGAAGATCCATGAAGCGGAAGTACACCTCAGTGTCCATCTTGATCGTGTTGTTCGGTGGTTGACGGCAGAAAGATTGAGATCATAGAAGCCGAGATAGTTGAAGATACAATGTTTGTTTGTAAATGAGCGCGGTGAAGAAAACAGAGCCAATGTGATTCTTTGTTATACTTCGCTAGATTACATTTGCCGGCTTCGGCGCTAATAAGTTGTCAGGACGTGTCCCGAGGTCAACCGTGTGTGACTCCGTGTCACCTTCGCGCTCCACACCACCAACACGCAGTGCTCCTTGTGCGACTCCGTGTCACCTTCGCGCTCCACGCCATCAACACGCAGTGCTCCTTGTGCGACTCTTTCGTTACACATAAACGCAAAAGACATGGACCAGACGGTATGACCCGGACGCAACGCCTGAACGTCGATAACAACAAAAGACATTCATGAACTGCGGGGCCTCCAATTCTCCGAAGCTGATCCTGTACAGGTGAATCTAGAAATGGCCGAAGATGCCCACTCCGCGCACCTATGCCTTGCTCATCCCACGCAGGAAGAGTTGATATCAATATGGAACCATACAGCCGCCAGCTGGATAGACTCTCTGTCGATTTCAGCTTATCTTGAGGAGTCACAGCATATGGCCACAGCACCCTTAGCGCGGGATGGCGGCATGACCAATTGGATCCTTGTTGATGGGAGACTTCCTCCAGGAAAGAGGGCGATACTGAGCTCATGCGAAAGTTTCCGCAAACGCGCCTTAACCAGCGACCAGGACGGCAACGTCACAGCCACTATTATTCACGGTATCGCAAGTGTATTCTGTTTTCCTGAACATAGGGGTCGAAGTTATACCAAGCGCTTGATGCAGGAGCTAGCCAAAGAACTTCCGAAATGGCAGATCGATGACACGTCGTGCATAGGAAGCATCTTGTATTCGGACATTGGTAAAGAGTACTACGCAAAGTTAGGGTGGAAACCCAACGAGAGCAATACCCAAATCGTGCTCCCAGCTTTGAAGAGCGATGGATCGAATAACGTTACAAAATTAGTGGAAGCGGACCTCCCAACGTTGTGCGCAAAGGACGAGGCACAGCTTCGAAAGAGCATGGCAATCCCAACGAAAGACGCTACCAAACGTGTGTCTATCATCTCAGACGTCGATCACATGGGCTGGCACTTTGCAAAGGAAGAGATCGCGTGCAGACATATCTTCGATACGGTGCCTGAAACCAAAGGAGCGCTAGCTGGACCGCCTGGTAACCAGACATGGGTAACCTGGCAGCATAGGTACTACAAGCATCCCGATCTCGAAGCGACCAATAACGTCCTGTACATACTACGTCTTGTCGTCGAAGCAGACGAAACTGCCAGTCGCTTGCCTTCACACGCGGAGAAAATGCCTGGTCGCGATTTATATGAGCAACAAAAGAGCCAGCTCAAGGCTGTACTGCACGCTGCGCAAAATGAGGCTTTTGAGTGGAAACTTGATAGTGTTCACATCTGGGACCCAACCCCGTTAGTACAGCGCATGCTGAAAGAGATGGACATCCCATACAATACAGCTGAGCGCACGGTGGAGAGTGTTGCAAGTGGAATGTGGTATGATGGAAATGATGGGATTTCTACGTCGCCTCCTCTCTGGCTGAACAACGAGCACTATGCTTGGTGCTGAAGGAACCCCAGCACAATAGCGACTGCACCCGCACAGTATTTTTTTGGATAGAAATTGTCACGCTATCATTGTCCAAAATTTTCGGTGTTTGATTCTTGGGTGCGGTTTGGTCGATGGCTTTTGGATGAACTATTCCTCGCCATTCAAACAAGTTCGTCCAATCCTCCTCATTGGGAACAGAGTTGAGTTCAAACGTTGGGCCTTCCGGAAAATCGGCATGCCGCGCACATACCTTCGTCTTACATACTGCTTCATTGGGTGCCCAGACTGCAAGTAATTCCATTTCATGATACGCGGAAATCGCTTCAGGTAAGTAACCTTGACCGCAAGATTATTCATTCAGCCAATCGACCATGCGCCGCGCATGGCCTTGAGGCATTCTTCTTCGTACACAATTGCGCTTCTCCGGTCACAATGAGCTTATCGTGAGGTTCAAAAGCCAAAGAACGGGCATATTCGAAGAAAGAGGAGCGTCGATTGGTGATTTCGCGGATGTAAGTGCTCAAACTCGGACTCACTGGGTCGTTGAAGCATTCGGCAAGCGGGCCACAGTGATCGGATAGTACAGCTGCGCCGCCATATCCGAGAATAAAGCGCACCGGGTCACGCTTGAGGTCACGAAGTCGTGACCGGAGATACTCAACGACTTCGCATTGGACCTGCCAACAAGTTGCTAGGATTGCCACTGCAAGCAATTTCCGAACAAGTGTGATCGATCGATGGGCTCCGTCTGCGACCGTCCAGTGCTTGCACTCGAGAGCTTCGGACATCTTGAACACATGTCTTCGAGTCTCGATCTTCAGGTCCTCGTACACCATGCAGCGGAGCTGGGCAGGCAGTTCCAGGAATCGGAACGCTTCGAAAGACATGTTTGTGGTTTGAGAAGGAATTTGTAGTGGAGAGTTGCTTGGGACGACTTGAGGATCGCAATGAGTGTTGGGCTGTTGATCGCACTGTATCGAGAAAAAGACGTGGGTATGACATATGCGGGCGTGTGCAAAAAATCACTATCAGGCAGGAGGCAACACTCACTGCGGATGGATGGTGCGCTCGGACTGCCAGGCATGAAAGTTCCATTTCGCGTGCAGACATTGTGTAAATGCAAAGATTTTCCTTGAATACAAGAGGCATAAAAAACCATGGAAGATCCTCGTTCCACGGATTTTCTCACTAAGTACCTCTCACTCGTTTGCTGACGACGGAGACAATATACACAATGAGCGATTGCTGTTTGCTCCAAAAATCACTTCCGCTTACCAACAACTCTCCCAAACAGACGGAAGATTGATGTAGTTGTATACAAGACACCGAATTTCACGAGGAATCGGAAGTGATATTATATGATATCGAAGTGGTGGAGCAGGCGCGGCTGATAGGAGTAGACATACGAGTGGTCGAGTGTGGAAGAAGTATTTAAGTAGGCGGGCACGAGTGACCTCGGGAGTGAATACCGAGTGATACTGCCTAGGTAGTTCTAAGCTTATTAGGCATGAAGGTGTGTCTGAATTAGCACTGTGCATGGAGGCATGATGAGTACGTATGCATCTGTACAGCCAGGAAAACACAAATAGAAAGAAAGCTTTCTATAGCACAGCGTATGGTTGCGCGTATGGATAACTACCTTAACAGCCTTTAGTCAGCTGCGGGAACACCAGCTTCCGTTTGCCCACAACGCTCTGGAAAAGTTCGTGAAGTATGGGATTTAGGCCAGCAGCCGCTGCACGCCTCGCCCATTCTTCTGGCTCTACCTCGACTGCATTCGAAACAAGAGTGTTCAGCTGGCTTAGAGGAATGTCGACGTTTCCGATCTCATGGATGTATCGAATCTTGCCGTGTCCCATTCGACACGACTGCAAGGCCTTCATCATATCTTCTACTACAATGCTGATTGAGACTTGGTTTAGATATCCTTGGAGATACGAAGAAGCCGGCACAGAGCTTGTAAGCCGACAGTAATGGAGTAAAGTTTCGGTCAAATCCAAATGTGGCGGTGCTTCAGTATCTCCTGCAGTTTCTGCATTCTCTACATGATCTGGCTGGATACTCGCGGGGCGATGGATGTAAATCGGCCAGAGAGACTTGCTGTGCTCAAAGACCTTCTCCAGGAAGATCTCACTGACCCATTTTGACGAACTGTAACCAGTAGAAAGCTTTTGATCGGGTGGATATGCTGCTGCAGATGTCTCGCTCGCGATGCTTAGGCCTGAAGACGACCAGATACTTCCCGAAGATACGAAATGGAAAGGCACCATACGCTAAAAATTCTTGCCCAGACACATCTTGATCAGTTCTTGGGTGGATTCATAATTTGTTTTCCTAATCGATGTGCAGCTTTTCATGTGCGAAGTGTCTGCGCCGTTGTGGATGATGCAGTCTGCAATGCCAAAGATACGAGTGATGGTTTCCTCGGCCAATTTCAACCTGGGTTCGGCAAGATCGCCCGCATGGATTTCAACTTTGGAGTGGTGAAGAAGGGAATCTGGCTGTGACAGTAATCGCTTGGTGCCAGCGCTACCTAGGCGGACAGCGACGCAGTGCACAGCCGTCACTTTTGAATCAGATAACAAGGCTTTCAAGTAAGCCTGACCCAGAAATCCAGTCGCACCTGTCAATATAATGGTCCGTGTTGTCATAAAGTCGACTGCTTTGGCTGAGAGGAGCGATTTCTGAATTGCGTTGGGCACATCAGTCTCTGCACTCCAATCGATGTTAATTCCGGATCCGGAATGGGTCTTATCGCTGGGATCGATCTTTCTAGCCATTGCGCCCAGTGTAGTGTTCTCAAACATTTCCAGTGCTGATAGGGAGACGCCAAATTCCATTTGGATATCATACTGCAACTTTTCCGCTAGCACGATGGATACATTAGCACGATTTCTCTAAAAAGAAAAGTTGCCTTTAGCCTCACTTACCCGACATGGAAGAAATCCGTGCCCGAATCAATGGTATATTGCTTCGAAATCTCCCTGGACGTGCAGGCTACCCAGAGACGTTTCAGTCGTTCTTCTGTCTTTGTAAGCAGCTCACTGTCAGAGACTGTTTGTGTGTTCCCAACGGAAGACAATCCTTCTTGCTCGAGTGGTAACTTAGCCACCGCCTTGCAATCCGGCTTTCCTGATACCAGCATGGGGAAATGTTCCACCGGAAAGGCTGCAGCAGGACGCATATACCGTAGTAGAGACAGCCAGGCAAGAGCTTTGTTCAGGAAAGTTTGTTGTTCGCCACGGGATGCGAGGACGTTGGGTTGGAACTTGCTATGTGCAACAAGAAATGCTCCACCCGACTGAGCTCGAGGCTGTGTGGGGTAGCGGACGGACACGACCACCTGCTCTAGCATAGCTTGGGATTCCTTCAACATACTATTCTCAACCTCAGCCAGATCGATTCGAAGCCCTCGAAGTTTGATTTGAGTGTCGCCGGACTTGCGTCCCTCTACGAGCAGATTGCCATCTTTGCGCCAGCGACCAACGTCTCCGGTGCGATGCATCATATTCCAGCCTCTGGCACGATGACTCTGTGGGGCTCGGATGTTGGGAATGAAAACCTGGGATGAAAGCGCCGGGTTTTTCAGGTAGCCTCCCCCGACTCCTGCACCACCAATCACGATCTCGCCTTGAACGCCCACGGGCACAGGCTGCAAGTTATCGTCCACGACGTATACGAGATACCCAGCCAAAGGCTTGCCTGCACTGATCTCTTGAGAAACCGAATCACCAAGATAGTTAATCAATGTTCCTGAAGCACCTATAGTCGTCTCGGTGGGTCCGTAGACGTTGAAATAGCGAGGGACGCTGCCACAGTTGTCTGGCTCACCAAGGGATGTAAAGAGCTCCAGTGTAGCTTGCGTTGTGACTTCACCACCTGTCAGAGCCGTCCGCCAGTGTGGTAAACTCTGTGAAAGGGCTTTCCGATCTCCATAGCGAAGCCAGTTTGAGTATTCGGATGGCGTTGCTGACGTGAAGGTTATGCGCTCATTAGCGATAGCTTTAGTTAGGAATTTGGCGTCTGCACTAAACTCCCTTGCTACCAGACAGAGAAGTCCACCAGAGCAGATTCCGACAAGTAAATGCTTCCTGAACCATGTTGTCGATCGTCTCTCCCTGTCGCAGGACAAAACGTGGCTCACAATGATGAACAATTGCAACCAGGCGGGAAGCTGGTAGACCAATATCCAGTGGAAGGTATATGGCGCCAGCGTGCCATATGCCTAATACCGAACAAATCCAGTCCGGATTACGCTCTTGATACGTAGCGACAACAGATCCTTTGGCGCATCCATTAGACCTGAGCGCTCGGGCAATACTTTCCGCTCGTTTTATCATGTTCTCGTAGTCTAGGAAACTTGTGTCGCCGACCATTTTGACTGCCTTGGCCCTCGGTGTGGTTTTCACAAACCGACTTACTAGGTCAAGGATTGTTTCTGATTACGAGTCCGCTATTTGCCCTACGTTGTTGAACGCCCATGTTAGTGTTACAAGTCTCATAACAACAGCGTCGTATGATCAGGTATATGCTCACCTTGACTGAATTCAAGAGCCTTTTCGATCTCTTGCGTATCAAACATCGCTGCCGATTTCAGAGTTGTGCTTGGAACTCTGGAGAAAGACTCTGCGAGTTTTACAAGGCATTTGACCATTAATTGAGCTTGTTACTCAGTTTATAAGTCGTTGCAGACCAGGAGATGTACAACACAGTCCCCTTCACCTGCATCATCAATAATATCCAGAGCTATATCGTAGGGGACCTTGGACCCTTGGAAAGACAATAGCTCCAATTGTCAATCGCCCATTGATTGCTTTTTGAGCATACCCTGGCGATAGTCAAAGAAGGCCTGGACCATTGGAGTTTGTGTTGCTGATCGCGAAACTCCGAGCCTGTACGCAAACAACAATCAGCAGGGTTACTCTTGGTAGTCTATGCTGGCAAATTCATAGGGGAAACTCACTCTGAGAGAAGTATGTGAAATGGTACATCAGAATGTTGCAAAGAGGCAGCAGCCTTTTCTGCACAATCTTTCAAGAGAGTACTGAAACGTTGTGATGGGTCGCTAGCACCTCGCACAGGCACGATGTTTGCAAAGGCCCCTAAAGAATGAATGGTCCCGTGCTCTGGTCTGTTAGCATCGCTGATTCCAATCCCAATCTCTTCGACATCGGCGAGTCTAGCGAGGAGCGCATGAAAGGTTGCCAAGAAGAAGTGAAATGGCCTAGTCTTGGTCCGTCGGCAGACTGACCAAATGCGGGCTTTGACAGATTTGCTAATAAGCGCATCAGCCCGAAAGTTGCCATAGTCACCAAGAGTAGGTATAGCCTTGGATTGTAAGATTCGAAGTATGGGTAAGGGCGGCGGGCAGGTGGTCCAGCGTTCTTTCCAGAACTGTAGGCTTCTTTCGAAAGCGCCGCACCTGTGGGCTTCGAGCTGGGAGGCCGCCCAATCAGAGTACCGGTAAACGTCGCTCTCATTCAAAGACGAGTCGGTCTCATAAAGCTGTGCGATCTGTCTCAAGAAGATGATTGAGGAGAGACCGTCCAAGACGAGAGAGTGCGAACCAGATACCAAGTAATGCTCTGTCTCGGACAACGACAGGATAATCACACGCATAGCTTCTCCATACTCTAAATCGTAAGCAGTTGTCTGCACTCTCTGGATAATATCGTTGACCTCCGCTTCATTTGTGATGTGCTGTAGCTCAACAGACAAAGTGCTAGACTCAAGAATGCCTAATCTTGTATCCCCGTGGATGTTTGAAAGCACATTCGCAGAGTATCATGAAGCTGTCCTAGACGAAGAATAGCGCGTTTGAGATCCTCTATGCGAAGTTTGCCGGTAATGCGATAACACGCGGTGTGGTTTAGTGCGGTCTTGTCCTGCATCGATGTTAAACCGAACCAATACATTTTCTGATTGAAAGACAGTTCCATTGATCGGATGACCGGATGACGCTGTCGCAAGTGGTTGACGTACTTGGCTGCATTAGAGTCGTTGACATTCTCTGCCTGAGATTCACCCATGATATCTTCGTTCCCGTGGCCGTTCTCGACTACAGTCTCCTCGTGAGCGGATATGTTCGGCGTCAGCTCAGGCAAAAGACCTTCGACAGCAGATATAATGATGTCTCTCACTGTAAGCCCGGAGAGTATCTTCATGACAGGTATATTAACTTGCAGAGTTTTCAACCACCAGGTTCGGATCTCGACGGCAAGCAGGGAATCGAGTCCAAAAGCATCGAGGGGGCTTTCCAGGAAATGCGGGTCTTCGGCCAATGCGGAATCTAGCTGGAAAAGCGAGCACAGAGCAGGGAGAAAGCTTTCTTTAGTATGTCAAATACTTCTTGCGTCGTGGTGGCGCTCTCAAGGAGGGCTTTGGCAGAAGATCGGGATTTAGATAGATGTCTTGGATGTAATTTCTGCCGTGACGTTGCCCGTCATATGTGCCGAAAGCGGATTCAGGTACCAAGCCAGCTCCTTGGCGGGTTTCTCGTGAACTTTGGCTATACCCATGGATATTTCCAAAGGAAAATTGGATCCAGGTCGTCCTGCAGCTACAGCTTCCGCAAAGAGCTGATGGAAATCTGCCTCAGACATGAACGTGTATTCACCCTGCCGAGCGAAAATGTCTCGCACAGCTTCTCCTTGCTGCGTCACATATCCAACGCCTAGAATAGGCCCAATGTGGATGACTGAGGCTGCCTCTCCACGCTGTCTTCGCTATCCTGCGAGACTAGTCATGAACAAGTTGGCAGCCGAGTAATTAGACTGTCCTGCGTTGCCGATGATTGCAGTAGCTGAGGAGAAAAACACAAAAAACTCGAGATCGAGAACTTCTACCAGTCTATCAAGATTGATGCTGCCGGTAACCTTTGGCTGCAACACCTTTCGCATGGTATCGGAGCTCATATCGCGGCATCCAGTATCCTGGAGCACCATGGCGCCTTGGGCCACACCCCCGAGAGGTGGCATTGTCGACTGAATCTTATCATAAACGAGACTGGTCTGTACGTGGTTCGTCAGATCGCAAGGAAGCACCAAAACCTTGGCGCCCAAGGCTTTCATGGACTCCACCCACGATGGGGCGGCTTTGGGGTTTCGGCTGGTAATGACGATATGCTTGGCGCCTCGCCCTATCATCCATTCGCACAATGACAATCCTAACCCTCCACTTAATCCAGCAAGCCAGTAGGTTTTTTCGTTCGAGAATACTACGTGGTCTTCAATCTTGCTGACCTTGACAGCTATTTCTTCAGCCTCCCAGTGGATCACAGTCATTGGGTCATTACCAACGCAGGCTAGATCTTTGATAGATATAGAGTTGACTTGAGCATCTAAAGAAGCCCGTGTAAGTGACATTATACAACGTGATGCATATCGTACTGCCTGATGCAATCGTTGGCCGCAAGCTACATTGCCTGCAGGGTCATGAGCCGATGGTAACTGTGAGAAATAGTCATTTAGTGACTGGAACCCATAGCATCGTGAACGAAGTGCCATGATCCGTGCAGTCACGCTAGAAGGGCTTGTTTTTCTTTCACAATTCAAGAATGTCGCCTTGTGTGACGGTAGGAGAGTACTGATAGTTCGATCGGGAAATCTTGGGTTGATGTAGATGTGTCCCTCGGTACAGGAGCCTCCAGTTGATTTAATTCCGACGAATGTAAGTTGGACACCCCGATCTTTTGCTACTGCTCTTAACGCCGTTGCAAAAGTTTCCTCGGGCTCGAAAACCAGAAGATGGTCCTCGGTAGAGATACTGTCCAAGATTTGTATGCATATCAAAGCCTGTGCGACAAGAATCGTAAACGTGGACATCAAGTCTTCCGTGATGTCTGTCGGAAGTGCGGTACTTTGTATAGCTTGGACTCTGGGCGCAAGCTGAGATGATAAAACCACGTGCGACGAGCGAGCATCTACGGCCTTTGCAAGACTAACGTGGGCATAGCTCGATCCGTTGTCGAGTCGTACAGCAGAGATCAATGAAACTGTAGGCGTGAACCTTGCATCTTTCGCAGCAATGGCTGGCTCTTCCACAAATTGATACACCCCGCCGGATCTCTGCAGCTGCAGACTAGCAGCGATTGGTTCGCTCGAATCGAGGCGTACAGTTTTGAATACAGAGCGTCGGCCCGAGTTGTAACGATCATTCATCTCAATTCCGGGCTTGAGACGAGGTATCAGCATCTGGCCTTGAGAATCGAGCACGAATTCACGCTCAAGGTTTCCGAAAATGGGTTCCCCTGATTCCTGCTGACTTACCATAGCCACTTGAGCTTCGAAACGGAGCAGTGCGGTGGCAACGGCACTTGCATCCAGCGCATCGTCACACTCAAAGTCGAGGAACTGAGATGTCAGTGTCGCAGCTTCGCAGACCACTCCACGGATCATCCCCACTGTCATTGCAATGAAAGGATTTGACGAGCGTCTACCCCGAGTTATCCAGAAAATTGATCCAAGGCTAAGCAAGGCGGTCTTGACTGCCTCAAATTCTGCACTATTCAAATCCTGCAATAATGGCTGGTCAAGCTCGGCAAGACTCAACACCAGGCTCGATGACGATAAATTCAACCCGGACTGAATTAGTTCAGCGAAGGACTTAAATCTCCGCAAAAACTGGAAATGTTCCTGGAGTGTGGGTGCCAACTCAGCCATCAGGTGTTTCGTCTGCTGACCTTTACCTCCAACAATCACAATCTCATTCCTTATGGCACTTATGGATTGTGGTGGAGGCAGAGACAACGGATTACGAATATAGCTGATCCGATCGTCGATAGCTTGTGTCACGAAGACTGCAGTTGGGTGAGAAAATGGATGCAACGTCGAAGAGCATGTGTCGACTCCAGAAAATCCGGTCTCGCGTAACTTCTTATCCCATTCGGCAACTGACACGAGAGGCCCAATGACGCGCCCTTCGCCAGCTCCCAGCCACCAGTCAGGGAATGCTCCAAAGATGGCGCCAGTTGTTCCAACGTCGTTAGTGAAACCCTCCTGGATAACTAGGTAACCACCCGGTTTCAATAAACGTCGGATGTTTTGCATGGTCTGACGGAGGTCTTTGGTGACATGCAGTACCATCGATGCGATGATGACATCGTAAGAGTGCGGTTCGAAGCCTTGGGCTATTGGATCCTTACCCACGTCAAGCACTTGATACTTCATTTCAGAAGCCTGGCTCTCGAAAACTTGTCGAGCCGTGGGGAAGAATGCCGAAGAAACGTCAGTGAACGTGTACGACGCAAAACTGTCGACAATGTTGAAAATGGCTTTATTACATCCTCCAGTTCCGCCGCCTACCTCTAGGACGTTCAGATGTTGGTATCTGTGGGTAATTTGTGATATCACTCTTGCCAAAATATGGGTGACTTCCTTCAAGCCTAGACTAGCAACGTAGACCTCATTCAGCAAGTGATCCTGCATCGCAACCTCGATGGCGGCAACCTCTTCGTTGGCAATCTTGACCAGATTCTCGCCTATGCGCTTGAGCAGTCTGACATCGACATTGTCTTTGAATGGCTCTATTGCTTCGGCTATAGTCTCGAACGTGTCTTCATGCCACTCTGGCTTCCAGAACTTTCTGTCACCCGCCTTGATCATCGAATCAGTGTGACTGGCGAATCCAAACATGCCGGCAATTGGGCAAGTTTGGCGGCGAGAGTCTTCTGGAGGAATGGAACGGAGTAGATTTTGCAGGTAGAATTGAGAAAGCCTCTCAAGCAGCTGATCGAGCTTCACTTCCTCTTGAGTAGGATTTAGATCTTGAGATGCAATGGCTGCATATGGGAACGCAGGTCCCCACCCTACAGCCGCCAGGATTTCTTGATCGTCCTTAGCAGATGCAGGAGCAAATGGAATGCAGTCAAGACCCTCCACCTGGCAGAGTGCATGTGCATCGCCCTCGGATGCTGGATAGATGTCGACGTCTCCCTGAAATTTCGCCGTCTTGATAGATTGGCAGGCGTCGAGGTGTAATGATCTACCCCTGGTCAGATCTGGCTGCCATAAGGCAGGATTGACCACAACACGCTTGATCGTTTTTGGAACGTGAAGTGACCAAAGTGTTCCATCATACGGGGCAGCTTGCGCAAGGAGTACCGCCTGGAATGCTGCATCCAACATAGCTGGATGCAGCATCAACTTAGAGTCTGGATAATTGGGGTTCGTCACCTGTCCTCTGACTGCACCAAGCTTGCGCGTCAGTCCATGGAGGGCTTCGAAAGGTCCACTGTACTCATACTCCATACGACGAAGTGACTCATACAAGTCCTCTATCCTCACCGGAAGAGTGTTTTCTGTGCATCCTCTGCCGACATAATACCAGCAGCATAAGCTGTAGCAACTTCTCCCGAAGAATGACCCAGAACTGCAGAAAATTGAAGGCCAGCCGAGCGCGCAATGTCGATCAGAAGAATTTGGATTGCTGTACAAAGTGGCTGCGAGAATTCCGATTCACTGACCCGGGAGTTATGATCACGTAACAGCTGTTCTCTCAGCGACCATGTGGGACGGGAAGATTGGGGAAGTCGAGCCAAGCTTTGCTCTAGTGTTTCTATGATGCGTGACGCAGTTTTCGAGGTTAACAGCAACTCAGCCCCCATAGTGGCCCACTGCGCACCCTGTCCGGTGAAGGTGCCTATGATGCCAGAAATGTCTTGAAAACCTTTAGGGCTTTGAGCTGCCTGTGACCCAACTGGCTTTCCGTTGGCTTCTGCCTCTCTGACAAGCTCCTGAATCTTCTTCAACAGTTCAGGACCATCCTTGGCGACCACTTTCAATATAGGTGGACCAATCGAGGGAGTACAAAACCCAAGGAAAAAGGCCAGAAGAGCTTTACAATGCAAGGCTTATGATTTGTCATCCTTGTTCCACCACTCCGTCAAATGGGATCCTCATTCGCCTTATTTACAGCATGAAACTAGATTGTTAGTTCGAGGAAGAGATTGCACAGAGGTTATGGCACCGACAACCTCCTAGTCCGCGCGTTTTGACGTACTCGCTAGATCATGTCGCACCCTGAGGCGCATGTCGTACGGACCGCTCACGATGTCGTAGCCCGAATCCATTCCGACGAGATGGAAGTAGAATAATCGTAGTGCAGCCGCCTCAATATAAATACCAGCTATGTACCATGACGCCCACGACTACGCCATCACACTTTGCAGATGTGTAGTTCAAAGTAGTAATTGTAAAGAATATGTCAAACTACACCGGTGTGTATGATACCAGCGATATTGGAACCCACAGGTCTCAATAATTCGAAAGCCATAATTGAAACAAGGTATCTATTCTCTGCAAACTCGACTGGGTACCGAAGGTATTCTCCCAGAGTCACCACGATTTACCAAAGCACGCGTCTTGTGCCGACATGAGCGCGATCAGCAGATGTGCCGCATGAAGGTGAGGTGACATGATTCTTGAGGTCGCGCATGCGGGCGACGAGAAGAGCCTTCAGCCTGGGTTGATGATCGGTATGCATACGATAATTTGGACATGCTGCAGATGACCAGATTCGACCAATCCTCCCTGCGCCATACAGCACATTGGACTACAGCAAAAGTGTCGCTAAGCCCAGCTGTAAGACTCAGCTCGCAATATAAGCCTTTTGCACAATCAACGTCACCATTTCACTCCGCTATGCATGAATACATGACCAGTCTGTTGCAGAAGCTCATTTCGTCGAGGCGGAAAGCCCCATGCAGCCCCTCGTGAATGCGATGTTGTTTCACAACATACACCTTAGCGAACTTCCAAATCTTCGTATAAAGTCGTGTAAACTATTGTTTTCGACTCCTTTCCTCAATTGCTACAGCGCTTTCAGCATCTTCGAGAGTGCAACAAGTTTCGACATTCGACAAAATTTTCACTTCACCATGAAATATCTCACTCTCCTCGCAACATTATGCTCTATCTCAGCAGCCGCTCCCGCATACATCACTCCCCAATGCCCTCCAATCCCCCAAATAGCCCCAACCGGCCAACTTCCCGCCGGCAGCCTCTCGCCCGCTTTCCTCCTCCCAGTGTCCCAATTGCAGCCCAACCACACTTTCCCCGCCAGTCAGTCCGCCATCGTTACGCCCCACGACAAATGCACACTCACACGCTTCGACATCCCCGCATCTGCTCAAAACAAGACATGCAGCCTCGTGCTCTTCCTCGGCACCGGCGGTAAGGAACAAGGGCCAGGAAATATTATCTTCCAGGGTAATTTGGGAGTGAGATACCCGATCCCGGGCGAAACTACTTGGGCGAATCAGCCGCCTCTGGGTGCGCCGTTTGCGGATGCGCCGCTGATTAGAGTTGGGGAGGCGTATCGGCTTGGTGGTGGGCCGTGCGATTATACGCCTGGTCAGGCGTTTACCAGTGTTGGAGGGAGTATTTGTAGTAACGATACTACGCTGACGTTTACGCAATCTGATGGGGGCTGTGGAAAGTGTCCGGTTGGATTTCACATTATCATCTTGTGAGTCCGAGAGAGGGATCAAAGAGATGTTTGAACAATGGAAGTCTGATGAGCTTCCTTGAGAGTATTTCCTGGAAGCTTACTGGTTCACAAGTTATCTGCCGTTGCGATTGCAATAAGTCTTTGATGTTGGTCATAGCTAGAACAATCAACATATTGCCAACAGAACTTCTAGTTTTAATGGTCTTAATGGTCAGTGTATTTGTGAGAAGTGATGCAGCGGGGGTTCCAGAGCATGGCACTTGCGAGTTGGTCATGATGCACAATCTTCCACACACATCGCCGATTGGCATTGGAATTAACACTTTGCTCCAGCCAGTACTTGCCGGTTCGGGTGCAGTTTGAGAAAGCCACATTAGAAGGGAAAATCATGCTGTACTGCTTGCATTAGCAAGCTGCGTTGCGACGCTCCATGTCAGCTTCCGCAGTACACTGAAGTTATTCGGTCGGTCGATCTGGTGTGGCATACTTGGTTATGATGGTTTGATAAGACAATGATGACACGAGAGTACGAGTGTAAATGGACACAAAGAAATATCCGACATTTATGCACGGTACAAGAATGATGTCTGGTAATCTTCTTCAGAGTGATGGTAGCACAGCTGACTAAGCCAACCATCGGCGTTCCTGATCGCAAACCTCCGATGCGAGCTCAAGACCGTCATCGAGAAATTCTGTAGACACTGCGAGCGCAACACCTCTCCCACACGCACATCTTCCACGCCCTCAAACCGACTCAATTCGTTCTTCACAACCCTGCTACCACACAAAATGGACGCACTAGGAGGCGGTCTCGCCAATGTCGACCTGAGCAAGCTCAGCGACCGCGACAAGCAGGAACTCCAGCAGTTCGCTATGAACGAGGGACAGAAGGCTAGGATCCAGTCATGTGAGTCTTCAATTACCAACGTGCATCATAAGACACTTGGACTGATGATCCAGCAATACACTCCCTGACCGACACCTGCTTCCGCAAATGCATACCTGCGGGCAACGTCAAGAACGGCAAGCTGGACAAGTACGAGGAGCCGTGCATGAGGCAGTGCGTGGATCGGTTTTTGGATGCGAATTTGGTGGTGTTGAGGGAGTTGGAGAGGTTGAGGCAATAGAGGGTTGGTGGTATATGGGATGACGGATCACACGACGAAAAGTCACAGTCGATGCGAATCATGAGGCGGCAATGTATGATATCGACAAGATATGAAGAAATGTACAATATGGACTTAGTTCTTTTACACATACTTTGAGAACGAGTGGCTGTGTAACGAACGGAAATGTGCATGTATTAGGGTCATCAATCATGTCACTTTAAGCCATGCTTCACGTTTGATCACATTCATGCGCATCACGAGCAGTCCAAGTACGAAAGTGCGGAAGCAAGAGCCCGGTAGTGACATCATGTGGGAATAGATTCATTCAGTCATCCTAGACTTGGTATCCTTGAACGCCGCCATGATGCATAACATCGCTTTTCCGTTGCCGGGTATAACCAGCCCCAAGTATCTCGTGCCTATACGTAAACAAGTCGCTTAAACGATGGCGAGCTTGGTGGCGGCAATGTCGAGAGCGTCGACATCGGCGGTAAGGCGGGCAAAGGCCTTCTTGGAGCCGTCTGGGCGGATGAGGGTGTTGATCTTGACGCAGCTGACGTCGTACTGCTTCTTGAGAGCAGCGGCGATCTGGCGCTTGTTGGCCTTGACGTCGACGATGAAGACGAGGGTGTTGTTCTCCTCGATCTGTCCCGGTGTTAGTCCGTTGATCCTCTCCATTCAGATTCCAGTGTCGCGTACCTTCTTCATGGCGGACTCGGTGTTGAGCGGGTGGATAAGGACCTTGGAGGCATCCATGCGAGGCTCATGGGGAACCGACTTGCGGGGGTACTTGGGCGCGCGAGACAGCTGGAGGGTCTTGGGGCTGTGATATGTTAGCCGACGTCCACCTCACTGCGCGCATCTCAACCTCAACATACCGGTGGAAGCTGGTGTTCTTCCTGATCGCCCGCTTCTTGTTCGCGTACGACTGTCATCTCGTTAATTGTGCCCATCACACGAGAAAAACAGCCCGTCAGAGATGAATTCTGACACGACTCAAGAGGATCAAGGGAGGCTTACGCCGCGGAGGGCCGACTTAGCAGCGGCATTGGCCTGCTTGCCAGTCTTGGTGGCTGCAGAAATGTTAGCCATGATCGCAAATTGGGGGGGTTCGACTGAGGCGCATGCGCTGTTGCTTCGCGATCTCGATGTGTCCGGTTCCGCGCGCAAAAGCTTCGGCAATGCGTATTTATTCTCCTCGGTCGAAAGAAGGCTTCTTCAACGTACTCTTGGTGGTGGCCTTGGGTCCCATTTTGGCGATGTGATGGTCCTGTCGTGTTAGTGTCGAGAGTCAAAGAGCAAAAAGTTCGCTCTGGAAAGAACGAATTTGGCCCTCTGTGGCTCGCTTACGAGTGGAGCGCGCTAGTCACCATGTGGATGCTAGCGCCAAAAACACAGATCGAACTCTCGGCATCGCGAACTCCAGCTCCAACACCAAATATGTGAGGCGACCATGACTGTCAAAAAGCGCACAAAGACACTTGCGAGTGGGCGGCCGCCTGCAAGCCGTCCAAAGGATCGAATGACATCCGAGCGGTCTCGGACCATCATCCGCACCCATCACACCCTCCAGAAGGACCATGCAGCAGCCCTAAAACGAGGTGATGCAAAGGCCGCCCATGACATTGCCCAAGCCATAGAGAAGAATGGCGGCATCAAAACTTACCAAGCGGCCAGCAAGCAAGGCCAGGCGAAAGACCGAGGCGGCGATTCCAGCAAGGTCCTGGTAGACTGGCTTCAGCAACTGCAGGTTATCGACAAGAAAGATCACGCTTCTGGATCCCCCTTAAGTTGTCTCGAAGTGGGCGCTCTCTCAGCGAAAAATGAGATCTCCAAGTTCCCGGGCAAGATTGAGATGACGAGAATCGATTTGAACAGCCAGGGTCCCGGCATTGAACAACAAGACTTTATGGAGCGGCCACTTCCTGCATCCGAGAGCGAGCAATTCGACATAATTTCGCTATCCTTGGTGCTCAACTACGTACCAGATGCAGCTGGTCGCGGCGAGATGCTCAAGCGCCTCACCAAGTTTCTCCGGCCCGCCAAAGAGGATTCGGAGACACTGAAACCCAGCGTGCCGCTTCTGTTCCTGGTGCTACCATTGCCGTGCGTGGAAAATTCTCGATACGTTAACGAGCCACTCTTGTTACAGATCATGAAGAGCCTTGGCTTCATGAAGCAGTTCAGCAAGAACACGACAAAGCTGTGTTATTACCTTTTCACGTGGAATGGAAAGGTTCTTCCGCGAAAATCGGGGAAGAAGAAGTTAAGGGATAAGCCAGCCATGAACAACTTCTGCATCGTCGTGGAGTGATGCTTTTCAGCAGTCCAGTATGGCTAAGATCGCTATCGACTAGCCCCGAGAATTGGAGCAGCGAGCACCCGCACCCACCCAGGAGCCCGAAATGAGGAGATCATTGATCGGCTCTGGGTGGTGATTCAGTCGCAAATGTATGGCATCGCGAATTTCGTTCAGACAGTAACGCGGCGCCAGCACCAGCCCGATCATCACGGGCTGTCATTCAACACAACCATGGCGAAAGTTTCGAAAGAATTGTCGTTCGCGTGGGTTGCAACTTTTCCAAACACAGCCGACCAACATTCCCCGAAAATTGTCGAGCTATCACGGCTTCGCTGATCCGTCAATTCGATGCACATCTTCATCAGACCACAAAGGTTCTGCGAGGTCAGATATGGCAAGGATGACAGTCGCTGTCGGCATGGAGGGTAAGCGATGGCTAAGGTATCGCTTGAAGAGCCTGGTTACATAACCCTGGTAGGTTCAAGCTGTGGACGTGCGGGCTGCGACTTACTTGAGGTCAGGTCGAATGCGAATTCTTTTTTTGCGTGCCACAGCGAGCTCATCTTTCTATGTTGTGGTTTATTCGCTCAGGAGATGATAATGTGGACGAGTAATCTCCAAGTCTTTATGGCCTGAATACAGTTGTTCGAAAAGTCATCGTTGCGGGGTCGTCCCACTAGCAATGCGCCCAGACGACAAATTACTGGTATTGGAGGATACCGCAGGCCGCCCGTGCACGAGGCGTCCCATCTTAGTTCTTTCATCTGTCAAATCGCCAGGCATCAGCAACTACCACCAAACTGTGGTCCTGAAGAGCGCACTGTCGAAGTTCTGAGCTTGACGTGTGAAAACCTACTCAGGTATGCAGTCTCCCGAAGTCTAACTTTGCATAGAGGTAAAGAACACAATCGTGATTGTTCAGCAATTCCCTAACCTCAAGCAGCTTCTGAAAAGTACTTACATGCTGTGCATTTGCATACGTGGGTTGTGGTGATTGTGACTTTGGCCTCAGGAGCGAAACTCGCCATGTCATCAAAAGCGCTCGACAGGGCCAGGAACCGATCCGTCAAGACTTGCACGCAATGCAAGCAAGTCAAGGTTCGTCTCGCTAAGATTTGCCGCTGAGGATGTGACCTCTCATTGACGGGGAAAGCTGCGATGCGACTCGAGGGATCGCTTCCCAGCACCATGTACAAGATGTCAGACCAGAGACCTGCAATGTGTGATTGATTCTGCATTTCGACGAACTCCGGCAAGAAAGTATGCAGGTACCAGAAGTAGGGAAGAATCGAGCTAACAAGAATGTAGAAGAATAGAAGAGATGGCAAAGGAGCTTGAAGCTTTGAAGACTTCGAGACATGATGCAGTCCACAGCCACACGGAATCACCCAATGAGCTGGACACTACCCAAGACTCGCCGGATCATCCGTTGAACCTTACTGGTACCGCCACGCTAGATCTGTCCGGTCTCGAGAGGAACGATTATGAGTTGGACGATTGTGTTATCAACAGTGATACCGTTATCGAAATTTTCCAACTGTATGCATCTGCGCCCATGCAATCACACGTTCTGATTTGCTGACACTACACAGCTTCTGCGTTCACTTCTATCCCCATCTTCCAATATTGAACCCCACCATATCCATTTCAAGCTTATACGACCTATCACCTATTCTCTTCTGGACTATCGTCGCGATTACTACAGCAAGACCTATAATAGCGTCGTACGAATCTATCATTGCAACACTTCGAGAGCCATTTGTTCACTACTTCCGAAATGAGATACTTGATGCACCCCTGCCGTTACAAACCATCCAGGCAATCACATACCTGACAATGTTCCCATTGACGCTCGAGAGTCAAACTGAGGATCCCAGCTGGCTTTATTCTGGCGTCGCTGTCAACGCTGCCATGTACATGGGCCTTCATCGAGCGAAGCCCGCGCCGTCTCTACGCAGCATAGGTGTGTATGCCGGGTCACCACGTGCCAGAGCTCACACGTGGCTCGGGTGTTTCGTAGCCAGTACCTCGTAGGTCAGCACACACGACATTGTCTTTCCCCGCTAAACATCCACCAGTCTCGCAAAGCATGTGGGTGTAACAGCTCCCATAAAGAGCCTCACCGACCTCGCAGCCATCGAATATATGCTACGCACCTACCCGCTGCCCCCCGAATTCGCCTACGAAGTAATGGTGCACCACACGCTGGCCAAGTTCTTCAGCATCATCGTAGAAAACTCCGAGGAGAACGTCAGTCACTCGTTAATCGGCATCATCGACGCCGAGCTCGACAGCCTGCGCACACGCTTCCCCACGCCGTGGACAACGCGCACCGAAATGGCGTATCTAACCGCAAAAATCCTGCTGTACACGACCGTCATCCTACGCCTGCAATCCGACCGGTCCGCGCGCGAAATCCTCATGCGCAAAGCCCTCACCGTTGCCGTGCGCATCGCATACCTCACCAACCAAGGTCTAGCCTACCGCTCAACCGAGTTCCCCAACCTGCGCCCGCAGGATCTAGGAAACACGCTGCCGAAAAATTACTACCGCACACTCATCCTCTCTACCGCGTTTCTGATACGCTTCTTCGTGCTGAATGTGAACGCGCAGCCGGAGGAGCAGGAACTCGCGCGGAACCATGTGGCGCTTGCGCAGCGCTATCTCACGCTCAGCGGCGAGGATCCGCGAGATGAGCGCGTTCGAGGCGCGATTTTATTCGACGTGCTGTGTAAGCAAGCGCCGATTGATCTGGAGACGGCGAAGCTCAAGGTGGACGATCGCATGGCTGCGTCGTTGTGGTATGATGCGATATCCACGGGGCATGTACTGAGGAATCGGCCGGTGGAGGTGGAGGAGGCGTCGCCGAGGGCTGCGGGCGAGGATTCCACAGCGGGTCAGGAGATCGGAGGGGAGACTGCGACGCAAGATGCGTTGTCATATGAACCTGGGGTGATGGACTTTGGGGCGATGGACTTTTCGCTGCCGGAGGATCTTTGGGGGGATTCGATTTGGGGCATGTTTGATCCAATTGCGCCTTCCACGCATCCGGGGACGGGAGAGGGTCAGTTCTAGAAATGAAATGCGCAATCTTAATGCGCACCTCACTTCGGGGAGACACAGACCATATGACTCAGACAGCGAAAGCTGCTCGCATGTGCATTGCACGGTACAAAGGTGCCATAACCATTACACAGATGAAACCGCTGTCGAAGGAAGCGCGATATCATCGACAGAAGACTGATTCTGGACACATCTACAATTCAGAATACGGGTACTTGGATTAAGCATACTTTCGTGCTATTTGAATATAATATAAGATAAAAGACATACAAAGAAGCGAACTAATCATTCAAGACCATAAAATGCACCAAACCTTCTCCCCTATCGCGGATCGCAAATGCATCCACAACGACTTAGAAGTTCCCACCAGCCGTCTTCAACGCATTCGGCGTAACGCTGACGCCCTTGACAACCACCGTCTTACCGTCAATGCTGGTAATCTTGATGTCCACGCTATCTGTTCCAAATCCGCTCGGTTGCTCGAAGAAGTTGTACGGCTTACGGGTCGTCGCCTTCCAGCTAGCGCCTCCATCCGTGCTGACCTCGAGCTTGGACACGCCCACGTTGGCGTTCATGACCTGGATGCTGAACCAGAACTTGCTGGTGCCGGACTTGTTCTTGAGCACGATGGGCGTCGTGATACCACATGGGACGAAGTCCCAGGACACGTTGATTATGCCCTTGGATGGGTCGGCGAGCTTAGCAAAGGCGTCGGGGTAAAGATCCACGTGATGCGGGCCGCAGCCAGGGCACTGGTCAACAACCATGGCAGTGATCTTGGTCTTGCCGTCGGGTCCGGTAACGGACACACACTGTCCGCAGGCGTTGCCGCTGTCCCAGTCGGAGTCGGTGAGCGCGGTGCCGAAGAGTCCAGCTGGGATGGTATAGCCGGTGAAGGAACACATGCCGCCAGCGGTGTTGCCGCCGTAGAAAGTGGCTTCGCCACGCTTGGAGCCGGCGGCGGCGCTTGAGGTGCCAGGAACCGTCTCAGGTGCTTCTTGGGGTGCGGCGGCGGCTACTTTGGGGGTGGCAGCAGCAGCAGGAGCAGCTTCGGAGGTGGGGATGGCTTGGCCAATGACAGAGAACGAGGGGAGATCGGATGTCGGTGTCGCAGGTGCGCTACTAGAAGTCAAGAATGTCGATCTTGCGCTGCTAGAAGCGTGGTAGGTTGCGTTGGGGTAGTTGCCCCATTGTAGGGACGAAGACGCATGGGAGGCGGCGGGTGGAGCGCCGGAAGGACGGACGGTGACAGTGGTCTTTACAGTCTTGTAGCTGATGCTCGTCACGTCGATAGTCCCCGGGTCCGTGTTGCTAGCACCGACGGTGACAGTGACCTTCTCGACTTTGGTGGCCGTGACGGTACGCCTGGAGCATGAGGACGAGGTGACAGCCTCTGGTGTGGCTCTTCCCTTTTCGGCCAAAACAGGAGTGACGGTCTGGTACTCATACTGCGTCTTCGTGACGGTCTTACGCTGGGCATCACAGGTTGAGGACTCAGCGAAGGCAAGGCCAGCCAAAGGCAAGAGGGCGAAGATAATAGACCTCATATTGTCAGATCTCAAGTTCGACTTGTAGATCAGAGTTGTAGGACGACTCGCGTCAGCTGTAGAGATTGACTGAAAAGAATGGAAGCAGCGCTATGGCTTGCAGTAATGAATGACGGTGATGCAAAAGACGAGAGAACGTGAAACAACCATCAGCTCACGAGTGCAGTCAGCGTAGATAAGTTCCTTTCCACGCCTCATTACAAAACGCCCCCAACTATTCCCTAAACAATCCTTCCGAACACTACAGTGGAGATTCGGCAGGAAATTTGAGTGCTGGAGAAACAAGCTCATATCGGTGGAGGCATTCGGCGGGAGAACAACGTGGGTCTGGCCGGCAGCCAACATGGTTCACGATAGGTCAGTCGCTACACGGCGTTCTAATTCTGCAGGCTTGAGGTTCTAGATTGCTGTTGTGACAGAGGCGAAGTCATGGGTTCCTCGGTTTGTGATGATGAAGTGCCGGGTTGGAGGTCGGCGCTAGGTGGAGATCAAACACTGGCGAGATGACGCAGCGGGAACTCCAATATTTCGGTCAAACGATGCAGACCGAACGGACCGAGCAGTCATGAACATCGAATTTCTTGTTACTCCAGGACACTTTCTGGTAACTTGAGCATGACGTGTGGCTGCGAACGGAGCAGAAGTCGTTGTGTATACTTGGTGGACATGTACAACGAGCATGACCGGAAGCGCCGTTTCAAACAACTAACGCCGTGCTACTGTCGGGTGTTTACTTTTTGTGTAACGGGACTGTTGGTGTCACGATGCGGTTAGAGTAGCAATTAATCTTACTCGAAGTGAACTGGGCCAGCCTTGTTGTGGGTCGTGTGTTGTTAGGTCGGTGATGTCGCGGGCTAATTGCAGTAGGTAATCCGATCCATTTACCTCAACGGAAGCTGAACGTGCCGTTTGAGCCAACAAAGGTCGATAGTATCCGCTCAAAGCGGAAGTTTGAATGTTTACCATTAGGTTGTCGTATATTGTATGCTTGTTGGTACTCTTAGGGCGCGCAAGGTCTTAAACTGCAGAAGGCATCTGGCCAATGTCATCGAGTGGGGGAATGTTGAGGAACCAGAGATCGTCCATCATGAATTCCGAGGTGTCTTCGAAATTAAAAGCATCAAATTCTAGCCCAGCGCTTGCCACAATATCCATCGGTGCCGGCTCAGAAAGTACTTGGGATGTTGTCGTCGGCGTCTTGGGACGCGTCCCCAACACGACCTGTTCGCATCCACTTGTTATGACATGCTCAAAATAATCTAAGAAAAGGTACTGACCTCAGTCGCCAGCGTCTCTTCCGTCGGTTCATCTAACACTGATAATGATTTGTGCAGCAATTTGGCCACCCTGTCAGCCGCCTGCCTTTTCAAGCTGTCTGACTGCGAGGGTTGGAACTGCGTCTCAACGAGGCTGACTGCAGCACTAACATACCAGAAGTACTCGGTTCCTTTACCCGGCCGCATCGCGCGCTCCTCAAGGAGCCGAAGAGCCTTTTCTTTATTGTCATCAAATATCTGCTTGGCTAGGCGCGGTAGGATGTTATCTTAGTGGCGTCAGCAGGGGATCAGGCAAGGCGACTTCAGTCGATTACCGTTTTCACTGCGCGCGTAATACGCGATGTGTGTGATGAGCAATATGGCTCGGAGATAATCGAGGCGCTGCGAAAGTGCGGAGAAGTTCCCGGTCTTGATCAGTAAGGTGTGTCGATTTATCGTCGCCGCCGCAGCATCGAGAGCTGTGATCATTGCGTATCGGCGTTCGGATTCTCTCCTTGCGTCGACTTCTAATACGCGCGGCATATGAAGTATGACTATAAATTGCCGCAGCTGAAGTTCCAGAAGCTGCTTAACCTGAATCGATCGGGCGTCGGCCCAAGAAGGTATATTGGTAATATGCTGGTTGAGATTGTTCTCATGCTCGAGAATCTCGTACAGGACGGGCTTATCCTTTAGACTGTTCATTAATGAGCATATTGCAATTCTCCGATCGAGCGTAGAATTGGACAGATGTAGGTAGGCTGTGTCGGTGTACGTCGTGATTCCGTGAGAGCGAGGCAGCGCAAGCAGATCAATTGTGAGTTCGTCGTCGTCAATATTGCGAGGTGCTGAACAATCATAGTCTAGACCGCTAAGCACAGATGAAACACCTAGGTTCGCGATCAGGTCTGATTAAGAGAACAAGTGACATGTGGGAAGTAACCTTTGTCAATCGATGCTTGAAGCTCCATGTCCATAGTTGTTGCCCAGAGTCTTCTCCGCATCTCTCCTTCAAATGCCGAACACCGGGTTCCAAATATACTTGGATCCCGATGCATGCCTCCTGAGCGCATGATTGCGACATGTGTTTGTACCTCTTGGTAGTATTCTTTGACCTTCGAACGTGTTGTCGCAAGAGCCAGGAGTCGCAAGCAGCGCACTTGCAGCGTCGCCAAGCTGCGGCGCTTGTTGCTCTGCCGCTTCAGCCAGGCCTCGAGGGCTCTAATCCACAGAACGCCTTTGGAGTGGAATGTCGATCCTGCGTGGTTATAGCGGGGTGTTGTGTGAGTTGCCGTGCAGATTGTGCATGCTAGTATTGCGAGTATAATGGCATCCATGTCAGTGTCTGTGGTAGCGCCACTATCCCAGTACTGCTCGTAAGCTTTTTTGAAGGTTGGCACATGTATGATTCTTAGTGTGCTCTCAAATGTGTCGAAGTATTTCTTCAGGAGGAGGTCTACTGTGCGTCGTTCGGGGAACAAAGATCGCAAGCTTGATGCGTTGAAAATACGCTGGTGTTGTTGCATTTGCCGAGCCCGGTCCTCAGACGCTTTCATGTCCTGTGACAATCTTCGAGCCGTAGATTCACTGTATGCCGATTTCATATACGAACGCAGCTCGGGAAACTGGAACTGTCAGTCCATGGCAGTAACCTGATGTCTGTCGTGGTCACCAGCGACACAATCAAGGAGAGGAGCCTTACTTGGGCAACTATAGACATGGCTGAAGAAGCGCCATAGAAATGTGTCCCGTATCCACGTCCTTTCAGTATACCCATAACTGCAGAGGAGCGGCTGATGCCTTTCAAGTCAGGTGAGTTAGCGAGGAATTCCACTTGATCCTTCCGCTCTGGCGCATGAGTCGAAGCATGTTGCTGAAGGAGAGAGAGTTCGCGCTCAAGCTTTTCGAGCCGATCTTGTGCTGTCACATCCGGTTGCAGTGTGGAGTCTTGCTCGCATACATGGTGTCTGCTCTCAGAGGCGATGTGTGACTGGACTTCTTGTTGGCTCCTCGAACCTCTCCGTCTCTTTTTGATGGCGTATTCTTGAAGCTCATCAGACACGACGCTATACGCTTCAGGTCCGTACGCGCACGACTGAGCGACACCGCCTTTGATGCATCGGTTGCATGGAGCTAGACGATCGCATTTCAGCTTTCTTCGGCGGCAGTCATTGCACGACAGAATTGCTCGCTGTCTTCGAGGCCTCGGAGGAGTGTCGTTCATGGTCAAATTTGAGAGGCGTGGATAGTGAGAAAAGGTGGTGAGGTGGTGAGGCAGCTACGTGATGAGGAAGGAGCAGCTCGGATATGTTATGTCCGAGCCATGAGATATCCGAGTGCGTCATTGCGAGCGCTCGGCGAAAGAGATTCATGTGCGAAGCAATGCCGAACACGATCAAGATCATCGAGAGCATAAAGGTGTGTGGTAGTAGATCCAGACACCTGGGACCTGGACACCATGTCCGACATGACGTGCCCGGTGCCCGGCAAACCCATCCGATAGGTAGACGCACGTGACCGCTCAAGTTTCCAAGGTCCACGGTTCCCAGAAGGTTGCATGTACTGGATCATCGACGTTACAGACAAGTTCCGGCGAGGCCATGTTGCAGCAAGTAGAGAGTCGTACTGTTGGTGTCGTAGACACTGTCTGATCATGATTCTGATCATGATCTGACCGAGTCATTTGAGGCTGAGTAGCCGATGATCGTCATAGTTTGTCCGAGACCGCCAAGGCTGCATCAACGCCGAGTCGGTCTTGCAAGCCGATATCGTGAGACAGCTGCAAGGCACGCGTGGTGTTGATGAATGATGTCTCTGGACGCAGTGCATACCGCACACCGGTAACCCCCATCGTGGCGTGACATGACGCTGCAGTTCCAAGGTGCGTAGTCCGGTGCCTGTCCTGACTCGGCTGATGTGGGACGCAGCCAGTGCCATGCAGCCGTCGCCCAAGCGGCGCAGCTGTCGTCGATGCGCGATGCCTCACAGCTATCGCGATCAGCGATGACAGTTCTAGACCGTCGCGACGCCTTGCACACCTGCTCGCAAGGTCGCGGCCATGGAGGTGATCTGGTCTAAGTGTCCGTGTCAGGCACGCACACGGACAGCGGGGCAGGCTGGGTGTTTTCAAGAGTGACAATCGTGCTTGACGTCACTGTCGTTCTTCTTATTTCTGTGCATCACGCTGCTGCGCGGTAGCCAGTGCAGTCCTCGAGCGCACACTGCGAGACCCGCCAAACCTCACGGCACCTGGGGCGCCCTCGACCATCGGCGCCATGCAGAATCTGGACAAACTCAGCGCGACTGGCTTGCCTGTGTTCGACCTCAACTCGGAGCATCTGGACGAGAGGGACTGGTGAGACGACCTTCATCTACCTGCTGCCCCTGCTGCTTCTTACGTCGCTCACCATACGCAGGTCCAAATCGCCGCTGGGCCCGCGCGATACGTGGCCCTCGTCACTGCAGTGTCTCGTCAACTCGTGCATCCTGCCCATGCCCCATTGCGCCGCCATTTTCTGGGGAGAGCGCCTCGCCGTCGTGCACAACCTGGCCTGGCAAAAGGCGCGGGGTGACCTCGATGGCCAGGGATCGACAGGCGAGAACAGCTATGGCGGCGAGGCCATGGGCACGCTGTCCAAAGTGCTGCGCGGCCGCACGGTCAAGGTAGGTAAGCATCGCGCAACGTCTTCCCTACCGCACCCACCCTGACATGCCACAGCCGCGCGCTTCTTCTTGCAGCGGCTTCCAGATGAAGACCATGATGCCCAAATCCTCCTCAGCACCCTGCTCGACGAACATGGCTCACGGCAGGGCGTCCTCGCCCAGCTTCTGCAGAACAGCGGCGTCGAGAAGTACATGCCCATAGATGGCCTTGACAAGCTCACGCACGATCGCCCGGGCAGACAAGTCAAGCCGCTCCAAACCCAGCAGAAAGAGCTCAAGGCAGGCACCGAGCAGGTCGACTCGATGCAGACGCAGCTGTTCCAGCGATTCGCAGAACTGCTGCCCAACGGACTCGCCATCCTCGACTCTGAAGCAGAGGCAATCTTCGTCAACGATGGCTTCTTCAAGCTAACAACGAACAAGATCCAGAACGAGTTTCGCGCCTGGCCAGAGAGCATCCACCCCGACGATTACGAGCGCGTCATGTCAGCCTACCGCGAAGCCTTTTCCAGCCGCAAAGAGCTCAGGTGTGAATTTCGATGCGCCATGGCAACTACCGGCGAAGGGGGAGAGTGGAGGTTGTTTCTCCTCAGGCCTCTTAGCGATGCCCCAGATGCCGGTTTCATCAGTGCCATTGTCGACATCACTGAGATCAAGCAAGCCCAACTTACTCAGGAGCGGGCAGCCACCGAAGCGCAGGAGAGAAAGGAACAACAAGAAAGATTCATTGATATGGTGTCGCATGAGATCCGCAATCCTCTCAGCGCTGTACTTCACCTGGCCGAGGAGGTTCGGGAGGTCACGTTGAAAATTGGGGAATCGAAACCAGATCTCAAGGCTGAAGTCGCTGACATAGTCGACGCCGCGGACACGATCTTGCTCTGTGTCTCACACCAAAATACTTTGGTGGACGACATTCTGTCTTTCTCCAAGCTCGACTCGATGATGCTGTCGCTTGTGCCTCGGGGTATGTCTCCTCTTCTGTTCCCTGCTCTGCTCATTGTTCACATTGTGCAGAGGTGCGGCCCAAGTGGGAATTCTCCCAGGCTCTCAGAGTCTTTCAGTCCGAGTTCAAGGCGAAGAATATCAAGTTTCACTACGCCATGGACGTGTCCTACGACGATGAAAACATTGAATACGTTGTCGCCGATCTCAATAGGATGAAGCAAGGTAAGAATTCTTCACATCACCGACCCCGCCATGCTGACAAGCCCAGTGTTGGTAAATCTTATCACCAATGCTGTCAAATTCACAGCGAAGAAGAAGGGAGATCGAAACATTACTGTATCTATGGGCGCATCTGTGGAACGACCGACATCCTATCCGCCGAATGTCATCTACTTCAATCAAGACCCAAGAATCGTTTCATATCGATTCGACCATGAGTTCAGAATGGGGAAGTGGCGATCCTCTGTACCTCATGGTTGCAGTCAAGGATACAGGTATAGGTATCAGCGCAGAAGGCCAGGCGAAATTGTTTGAGCGGTTCAGGTGTGTAGCGAATCCTCTACCCTGAGTGCTGTATTAACAGTTTCCAGACAAGCGACACCAAAAACGCAGGAGAATTATGGAGGCTCCGGACTGGGCCTCTTCATATCTCGCAAATGTAGGTTCCGCCTCTCTGACTATACAAACATGTATTGATCCAGTCATCTAGTGTGTCAATTGCATGGCGGTGATATCGGGGTCAGCTCCAAGGAAGGAGAGGGCTCGACTTTTGGCTTCTTCTTCAAGGTGCGACGCTCAGATGGGTCTAGCGATGGCGGCAGGCCCCCTTTCCAGTCTCGATCGAATTCTGAGACTTCGCCATCGACTTCCCGAGATCAAGCTCGACCAGGCTATAGTAGAGCAAACTCAAATCTAACGCAAATCAAAGAGCGACCGAGTGAGCGCCCAGAAGCTAAGACTTTGTCAAGCCACAGTGGTGTTAATACGGACATGGACGATGGATCGCTGAGAAATCCACCTACCGAATACATGGCCGAGGCGCATCCCGAATCTTCTTCAGACGCTCGGTACAAAGAGACCGAGAAGGTGGCTCGAGATATCCAGCCAGAGCGCTCTGCAGTAAACAAAGCTATCGAAGACAAATTGCCCGATCTTCAGCGCGGTGAGACGCAGCGCCAGGAAAGCGTGGCATCCGACACTTCGCGGTCCCAAAGCGATCAGCGAAGCGAGAAGAAGCAGACACTCCTGCTGGTTGAGGACAACCTAATCAACCAGAAAGTGCTTCGACGTCAACTCCAAACGCGAGGCTTCGAGGTTTTCACAGCGAGTAACGGGCAAGAAGCGATTGATTCCGTTGCTGAGCGTGGGCAAATCAGTCAAGATAGCACCAACGACCGCAATTATTTCGACATAATTCTGATGGACCAGGAGATGCCTATAAAGGACGGTAATACTGCTACGAAAGAGATCCGGCAACTTCAAGAAGAAGGCAAAGCTGGATACAGCCACATCCTTGGTGTCTCGGCCAACGTACGCGAAGCGCAAACGCAAAGCATGCGCGCAGCTGGGATGGACGATGTTATTTCGAAGCCCTTCAAGGTTGAAGACCTGGTGAAGCGCATCAGAAGTATCATACTTGAAGACAAACCAACCAAGCCCAGCGGCAAGAAAAGTGGTCCACCTGCGAGAAACACGTCGGACAACGAAGAAGTCCGGATGCTTGAAGAAGTGCCCATCCGGTCTAGGAGTGAGATGAGCGAGCAAGGTGGTCGGGATGATGAAGCCATGGAAACGGGCGGCCGGGCAAAGATTGAAGTAGACGGCGTGGAACAAGATGGGAGCGGAAACAGACCCGAGGATGATGAGGGTATGAGGGGCAATCATGCCAGAAAGAAGGCTGGTCACCATGATGGGGAAGAGGAGCAAGGGAAGGAGAACAAGTCCAAGAAACCCGAGCGCGAAGGCAAGGGTGACGAAAAAGAAGAGGACCGAAATAGGCAACTAGGCAAAGCAGGCAAGAAGTCTGGAAGAGAAGGAGACATGCGAGGTGGCGAGCGATCGAGGTCGAGACAAAAGCAATGACGGAACAGTTTTTGTCGAGCGCTGTTTTGATGACTGCATACCATGGCGTTCTGGATGGGCTCATTATATGATTTGAACGACTGGATGAGGACACGATTGTACTGCATTTACTCGGATTAGATACGGGATGTTGTTGCCTATCACTGCTCAGATAAATGCTCGATTGACATGATACCCTCATGTGGCGTGTAAACAACGGCTGAGAGACTCAGTCGCAATTTTCCCAATCAAGATGCACACAGCTGCCTTCTACCAAGAAGAGACATCCAGTACCCGCAGTGACAGGTAATTTCGGCACAAATACATCACAGCGTGGTAGGTGCCGAGACCTGAAGCCGTGCCACTTAAGCACAATTGCCTTGATGAATAACACCAGGCTCTCACTCTTCTCGGTCACTTCGGACAAAAATCAATCGCCCCCACTGTTGTCTGTCGCACAGCATGTACCGATCAGCACCTTGCTCGTCTGTCGGGCCCACATCAATGCGCGTCAACTCGCCCCGCGCACCACTTCCTTCTCTTCCTTGGTCTCACATGCATTTTCTTCACTCTTACTTTCCATAGGTATCAATAGTAATTGTCTATCAAGCCAAAGTATCCAACCCACACCCTTTCCCCCAGCAACCTCGGCGCATCCCATGACACCATCATCACACGACCATGTCCACCATTGACCACACAAGCCTCGCATACGTCTATCCAAAACCTGAAAGTCTCAGATCCGCCGCCAAAAGAGGCGTCGTCCCATCCTGGCAAGATAGTAATCGAGGGTTTGTGCGGGTTTTGAATTTGGCAGATTTTAGACTTGGTTAGGAGGGCTGGACGGGAGTGATGGGGCTGGGATGCTAGGACGTAAGGTAATGGAGGGGTGATGTATTTTCCGTAGTTGAGATAATCAATTTTGTTGTATTGAGTTTTGCTTTCGGGTGTAGGATTGATTCTAAGTTAATTGCCCCGAATTCTTGCGAATGCTGACTCGGGCGTATACAGCTGTCACTTGGAGGCTTTTTTTGGATGGGCATGGCATCGAAGCCTGGTCACATTTTTTTGGCCATGCAGTTCAACATCTGTATCTTCCTCGCTGGCCAGTCTGCTTTCTTCATTCCTGGTACTTGTTGATGGCTTGTTGCATACCACGCGCTTCGATAAACACACCCCCTTGCTTGGACATAGCCACCTAGGCCTCGCCAACTCTCCGTGTCCTCGATTTCCTTTGAAACGCGACACGAACAACACAAAACCCAATACAATCTCCAGTCTACCAGCAGGCACATCATCCACAATGACGCAACTACCGGAAACTGCATACGCCCCCTTCTCCGAGCCTTGGGTTCTAGCCGACGTCGAACAACAGGACAAGCAACAATTGGAGGAGCAACCGGCCTGCGAAGTCCATAGCCTAAGCAAGACTCAGACAAAAGAAGGGCAGCCTACTTGCGAACCGGTCAGCCCAAAGAAGTCTGTCAAGGACGATCAGCTGGAGGCTATCATTGCGGCGCTTGGTCCTGAGGTGCAAAAGTATTGGACGCAAACCAAAGGCGTGGTATTTGGTCCTGAAGTGCAGAAGTATTGGATGCGAATTCGAGGCGCAGTGTTTCCATTCGTTGGTGGGATTACAGCTGGGGTGTTGACAGCGGGGTTGACCGTATATAAGATTAAGTAATAAGATGACAATGGGTTGTTGAGACTGGAAAGTTTGCTGACAGATATAGATCTTCTTAGATGGAAATGGCCGCATGACACCATCAACTGCTAGAAGCCGTCTCAGGAACCTTGGAGCAAGCTTCGTTCATTCTCCACCGTAGTCATTATCAATCATGGGAAGATCTGTTCTAGCAGCACCTATGATGGAAGATAGGCTTGCGCGTGTGCTCTTCACGTTTCATGGGGTGGGAAAATTGACAAAAATATGCGTCGTTCCATCTCATCTAGTAAGAACAAGTAGCGCTTGGCAATCATATGCATGTACTTCTAGTTCTCAAAACGAGTTCAATTCAATATTTTGATTTATCTTTCCGCTCTATCACAGGTTTATTGATCATCGACATAGTTTCAAAGACTTCACACTATTCTTATTGAGGTTACGCGTCCATCGGTTCTCACGTCGGCCATGTAGCAACCACGGCCTATGGAATCATGATCTAACCTTGAGCCACCTCTGATAAGATCTGCTAGATCTGCAAGTTCCGCGAATTCTGGACTTGTGTCATGAATGCCAAAAATCCCCCGTAGAAATTGCTGCGCTTTGTCAAGGTAAATGCGAAGATGGTCCAAGAAACAATTCGCTGAAATGCGTAGTATTATGCGGCTCTTCGACTCCTCTAGATGTAGAGATGGAATCCGATTGCTCGGCGTCGGCCGTTTGTGGTATGAGTGCCAGTGTTCTAGGTCTGCAGCTTTGTGCCAATTGGATTCCCCTATGTGTCGCCATGTCCATGTGCACCCCACGGAGACCTCAATCATGTCAAAAAAGTCATTGCAACAAAATCCGTTCCAGGTAGTTATATCGATGTCCAATGCAAATTCGATGTAGGTCTCATCCTCTCCTTTATCGACCCGATGAAGAAATTTGTCGTTAAGACACTTCAGGTAGCTGGTCTCGAAGTAATTCAAATAGAATCGCCCCTTACTAGTTCGCTTGTTTTCTTCATCTTTATGCATCGCTAGACACAACACTAACAGGCTGTGTAGAACATCGGGCTTGCCTCTGGGTAGCGGCACTGAGGTTGATCCCCAAATTGACCAAAGAAAAAAAGATTCAAATTGAGGATCCACAAATCTGTCCTGTATGGGGCTCTCCCATGGGCACATGTCTCGTCTGTGGTATACTGACGAGGTTGTGCAAGGTTTGTGTCGGCTCCAGCTAATTATGAGCCTTCGAAATGACTCAACGTCCTCGTATTGAGTCAGCTGTAAGCTTGCAATGCTCGGTACAGCCCCAACTTTTGACCAGTCTTCCGCATTTTGATGTTCCTTGTTTGCCAAGAATTCAAGGTCGGCTTTCTTCGGTGGTCTTCTTCGATCAAACAGGCGGACACAAGCTGTTACGAGCTCGAATGACGTACCCACTGGCATCTGGTTCGTTCTTCGTAGTATGAGGTAGAGCTGCGGCATAGAAACTGGTATATATAGATGGTCCTTATCAGGCTGGAGGTCCAGATTCTCAGGAGTAATAAGAAGTAGTCTCGATGGCACCAATAGTCCGTGTGACGTTCGCCATGGGTGTGCAATCGCATACCTGAACAAGGGTCCATGTCTTCCCTCTGCCAGAATACCGTTTTCGAATGAAAAAATATGGGCGGCACTAATGATAAGTGCCCCGTTAGCTGCGCCTATGGCATCAGGAGGCCAGCTGAACTGGCGGTCACGGTGAAACAACCACTTGCGGTTGGCCTCATCCAAAAATACCGGGAACGGCCTTCGATAGTTCTTGCCATTAAACGAAGGTGGCTTATTTGGTGCCCTCTGAAATAATCGTCGCCATGCCCCATCTTTCCGATAGTCAGGTATCCAAGAGGGCAGACCGCGCTCAATTCGCTGCCGTGCATTCATCCCCGCATCAGCATTACCGAGAAACCAGTATCTCTTCTCCCTCGTCAGAATGTATGAGAACAGGCCAATCATAAATTGTTGCATTGATAGAGAATACTCGGGGTTCAAGTCTGCCTGCACGCCTGGTGCAACGAGTAGTGGTAAGACCCCAAATAATAGATCGCGAGGATCAGAAGCTGATGAGTTTGCCGTCAACTTTAGTATATCGGTTACATCCTTGATGATATCAGGAGGAAAAGACTTGTGTGCCAGATGCTGGAGCCAAGATTCAGACGCATTTGACCATAATTTTGAGGAGCTGTGAGACATGGCCGTGACGAAAGACTCGGAACGATGAATAAGCCGAGTTTTGTGCAGTCGTACTGTGGCTCGAACATTTTCGGAGGTATTGTGTAGGATGTTTGTGTTCGCAGGTAGCCAGTCGTAATCGACAACGTTATGTTCAAGGTCTTTTGATGATTCCTGGGCAATTCGAGCATTTGCGCGAAAATCAACGTCACCAATGCGAATGATGACTTGATCGGAAACAACCAGCTCTTGAATGATCCAAAGTCTGCTGAAATATCTACGCGATAAGAGATCACGAAGGGTGTAGTTTGTGCCATAGAGACGATGACCAGCAAGAAATGGCAAAGTCCGTGAGTCGACTTTTCCAAGTGTATCCAACGGCAGCGAGGTTGGGAAACGCCTAGAGGATGTGACAAGATCTTCCCCAAGGTAAACCACTGTCCGGGAGCAGTGATCATATATGCTGCGCATCTTGGAGACTTGTGCCTCTCGTTCTTCAGTATTTCTTTGGTTGATGCAGACAGCATCCACCCAGAGTATTCGGATGCCTCTCCAGGGATGCAAGAAACGAAGCATAGCAAAGCAGTTCTTGGTCTGCAGTTGGACGTCCCAGAATTTGCCAACATAGATCGGGCAACATAGAGAATCGTCGCCGTCATCAGTAGCCCAAGAATATGAAGTACACTCGTATTCTGGATGGTCGTCATCGGCATATGTGTCCAGACTCAGATGCAAAGGACTATCCTCTGTTGAAACAGCCGACAGACAAGCGAGTCGTATTTCATCATTTTTCAATGTTTTTCCGTATATGGATGATGAAGTGGGCGGTGGTTCCGCAGTCCTTTGATCCTCCGTGACATTCTCGGTAAGTGGAATCTGTTGGTTCGCCCGGTAGTACGGTACGCTTTTTGGCCACCGCAAGTTCATCTGACCTGGAGGTTCATCTGGTGGAAGTGTCCATGATGTAGCTACTCCTTCCTGCTGGGATATAAGGACCTCAGTGGACGGGCACGTTTTGCCACAGGCTTGACAGCTTGGCGTTCTGTCTTCTGTGACAAACACGTCCGGAGTGATGCAAAATGGGCCATGCCAGCGCGTCATAGCTACTCAATACTTCTTGTAACAAGTATTGATTGTCTAAGTCGACCAGATTCGAGGATGAGGGGTGGAAGGCGGGTTGAAATTGAGCGATAAAGGCTGACAGCAAGACAGCAGGACGATTTGATGTTGTGCAAATCCCAGTTGGGGTGTACTATATAGAGCACCGATAATCGCGCGTGAACATAGGACGCACAAGATCGCATGGGTTTGAGGAGATGAGAGTTTCCTTCGAAGAAATAGAGGACACGACGAAGTTCAAGCTGACAGAGCTGGCGGCGGCAGATAAGCCAAATCCATGCACCTGCATCAGGCTGAAAAGTCAAGCGGCACATTGCCATGCACTCAAAACATCATTCTACAGCTCCGTGTATGCAAGTATGTCGACGTAAGTACGTGAGAAAGCTACATTTACTGGCGAAGCAGAGTACTAAGTCGCGAAATTTAGATAGGTGCAAGTCTCCAGCGACGTAGAGCAAGCACTGAAGATGACCCCCACGCCCTCACTCACATTGCCTGCACTCCAAATACAAACAAGCTTTCATGAACACACAAAATCCTAATCGCTGCACATTCTAGATAACAATCGTTGCATGAATGGAAGACAGAGTGTGGAATCGTCCATAGCTGCCACCTTAAGCTAGCGTTCGCAGGGCATCCCTCTTCCTACACTTCAAAACATGTCTGTAGATCTGCGCAAATTCCCCTCACCCACCTCCAGATAGCACGGAAAATCAAAGCCATGAAACATACATATGTTGATGCGATCCTTCCTTCAGTATCTCTACAAACACCTACAACATCACACCCCCACCCCTCAACTTCTCCAAGTCCTCCATCGTGAACCGCACATATCTATCCTCCTTTGGCTTCATCCACATAACCACATCATCCTTGCCACCCGGCACTTTCGATCCGTACTTATCCAACTCAATCCCCTCCTCCCTCAACGGTCCCTTATTCTGTTTCTGATTATCCGTATTACTCCCTTCCCTAACCAGCCTCAAAAACACCGGCACCGCATATCTCGGCAACTTTCCCCGCGCATAACTCAGGAACGCTTTCCAATCAAACGTCTCAGGCCGCACGCCGTCTGCAAAGCGCAACGACACGCACCCCGCCCGCCCGTCGTGTTTGGGCACGAGCGTGCCGTACACGATCGCTTCAGCTACGCCCGGGTATTTTCCGAGGACTTCGGCGACTTCGGCGGTCGACACGTTCTCGCTCTTCCACCGGAACGTGTCGCCCAGCCTGTCGAGGAAGAACCAGCGCCCGTCGTCGTCGCGGCGCAGCGCGTCGCCGGAGCGGTAGTACAAATCACCCTTTTTGAACACGTCGCGGACGAATTTCTTCGCGGTGGCGGAGGGGTTGTTGTGGTAGCCTGCGAATGCTTCTTCGCTGGGTACGCCGACGAGGATTTCGCCACCGACGTTGTACGGCGTGCGCTGCGCGAAGCCTGTCTTGGGGTCGCGCAGGATATCGCCGGTTTCCGGGTCGATGGCGACGGGGACGAGGACGTTTCTAAGGGCAGTACGGATGATGGCGCCGTGATGGCCTACAGCCGTGGCTTTGAAGTCGTTCTTCGACTGCACGAGCATCGCCAGGACGCCCTCTGTGGAATTGAAAAACTCGATGACTTCCTCGATTCCGAATCGCTCTTTGAATCGATTCCATACATCCGGCCGCATGCCGTTGCCGTACATGCCACGGAGCTTGTGGTCTCTTTCCCTGGGGTGCGGGGGCGCCATCAAGAGATACCTGGCTGCTTCGCCCACGTATACGAACATGGTACTCTGGCTGTCGTGGATGTCGTCCCAGAAGGTGCTGACGCTGAATTTCCGGCCCACGGCTACGCTCAGGCCGGTTGTGAGGCACATGATGCACGCGAGCCCGCCGGTGCCGTGGAAGATGGGCATGCAGCAGTACCAGCGATCGCCGCCGGGGCCGGCACGTTGGTCGAGCGGTGGTTTCTCGCGTGAGCCGCGCTCGTGGAAGCGGCTGACCATGAATTTGCCAGCTTTGGGGAGGCCCGTCGTGCCGGAGGTGTACAAGAGGCATGTTGGGTCTGAGCCAACGACATTCTCGCGGTAGGATGGACCTGGGTCATTTGTTGGGCCGGCGTAAACTTTCTGCAGCAATGCTTCGTCCACGGTGAAGGCTTTCACACCCAGTTCTTCAACCCTCTCTTTAACGTCTGCGAATCGCTCGGCACATTCTGGCTCCTCGTCCACCACGAAGATCTTCACATTAGCGACTTTGAGACAATGGAGCAGGGCGTCGCCTTTGAGGTTGTAGTTGAGATGAGCAGGCGCACATCCGATGGCAAAAAGACCAAGCCAGAGGACTAGAAAGTCTGCAGAGTTCATGAGATACGTGGCGACCATGTCGCCCGGCTTTACGCCCTGGGACAGAAAGAAATGAGCCCATTGAATGGCCCGATCATGTGTCTCTTGCCAAGTATAAGTCTTGGTGCGCGACCAGATACACAGCTCATTTGGAAATCTTGCGACTTGTGGCTCGAAAGAGTACCAGGGAGATTGGAGCTTTCTTCGTACTGTTGTTTGTTAGCGTATGAGCGTGTAATGTCACGATGGACGTGTCGGCTGCCAATTCACGGCTGCTCAATGCTCAATGGCAACATACCAAGGTCTTCGTAGTGCTTCGCAGCATCTCTCCGAAACTTCAGCATCTTGATGTCCTGCTCCAGGTGGTATTTCCCATTGAGGTATGCAACCGCACCAGTCGCCGCGGCGATTGCAGCTGCGGTAGTGGCCATCGTGCCTCTCTTCTTCCAAGACTATCTCTTCTTCACAATCTTAGGACACGGGTAGCGAGAAGATGGAGCAGGTTGCAGACCGAGCAATTGAGCTGCTGCGAGGTGTTAAGGACCGATATCAGACGGAAACCTTGGATGCCGCAACGTCGGGGGCAACGATTACTTGCGGGCCGTCTTGAAAAGGTGCCGAGGTTCTTTCGACTTCCCCCCTTGCGAATCTACGGTCGGACATGATGCGGGGCTTAGGCTAGCGCGCCGAGCACAGAGGTACACAAACATTGGCTGGCATCTCATCCCGATAGCTACGCTACTCCATCACGATCATGCTGCACTCATTCTCTTTTGTCGATTTCATGGCTTTGGAGATGCGGCGCAACGTGCGACTGCTGCCACGATCCTTCACATGTTGTATCTGAACATGCTTTGCGTCCGGCGCAGGTAGCGTCCAGTGCGCGGGCACGGTCGAAGCTATATTGCAGTCACATATGCTTCTGTCCCACTGGAACTTTCGGCGCTGATGGAACGCTCTAGCGAGTGATTTCCAGGTCCTTTGACTCGGGAGAGGAGAGAGCTTGGGGATGAAATGAGAGAAGACGGAACATTATTTTTCTCTCGAAATGCATGAATATTGGTCGAAGAAGATGTCTTCTTGCCACTCGCACTCATATGGTGCAGAGTGCAAAAAGCGCATGCCTAGTCTATTGACGTCTAGTATGTGTACGTAGTATTGCAGAACTGCAGATGTGTGCCAGACGCTCTGAAGAAAGTAATGAGAACAAGGAGAGCGAAAAAAAAAACGATGTTGAAAACAAGGGTCTCGAAAGAAAGTCGCACAGTATAACTAAGACAAGGAACTGACCGTTTTCATTTGTGCTTTGTGAGTTCTTAAGTGGCAGTTGTTATTTACGCTCAGGGCCCCGGACACTGCCATCCAAGACACAGCGCAACAACCTCGAGACCCTTACGCTCTTCGTCATTTGGCATTATCCCAGTCGTGTTACTCTGCAGGAAGCAGTTGAAGGACGCGCCGTTGCGCGCCAGGGTAGCCATTGTCTGGTTCACGAAGTCTGGAATAAAGCCAGCACCAACGCAGAAGCGCTCAGACTTGGGCCGTTTATCCGCGAACTTGTTGTATTGGACGCAAGACTCGATACAATCAGATGGAGTAAGAGTGTAGAGCCCTACAATTGCAAAATTTTTCCAGCCCGAATTGCATATAGTTGTGAAGGACGTTCCAGTGAAAGCTGTCGCGTTGTACATTCTGTTCCGACCCTTTGTTTCTCGGAATTTGCAGCCCGTGTCTACGGCTGCAATCGTACCCAAGGTACCTGCAGGCTGGCTCGAACATGGCGCCGTCGTTGTTGGGCTAGATGTGTTTGATGGGAATGGTGATGAGAGAATTGATGACGATAAGGGAGTTGATGACGGCGAGGCTTTCAAAAGTGCGGCGGTGGAAGGCTCCCGTGCATCATGTATTGCTACCCCAATGAATCCTCCGATAAGTCCAGCAATGACAGCTATGGATAGTCCCACTAAAGGGAGAATCCACAGTCGTTTCTTTGCTGCATGTGTTGCAACATGTACAGCTTTTGCATCCGTCGGTGTTCGTTGATGTATTCCTTCTGATGAGGACGTCGCGTAGATGGGCAATGGCCCATTCGCAGGATATGTGTAAGCGTGTTGTTGCGGGGTCACCTCTAGGGCATCCTCATAAGGACCAACTTGATGATTCTGCGACATGGTGAAAGTGGAGAGTGAGATGACAAAAGGCTCAGGAAGCAACAGGGAAGAGCGGGATCGGTTATCTTAAAGGAAGCAAGTAGGAAAGTGATCTCTGCACAATCGTTTACTTCGAAGGCGATAATGTGAGCATCCGATTTCTCTTCAGGCGCGCATTTCCATGTGTCGCAGGGGCATTCGGGGGCGCGAACATGCTACGGCCCCAAGTAGTACAGCCAATGACTTCAGAAACCGGAAGACACGTAGGGGTGAATCTCGGGACAACGCGCAGTTCACTGCAGATAAGACGAGGCCGCCCCATTTGAGATTGCTGAATCTCAGCGAAGCATTGAGTTTTGGTGATGATGCTCTAGATGACCCTTCAGATGCTTACCCGCTGAGCCCCCTGGTAGTGGCGGGTGGTTACTTCACTTCGGACTAAGTGCTGCGATAGGAATATGGTTGCGCATTGAGCGTGAGTCACACAGCTAGCAGCACGTCCTGAACTTTGGCGCTGTGCGGTTCGCAAGGGTGTCAGAGTAAGGTCGTGCCATCAAAGTAAGCAGGGATGAGGGGCGTGGATAGATGACGTGGGACCCCGTTCTCGGTTGCCCCGCGCAACGACCAGTCATCAACACCCGAGTACTTTACATTGTCAGGCACGAGCAAAAAGAACCGCCATCCACTCCAAATAGCTTTCAAATCATAGCTCTCTACTCAATTCGCTATATAGCAGCACTCGAACTCCAGAATCTACCGAAACCCAGAATACCTCCAAGCACAGCTATCATGTCTTCCAACGTGCTCAGCGCCCGCGACACCAATGTGCAGATGAAGCCTACGCCATCTCCCGAGAAGGACCAGCTCAAGAGCCTCGAGTACCACCGCCAAGTGCTGAACTCACGCATGAACGCGGAGCAGTAAGTACTTTGCGGAATCTTAGCGATTGGGCAGAGGACTAACATATGCGCAGGGCACAGCAGTACGTCTCACCTTCGGACGAGATCATGTCACCCGCCACGCAGAAGCTGGCAGCTTTCAAGACCAAGCACGCCATGAAGAAGTGAGTTGCGCCAAGTACCGAGCAATCGCCGAGCTAACAAGTGCGCAGCTCGAAGCCACAGACTCTGTTTAAGAAGACGAGCTCCAGGAACTATGAGACGTCCAAGGGCACTGCCATGTTCGCCGACATCCCGAAGAAGACGGCAGTCGAGAAGGTGTAAGCTTGGTGCCTCGGCACACACACATTCTTTGGCGCGCACGTGGTTTACTGGGTCTGGATTGCATGGTGGAGGGCATGGCGTTCGTTCAGCGCAATAATACCACCATGAATCGCACGTGCGGGGATCATTCTTGGGGAACTTGACATGGGGATACCTTCTAGGATGCTGGGTTACTAGGGAGTTTTGGCTGCTTTCATCATCACGACGACCACGACATAGACCTGCATATAATCGAATGAAATGGATTGAAAAAGACTAGACTGTTCGAGGCTCGTGTGTAATCCTACTCATGCAGCGTGATGTTTTGGGCCAAGTACACACGGGAGACATACGCGACTATCTGTGGAGATGGCGCCAAGGCACATGCATGTCGCACCTTTGTACTCCGCATCCTGCTCAACACGCCCATGACTTCACCGCCCGTGGACCAGCAATCTCTGAAAGATGAGATAGCCGACCTTGAACGGCGTCTTCGGCATGCCAAGGCGCAATTGAATGATGACAGCGCTGCATCGAGCTTCTCGTCGCCCACACAGGATGCGGGTACGTTGTCGCATGCGCATCACAGTCATCAGCGGGCTAACAGGACACAGCGCTCCATGCACTCCTCCTCCTGGCCGACTCGGCTCTTCCCCTAGGGTCGTTCGCGTTCAGTAGTGGTCTCGAGTCGTATCTAGCTCACCACAAGCTATCCCCGCCATCGGCATCGCAGCTGCCCTCGTTCCATACATTCCTGCGCCTCTCACTGTCCACGTTAGCCAGCACCGCGCTGCCATATGTCCTCGCTGGCTACAGAAGGCCGTGGGAGATCGAGACACTCGACAACGACTTGGATGCGAGCACGCCGTGCACAGTTGCGCGACGTGCGAGCGTAGCCCAGGGCCGCGCGCTTCTTGCCGTCTGGGACCGCAGCTTCAAGTCGCAGTACAGCAGCAAGATGGCGTCTACAAGCGGAGACGGAGACGGAGACGGAGACGGAGACGGAGAAACAGCAATCACCGCCCTCGCAGCCTTCTCCGCCGCGCTGCGCACATCCGAGCACCTCAACGCGCATCTCGCGCCGCTTTGGGGCCTCGTCACCAGAATCCTGTCCGTGCCGCTGCACGACGCCGCGTACCTGTTCCTGTTCTCGCACGCACGCACGGTGATAAGTGCTGCTGTGCGCGCGAGCGTCATGGGGCCGTACCAGGCGCAGGCTGTTTTAGCGAGCGCCGAGCTGCAAGATAGGATCCGAGGCCTTGTGGATGAGGGCTGGCGCACATCTGTGGAAGATGCGGGACAGACCGTGCCGGTTATGGATCTCTGGGTTGGTAGGCATGAGAAGCTGTATAGTCGCATCTTCAATTCTTAGTGCATACGTCACTTGCAAACATTCACTTGTGGTGTGAGGCGTGTGATAATTGACGTCCATCAGATAACGCTCTCTACCGTGCGAAACCGACATGCAACTTCAACGCCGACGTTGTGTGACCAAAAATTGATTTATTGGCTTCATCCATTCGTTGCCCTAGCGGCACCCCCGTGGGCTCTTCACTCGCGAGCGCTGGAGCTCAGCTTACGCGCGTGATCACCGTCTTGGCGAACATCACACACCACGCGAGGCAACCACGCTGAAACGGCGCCCCAGCCTGTGCTATACTTACCATACTTACCATACTTACCATACTTACCATACTTACCATGCTTACCATGCATAGCAGAGGTGGGGGCTCTGTGCTTCTTCACACTTCTTTTGTTTCTTCATTCAATGTGACCATTTACGTCAATAGGTCAAGTCCAGTATGGCATCTTTTCCATATACCTACGCCGCAGTAGCGTTTGCGTCACTCGCATTTGCCGAGCAAATTCCTATAACTACTTCAACCGGATTCCCATGGATCCAGAAATTCGCATCCATAGGCGACTCCTACTCAGCAGGCCTGGGTTCTGGCGACCGACTTGACTGGTCCTGCTCTCGCTATGCCTCCTCCTATCCCAACATCCTACACACCTCTCTTCTTGGAGAAAACGCAAATCGCACGCATCAATTCCTCTCCTGCTCCGGCGCCACCAGCACCGAAATCCTGTCCACCCAAGTCCCCGCCCTATCCTCCAATCTCGACCTCCTCACCATCTCCGCTGGCGGCAACGACATCGGCCTAACCCCCATCCTCAGCAACTGCGTGTACCAATTCTACATGTCCGCCTCCGACGCATGCCAATCCGCCATGGACGCAGCCCGCGCAAAGATCGCCGCCGAAACTGAGTTGTACAAAAACGTCACCGACTTGATTTCCGCCTCCAAGCCCAAGATGAACCCCAACGGTGTCATTTACTATACTGGATATGCGACGTTCTTCGGCACCGACGACACCACATGCGACAACGTCACCTGGGCCGTCTGGCGCAACGTCGAGTGGAGCAAGCAATACCTCACACTCCAGATGCGACGGGATCTGAACGACATGGTCCGCGCCGTCAACGCCATTATCCGCAAGGCCGTCGATGCCGCCGGCCCAAATGTGCGCTTCATCGACTACGATGCCGCCATCGAAGCCGCGCGAGGCCGGTATTGCGAAAAAGGCATCCACGAGCCCGATCCAAGTCGTGCCGCTCTAGCATTTTACGAATGGGATACCGTGGACACGGGGGAGAATCGCACGGCGTTGCAAAACCACACGGGCGAAGCGGTTCCAAAGGGAAGCTTCGAGGCGGGCATTGGTAGTGCGGTTAACAAGACGTTGGGAGAACATCCGGATTGGGAATTCGATGGGGAGAAGGGGTTTGTGGATAAGACGGGGCATGAGCGCGTGGGGGAAGAGGGTGTTGTTGGCGATACGCTGCATTGGTTGATTCCGGATAGTTATAAGAGGGTGTTTCATTTGAGGCCTGGTGGGCATGGGGTTGTTGCGAGGATGGTGGTGGAGGATTTGGAGAGGAGGGGGAGGGGAGGGGTGGTAGATGATGAGGTTCTAGACGAAGTCATGGAGCTATAATTGACATGAGACAAAGCTGTAGGTGGAGCAGCGAGACTCTTGGCTATTTTGGAAAGTACGCTGGGCGTTAGTAAGGTCTATTTCCTGATCACAGCACTTCGGAGCCGCTGACACAGTTTTGAAAGGAAGTTGTTTGTGATCTTGGAATATTGTAGCAACGAGCTCGAACTATAATAAGACTACTGCTAGAAGTACAAAGTGCCATCACGCAACCATGTCGGGGGAATCGTATCGCCCAGCGACAAGTCTTCCATGCGATCCTTAATATCTCTGTCATTCTCATTATCCTCCTCATCAATCTTCATCTTTCCCTCGTTGTCCTCCCCACCCTCCCCCATATCCCCATCCCACTCTCCCCACCCCTCTACCTCCCTCTCCCTAATTATCCGTCTAACATCCCCCAAACACCTCCCCAAAAGATTCTCCCCCCACAACTCCCTATGCACCTCCGCCTCTTCCTCACTGTACCCGCACCCCCAAACCCGATCCCTGCGACTCGCCTCCACAATCTCCCTCCCTCCCGTCCCCAACAACACCCTCCTCATCCGCTCATTCCTGCCATCTGTGAACTTGTACCAATTCCCCACGCGTGCAACCCTTCTCTTCACCCGGTCCCACTTCCACTCGGAAAAGCCAGGCACGCTGCGCCCGAGCTTCTTATGTATCGCGGGGTCCGCGCTCGCCATGATGCGCGCGCACATATCCGGGGAGGAAAAGTACAGCGCTTTGCAGAACATGAGGGATTGCTCGGCGCAGGTGAAGGGGATGCTGGGGGCGTGGGTGGCGAGGATTTGCGATGCGGTTGGGTGGTTCGGGGGTGGGCGAGGGGCGGAGTGCGTGAGGAAACGTAGAGAGGAAGTAGGGATGTTGAAGGGGCTTGGGTGCCATTGACAGAAGACGCCGTAGGGGCGGGCGTTGGGGAGGTAGAAGTATATCGTAGATGAGTCTGTGTCAGTGGTGGGTTTTGGGGCGCAGCCAGCAGGATGGGGTTTACGCTTTGCTGGCATGGTGGTGGTGGTGTTGTTTTTGTGTGATGATGTTTCGGATTTGTGTGTGGAATTGTGTGTTCATTTGTGATTTGAGGCCTTATACGTGTATTTGAACTTCAACGTTGTTGTTAGGTTTGTGATGCGTGGTAAATCTGTTTGGGGAACTGGAGTGCATTTTTCGTCTTTATGTAGTCTTGATGGATAGAATACGCTAATGGGTACCATGGTACGCAAAGGGCGCAAATCAAATTCTGGTTTTTGATGGGCGTCCATCGCGCCCCGGTAATCCATGTGGCATACATACTGTGGTAGCGAGAGCCCTAAAAACGCTTGAGTGATAACATCCAAACCAGACATGTCAAAGACGTCGACTTCTATAACAGTCAAATGATGACTGTCAGCGGCAAACGCTGACGTCGAGTGAAATGGCTTTGGCTGCGAGAAGGGAGCAGTCATACAAGAAGGGGCTTGCTTTGGTGAATTGCAGCGGCCTTGCTTCTATATATAAGATCTCTCAAAGCTCCCTGCTCTACCATGAACTACCATAAACAACTCACGCAACCCTACTCTCAACTCAACTATGTTCGCATATTCAAGAACTGCCAAAAATACGGCGAACGCGCGAAATTCGATGCCGCAGCGGCACGGACCGGGTCCGTTCATCCCTTTCTCCCATGACAACTTCCCACTCATGGATCTTCCACCCGAACTTCGCTGTATGATCTACAAGCAAGTCGATTTTGTAACGAAATGCCACACTCTCACCCGAGACGAAGCAAACATACACCCCGCATCTTGGCCACCAAACCCCACGGGAGGCTCATCCGCTATCGAGCTCATCCGTCCTTCACTGCCTGTCGCACTACTCCGCACATCCCGTCTCGTCAACGCCGAAGCAACGTCAACCTTCCGAAAGAAAATTGTAGAGTTGAAGAATATGCCCTTGCAATTCCAGGTCGACTACGCCGCACTCATTGGCTTGACGACCAAATTTGGCCCACTTGCGGGCTGCTTCACCAAACTCTATCCTTACGTGATATTGTCCTCGACCGGAAATCGCGCTTTCGATGATTTCACAAATCGCTGCGGCCCGTTTATTAATCGTAAGCCTGCCCAGCATGATTCTGCAACAGAAGCTCCCATCAGCGTCTGTATCACTATAACGCAACCGCACGCAAATGTCCCTAGACACCACATAACGCCGGCGGCATTCAAAGGCGTCAGAGATCTCCGCAAGTTCAGTCAGAAGTTCGTGTGCGATGTGCTGTACAATCAGGAACATAGTTTCTCGCTGACCGCAGACGGGAGTTATCCGTCGTGGCCGACGGTGCGGATCAAGGGGCTGCTGTCATATATGTTTGATCGCAGACTTGCGGAGCTGGAGGCGATGAGGCAGAAAGCGAGGAGCGCTGAGGTGACTATGGATTACATTGCGCCGTTCCATAGATATGGGGAAGGAAAGGTCGATGAAGAGATGCAGAGGAAGCAGCAGGCGGAGAGGGACAGGCTACAGAGGATCTTCGTTGAGAACTGGATGCGGATTGAACGAGAGAGGGTAATGGCGAATGTCATTGAGCGTAACAAGCGGGGTGAATGATGGCTCTGAGGTAATAAAAATGAACTGTGCAGTCGTTGAGCTATGCTCACTGCCAGGACCGTCTGAGCGATGTAAACATTTTCAGGGTTGAAGGGAGATAGATATGATTCATCTGCGGCGAAAATTGGCGCTTTGAAATGAGGAGATGATCCCCGGGTATCTGACGTTTACACAACTCACAACTCTGACTACAATCCACAAAAATCTTCCGCGCTCGACTAGAGATTCGAGCCTGACAACGCATAATGAAACTGACGCATGCCGACCTAACGGACATGCCCAGTCTGTCGACAGGTATAGGCTGCCCCGTCCTTTTTGTCGCAGGTGCTGCAGCAGATGAGATTTAACATCGACAATGCATCGCTATGCTTCAAGAGACCTATGATCAACAACCAATACGCCGTATTCTGGCTCATCTAAGGCCCTTTTCAATTCATCGCAGCTCTGAGCGCGACTCCGCTGGTAGCTCTTGTGGCCTGTCATGGTGATCAGGCATTTCATGTAGTTGACCATCCAGTTCACTCGTGTGCGCGTAATACGTCTTCGATCTAGCATCTTCTGGCGAGTACGCACCGTGATATGGGTGCTGTTCCGATTCTGACATTTCGTGCGTTCCAGCTGGCACAGCCTTCGCCTTTCGCCGCCGGAAGATGAGCCATCCTAGAACTAGGCCAAATATGATTGCCACCGGAATGCCGACACCCAGACCAATTTTTGCGCCCGTTGATAGTCCTCCTGAACTAGAAGTCGATTCGGGCTGAACAGCAGGCGAGCCTGTCGGTGGTGGCGTGGATGTCGGGGTTTGCGCCGTGCTTGCTGAACTCATTCGCGAAGCTAGGCTGGAGCTTTCACCGGCGGTCCGGGTGGCAGCAGCTGCTAGCACCTGGCTGTCTGAGCTCTGGTACCATACGGGAACTCCATCGCCTTGCACGGGGTAGCCCTTTGGAAACGATCCGACGGACACATCTCCCGCTTCCCATTTGCCGTTGACCGAGGATGGAACAATGTAAGACAAACTGGTATCCTCTGCGAGAAAGGATGCGCAAGCATAAGCCCATATACCCTTGCTGTACCCGGGAGGGCAGCACAGTACGGCTGTTGTGTCCGGGCGCAATGGGATGACTTTAGCATCATCAATACCGAACCATGTTGACGTAAAAGTCGTGACGGGCGCCCAGGACTGTGGACATATTGCCGGACTATCTGCGCCCAATATTAGCGACTGACGGGCTCAGAGCCATTCAGCAGGGACTCTTACAATAATAGCTGTCCCATTCTTCTTTGTCGGACAAAGCAGCTTCTACTTTGGTGCCCGTAGGCATACATCCCGATTGATAGTATTCCTGATAGGCGTGTCCAGAATACAGCCAAGAATTAGTACCGTCTGCCGTAAGTCGTAGAGTCTGTGTACATGAAGGCGCCGGGGCGAAGACACTGGTGATCGGTCCCCGGTTGAGACCGCTGATGTAGCTGGACCGTGTCTCAGTAACGATGACTTTTGTTGGCGTCGTCATTGCTATATACGTCGAAGGAAATGGGTGAACAGTGAAACCAGCAAACACCTACGGCGCAATGAAGGAGGAATGTCGATAGAGAGCGAGACTGAAATCCAACGAGCTTCGCATGCATGCTCATGTACTTCTGCACCTTGGACAAGGTTTATCAGCCACAATCTCGGATTCTGCCTGGCTTGACGCTTTGATCAGGCCTCCCGAGTAGCGCGGCGCTTACACTGCCCATCAAATCCACCAGTGAACCTGTGGTGTATTTATTTCGACATGAACAACAGCGCCCGACAGACGGATATCCTCGATCTTTGCGCACGAAAGGCTATGAGTTACCTCATTCCTCCTATCTGAAGTCATTGTTGTTCGACCTGTGGTAGCTGGCAACATTTCTTGCAGGAGTTCCCTGTGCGGCGCCGAGAGTTCGAGCGGCTCTTGGTTCCCGAAAAGCGGTTAGGGGACTCGACATGGATGTGACAGCCACCATGCGCAGGATGATCGTTCTAGACAACCACGCGCAGATTTCGTGTAACCCAGATCTGTAGAGATGTAAGCTCAATGCAGCGACTTTGGAGAAATTATGTCGTGATTTGCGACATTTGAATGAGCCTTCAATTCTGTTCGACTGTCGTTTCCCACCTGCCACGATAAAAAAACAGCCCCCAAATATCTGCCCTGTGCGCCTCCAGCACATATTTACGCCCCGCATATCAATTGTTGTGGTACGACCGGGATGCCTCGTCGTGTCGGCGGAAACCTCCCGCTCGCACGGTTGGAGCTCTCTCGCATAGCGGGCCACAAGTGGATTGACCGGACGCTATTCACATCAGTCTTCGTACGTGGGCGGAGCTCCGCGATATTATCGAATTGGACACAAGCTGTTGGCCATTGGTCCTAAATATCAACCCATTTCACACCAGCGCTAGCGCTAACTTAGGCTGGACATGATGAACAACGCATGTCTTCACATATCCCGAGCGTCCTCCAAATCATGCCATACATCTTACATTCATGCCGCGCACGCCAGCGGGTTGGAAGGGTTATATGGCCCGCGAGCAAGAGAACTCCACGAGATTCACGGTTTCACCACTGAGCATCCACCGAGTGAGAGCAGAATGCCTCCACTATATCCGTTCGCATGGAGCATCGTTGCAAGGTTACTGGAATATCACGAAGACTTATCGAGCCATTTCTAAACTTAACTCTGCTGCTCGGCAACATCTTTCGCCAACGCCTTCTCCATGCTTTCCTCAGCTTCATACCCATATTCCCACCACTGCGTGACTGGATCACTCCACAGATTCGCACTATGCGTATAATGCTCGCCTCGAACTTCCGGTGCCATCGATGCATCTCTCGCTCTCTGCTCTGGTCCATCTGGGAGTCCAAGAATCATGCCATTAACGTTGCTGGCGTTACACATGTCACTTGTCCTCTTCATCCGTTCTTTCTCGAAGACTTTCAACGCCGGCGCGATTTCGTCCCGAGAGGAGACTTGGTTCAACGTGATTGCGAGAGCGGCGCCGTCTTCGACTGCCATGGCAGCACCTTGGGACATGTATGGCAGCATAGCGTGCGCTGCGTCGCCCATGACGAGTAATTTGGATGAGGCCGAGAGCCATGTTGTCAATGGTCGCGCGACTTTCAACGGCCATTTCATGAAAGAATCAATCAGGGCAATGATTTTGGTCAATCTGCGTCGATGAGCATGTCTCAATTGCTGAAGCTGGAAAGAGAGGAACTTACCGCGGATCCCATCCACTGAACTCCTTGTACATGTGTTCCCGGTCGAACTTTTCGGGCCAGGTGCTCGGGTCAGAATCGTCCAAATGTGACCATGTCATGTTGAGGGACTCTCCAGCTGCTATCACGTATGACATGACGTGTCTGCGTTGCCCGATCCTACCGAAACAACTGCGTTAGCAGGCCGACGCGTATATACTGACACATTGAATGACTGACCAGAGGTTCAGATCCGGTTTCTCCAACATCCACGCAAGATCTGGATCCTGGCGCATCCTGTTCGCGTCAATGGTGCCTCGATATGCAGCCAAGCCATTGTACACAGGCTCGTGAGAAGCATCCGGTTCAATATAGCTGCGCGCAGTTGAGTTGATGCCTGGAACGGTGTATCAGCCAAGCACGTCAGCATGAAGGTCGTGCATAACACACCATCAACAGCAACCACCAGGTCTCCTACAACGACAGACCCGTCTTCGAGTATGACGGTTCCTTTCTTCTCTTGATACTCGATAACTCTTGCGCCTAGCTGAATCGTCACACCTAGCTTCCCAGCTACCTTGTGCAGCGCTTCATGGTAGTGAGCCCGATGCACCACATAATACGGCACTCCAAAATCGCTCTTGTAATTTGCGCCAAGCGTAGTATGCCCTATCACACTGCCGTCCTCCCATCTGCGGAGATTGATACCCTGGGGCTTGATAGCAAGCTTCTCAAGATGTTCAGCAACTCCCCATTGGTGCAGTAATCGTCCCGCGTTTGGAGGAATGTGAATGCCCGCGCCGATCTGATCATTGTTAGCCACGGTAGCTTGGACCGGATAAGAAGACTTGCTTCTCCAAGCTTCGGCGCTTGTTCCAAAACCCGCACCGAGTGGCCTCTTCGTGCTAAGGCAACTGCACAAGCTAGACCGCCAATCCCGGCGCCAACTATCACCACGTCTAACTTGAGACGAGCCAGCTCAGGCGCCTTTGAGCCATTCTGGTAGTGAGTAACATCCTTCGTCTCTACCTTCTCCAGGAATCGCAGCGACTGGGACGGGAATGTCATGGCCGGGTTGGACATGCCATTGTTGGTCACTGTCCCGTTACTCAGGCCCTTGCCATTCTTCTGAGATACCGTATTGTCGACCAAGGTCGTTTGGCCGCTGATGGTTGGGTTCGTAGTTACCGTCATAGCGCTATTGTATGCGGGGATGTACGAGCGAATCTACCGTGGCGTGGAACGAAAAAGAAGAGGTGCAACCATCCCGCCTTTCATGTGCGACGCCAGGTGGGGCATAGCGAGGCAACGGGCCGTTCCAGTCACAAATTGAGCGTGCGCATGCTGCACAGGTGGTGTGAGGGGTCCGGGAGCAAGCGGATTGTCAGATTGTCTGAGGATGTGGGGACCTCGGGACGTTTCTTAAGGTTTCGGCGCCTTTCAAGCACTTTATATCGAACGTGGAAAGCTGTTGCGACCTGCTCTCGGCAAGACATTGCACTTCACGACTTCTTATCTGGATTTCTGTGCACTTGCTATGAAGAATCAGGCGATATTTGTCTACGCCCACTGGCACTCTATTGTGATATGTCTTCTTGTGGTCACAGTTGCAAGGCTACTATGGGTTCGAGTTCGACACCTTCGGAGCGTCCCCGGTCCTTTGTTTGCCAAGTTTACACCACTCTACCGTATCTGGACAGCGGCGACTGGTAAACAATTTGTTATACACCAAAAGCTTCACGATGCATACGGACCTGTAGTTAGGATCGGCCCAAACCATGTATCTGTCTCTGATGCCGCGAGTATTACTGATATTTATGGTATCGCTAGCAAATTCTATAAAGTAAGCTGCCATTCTAACACGATCGACAACAGATTTCCTGCGAATGTGAATCATATTGACGTAAATAAAGAGCGATTGCTACACTCTTTTCGATGTCCCCACCAAATCTGGATTGACACCGACTGTTTTCTCAGTTCGCGACAATACCTACCATCGACAACTGAAGCGCCCAGTAGCGAATGCATACTCTATGACATCGCTCGTTGAGCTGGAACCTATGACTGATGTTTGCATCAAGATATTGGAGAAGAAGTTTGAGCGATTCCAGGGCCAGGGTATCGATCTCGGCGAATGGCTGCATTGGTATATCTTCTTCTGAACATATCTTAACATCTATAGCAGCTAAGCATAGCCAAAAAGGTACGCCTTCGACGTGATAACATCCATCACGTTTTCCAACTGCATGGGCTTTATGGAGTCAGAACAAGACATCTCTGGAATCATACGAGCAATCGAGGGCCGACTATTCTACAACTCGATCGTCGGGCAAGTCCCCGCCTTGCACAAGTTCCTCCTAGGCAATCGCTTTGTTTCGCGCATCGCAAACCTTCTCCCATCAGTGCGCCGCCTCAACACCACACATTTCATCGTCGACTTCGCGCGCACGCAGCTATCCCGGTACCAAACCGTAGGCAGCTCGTCCGACGATCTAAAAGACATGCTCGCGCGCTTCAAACGCTCCAACAAAGACGGCGGGCAAGCCATGACCAGCGACGAACTACTCAGCCACGCAACAGGCAATGTTCTAGCAGGCTCCGACACAACCGCCATATCCCTGCGCGCCACATTCTACCACCTCCTCAAAATCCCGCGCACATATATTAAGCTCCTCGCTGAGATCGACGCCGCACATACCCGCGGCGACCTCTCTGACCCCATCACCTTCGCCGAAGCGAACCAGCTGAGTTATCTGCAACTCTGCATCAAGGAGGCGATGCGCATGCATCCCTCGTGCGGCCAACTTCTCGAGCGCGTGGTACCGGCTGGCGGAATGTCTATTGCGTCCGTGTTCTTGCCTGAAGGCACGGTAGTGGGTATTAATCCGTGGGTCGTCGCGCAGGATAAAGATGTGTATGGAGATGATGTAGGTGTTTTTCGGCCGGAGAGGTGGAGTGAGGCGTCGCCTGCGCAGTTGAGGTTGATGGAGAGGAATTTTCTGGCCGTAAGTTGCTTGCCTGTTGTGGATGCTTTGTGTATGTGCTAATGATGTGGGCAGTTTGGATCAGGTGGGAGGACATGCTTGGGGAAGAGTATCTCGATGCTTGAGATGACGAAGCTAGTTCCGCAGATTCTGAGGAGATTTAGGGTGGAGTTGGTTGCACCGGAGAAGAAATGGGAGCTTGAGGGATTCTGGTTTGTTAAGCAATCTGGGTTGCTGTGTAGGATTACGGAACGTGGCATAAGCTCGTGATTGCGGCTGGAACAACAGGAAGTCCCATCAGCATTAACAATTAATTGTGTTCAAAGTGTTGCTCATTGATCGAAGTAACGAAACCTTACTGCCTGTCCGCAGGCGGCTGCGGCCACTTATCCAATATCGTCTCCTCACCCTTGACCACAATCTTGACTTCCGCGTTCGTCGGCTCATCCAACAACACAGTGTATTCGCCCGGATACAACACTGTATTACCCATCTGATCCACCCTCGCCAAATTTCCCAGCGTCAACTGCATCTCCGCGCTCTTCGTCTGGCCGCCCTTAACGTCCCGCACGCGCGTGTAGCTAATCAGCGTCTTGAGCGGGTACGGCGCGGGACCGTTTTCGCCTTTGATGAATGCCAGAGCGATGAAGTCAGATGTGCGGTTTCCCGAGTTCGTCACGGCCACGGGGATGCTGGGAACTGAGCATGTGTCGGGGTATTGATTTGTGCACTCTTTTGTGATGTTGCTGATGTCGTACTCAATGGTAGAATTTGCCGCGAATTTGGCATCGAAGGTGGTGTAATGAAGTCCTGTGCCAAATGGTTGCACAGCGCCGTTGAACCAGCGATACGTGCGGCCGGGACTGCTGCTGCTGGGGCGCATGTTCATATCCAACATACTGAGCTCAGTGTAGTTCGCTGGGTATTGTGTGATGGGAAGACGGCCTGCGACTGCGACGGCACCGGTGACGACTTGCATGACTGCCGAGCCGCCATCTTGGCCAGGCCAGTTGGCCCAGATAACGGAATTAACGCCATCAAGCTCGAGGAGAGGAGAGTTGTCCATCAGGTCGCCGAGAACAAGAACAACAAGGGGCTTGCCGATGGCTGCGAGCTTTTTGATCAGGTCGACTTGTGCGGTGGGCCAGGCGATGCTATTGCGGTCAAATCCCTCGGCAGCAGCGGAGGGATCGAGACCGCCAAAGTACAAGATGTAGTCGGACTTCTCAGCTGCGGCGAGGGCGTTCGTCGTCCAGTTATCCCGGGTAGACGAGTTTGACTGCTGCAAAATAGGGCCACTGGCGATAGCCATGTCGAGACCGAGCTTCTGGCCTGCCCACACCGGCGAGCGCAGGTAAGGAGCAGGGCCACTGTAGATTCCAGAGAGTTTCGAGGTATCGTTGGCCCAGAAGCCGAGCATTGCGACCTTGGAGCCATTGGTGAGAGACAGTGGAAGTGTGTCGTCGTTCTTTAGCAGGACAAGTCCCTCCGAAGCGACTTGGAGGGACAACTGTTGTGCTTCTGGCGTGTTGATGTCCTTCACACCCAGATTGGCATAAGTGGCTGCAGCACCATCAAAGTAGCCAGCGCGCACTAGACCCTCATACTGTCTCTTAAGCGCTCTGTCAATGGTCGGAATGCTGAGGTACGATTGGTTGAATGCTCCAGGGATGTCTGAGGAACCTGTGTACTCGCAGCTGTTGTCCATACCAGCAGTAAAAGCTAAACCAGTACCCTCAGCATTCGTCTTGGCGTATTTGTGCTTGAGTGAGATGTCCTTCACAGCTTCGCAGTCGCTGGTAATGTAGTTGTTGCTCTCCGTCCAGTTCCAGTGATCACGCAGAATTGTTTGTAGGACGTATGTATCAGCACACGTGGGTACGCCATTTACGGCATTGTATGAGCACATGAATGAGCCAACTTTGGAGTCGCGTGCACACTGTTGGAAGGGTGGCATATAGTACTCGGCCAGGTCTTGCATATTGATCTTGGCATTGAAGCTGTGGCGATCAATACCACCCCAGGCCTCCATGTCATAGCCAACATAATGCTTGCACGTAGCAATGATTTTCCTCTGGGGTTTGTCGCCTTCGAGACCAGCGAGGAGATGCTTGGTGTAGCCCTTGATCCTGACTATGTCTTCGCCGGGCGTCTCTGAGCCACGGCCCCAACGCGGGTCTCGGAACGGGTTGATGTCGGGGGTCCAGAAGTCTACTGGAGCTACACCTCCGTTGCCGAATGCTCGCGCTTCGTTGCCAATGATGTTGGCGATCTTGAAGATGAGATCGTCGTCGAATGCAGCCGACATCAGCAGCGGCATGGGAAAGGATGTTGCAGTCTTGTAAGCTCCAGTAAAGTTGATACCAGGTGCTCCAGCTACACCATGAAGTGCTTCTCCCCACCAGTTGTACTTTGGAAGGCCTAGTCGGGTAACACCTCTTGATTTGCTGGTTTTGTCAGTTCCCGCAGTGTCATGTCATATGTTGATGCGCACCTCATGAGATTGTCAAGCTTCTCGTTTGTCTGCATAGCCTCGACTAGAGCCGCAGCTCTCTCTGCGGGTGCGGCGGTCACATCGCAGATTTTGTTGTCCTTTAATGGGCCATTGGCACAATCAGGTCCGATGGCTGCGTTTGCCAGCGAGGCACCAAGCACAACCAATGCTGAAAGGAAATGCATCTCGAACGCAGACTAAATTCAAAAAGTATGAACGCCGTCAGCATTCATTTTTTTTAACGCAGCACCCGAACGTTATGTATTCTGCTCGAAGGCTCAGATAGTACCTGCATATTACACAATTAGCCGACGAGGCGCCTTAGCCAGCATCATCCTCCAGCGTCGAGAGCAACTACCCCGCGCAAACCAAGGGGTTCCCACAACGATGATCAGCACTATACATGGTTATTGCTGCCACCGGACAGTTCATACAATATTTTGCCGCCGGGCTAGGCGAACTGTGACGAGCGCAAAGTTTGGCGGCCTCGGATTTTGGTTGTGCATAATCGAAGCGATCTTGTCGACGGAGTTTCACTTCACGCGAGTAGTGAGGGTGCCATAGAGAAGGAATGTTACACTCCAAAGAAGCATTGGGAGGTGGAGTCTCTCTCCCCAGCGTAGTATCGATGAACCATGTAAATAACACAAGATGCGAAAAGTAAGCTGTCAGCTCGGAAAAAACATGACGCCATGCTTCCAAGGGGGGAAGGGTGGGTTGCCACATCATTGTTAGCGTCTGCGGGATTTTCCTGCAAGAGATGAGCCTCGTTCGATATTGATGATATCGATATTGTGCCTGAAGTATGTGCCATATGATTCCCTGGTTTTGCTCGAAGTGGTGACAAGCGCTACGTCTTCCGTGGAAGGCAGCGTTTTCCGGGAGCCCGTTGTTCCACACCTCCGCCAGTTGAGCATCTGGTAAATATACAACCCCCAAACATGAAAGGAAGCGTTTCATAAGCCGTATCGATGCGGGGGGCTCTTCTTACCACGATGTTCTAACTGCGCTATCTTCCTGAGTACTGGCTGCTTGATCATCCTCACAGGTGGCGATGCGCTTGCAACTGAGTCCTCCCTTATAATCGGCGTTGTGCTGTTATTTATCGACTGATCTTTTGTGCCTTCAACATCTGTGTTCGCGCTTGATGCTGCTTCTGTGATGGGGCCATCAGTCCTAACTTTCCTGATGTTCGTGGGGGCTGGTTCCCGTTGAGCTTGGCTATCCGCTGATGGCTTGATCGCATTGGGTGTGTGGACTCTTTCAATCACAAGCACTTTGCCCTTGACCGCAACGCCGCCAGTGGGGCCCTCGATCCAAACAACATACGATGCTCGCTGATCGAATGTTTTACTCTCCCGGATGCATATGCGCATCTCCTCGTCGCAGTATAGAGGTGCCAGATTCTGGTACTTGAGAGAGAGTATGACATATTTGTTGCCAAATTCTCTCTTAATCCAATACCAAAAGACTTGCAGCATGAATGTCAGGGACAGCGGACCGTGGACGAGCATGTTGCGGTGACCCTCGACATTGCGCGCATAGTCTCGGTCGAGGTGGATAAGGTGGGCGTTGAAGGTCAGCGCCGAGTATCGGAACAGCAGAGCGCGCGTCGGAGTGAGGGTATGAGAAAAGACGGGCTCTCCAGGCGCTGTGGCGCGTTAGCATGGTATCGTGCTGTAACGCGTGGAGGGTCGAAGAAACGTACATATTTCGAGATATTTGACGGGGAGAAGGCTTCCCGCGGCGATGGCCTCCTGCTCGACGGGCGTCTTTTCCTTCAAGAAGACTAGAGTGCGCTCCTCCTTGAGAATCGCGTCACCCCACTCCTCGCCTGCAGCTATCTGCTGCCGGAACAGGGCTTGTGCGTCTAGAGGTGTCTGTTTCCAGCTGCGGGTAGCCAATGCCTTGAGCAGACTGTCGAGCCTTGCATAGCGACGTTCGATGGTGACAAAGAGCTTGACGTCGGAGCCTTTCTTCTGCACATCTGTGATGCGCTCCGAACAGATCATGTGCTGGTCGATGATGAATCCGTTATCGTGGTCAAAGTAGACATTCTTGCGCGCCTCCACTTCGCCTCCCGCCCACATGCGCCGAACCCAGGGCTCACCAGGACTCTGCAGTGGATCGGTGCCGTCTGGCAGCAGCTGGTCCTCGGGCAGAAACGAATTGAACCACACCAGATGGTGGCCCAAGGGAACAATCGCTGCTCCCCTTTCAATACGCCGCCGGCTCCAACCGGGGGGCATAAAAGGCTTGAGCGTGTCTTGTAGCTTGTGGTGCGTGTCCGTATTCACATAGTCGCGCGTGATGTGAGTGGGCCGCCCCAGCATTTCAGCGCGCAGCTTCTCGAACCAGTCTCTTTGCCCTTCGGCTGCATGGGAAGCACCATAGCTGCGGAAATTGATGTGTCTGCATCGCGTGTTCGCTGAACGAGGCCAACGAACTCGCTGGAGGCATTGTGTGTGGATTGACATTGGGAGGCTCAATTCCAGCGGCTGCACATTTGTCGCAAACTTGGCGCGTGGAGCCAGCCAATGACCTCGAGACGTGCACGGGGCTGCGCAGCCAGGCGCACGCGTCAAGGAAGCAATGCAAGAATGTTGGTAAGACAGAAGAAGAATGGTTTCAAAATCTAGATGAGGAACATCGGGAAGCCCTATCACGACGTCTCAAAACTAAGGATCATGCTGTCATCGAACGCAAACTACAAAAGCTCAAGGTATGCCACCCTCCCGCTTCCCCAATGTCCTCATTTAAAGATTTGATCAAGTACTTACTGTGATTTACGTACCGGATGGTAAGGTCTAAATCACAGTGTACTCAAATTATCATAGTCATGTGCGATAAATCGATGCTAAGACGTGTCTTGGTTTTCCCCTGCTTTTCGACTCAAACATCTCAACATGTCTTGCAGCAATGACCCTATGTCTTTATGTTAAGAGGATCTTGCACGTAGTTGTCGCCATGAGGAATTCCGAGGCAGGCGCTGCCTCCCGTGCGCAACAGCCTAGAGATACCCCATGGACCCAACGACGAGCGATTACACAGCGAGCGGCGAGCAACTATGGTGAAGGACGACTAAACAAGACCACGGGGGTGCATCGTGTAATAGTCGGGATGGAGGATTGAACAGCCGCGATGCAGACAGGCAATGCCATATCATGAGATTCACGTACACACTGGCAAGGCGCATCAACCAGGCAGGTGTTGTTCTGTCCTCTTCAATGCTGGAGTAATAATGCGAAGTGTAGGTAGATACGTCGTAATTGAGAGCGTTTTCGACGAATGACGAATGAATCGCGTTCGGCATTCGCCAATGTGGGGACTTTGCCGCGGTGCATCTGAGGCGCGTCCATTGTGCTAAGCCACGGGCGCCACGATAGCTCAGCAGCATTGTCGCAACAACAAAAGTAGCATGCGCATGCGGTGACGACTTCTTTGGAGATTGGCGCTAGCAGACCGCCAATTGTCACTGCCCACAAGACTGCGAACCCCATCACCACCTCACATCAACACCAGAACGTGAAACCGGCAGACATGGCGGGCGAGACGGAGCTGCTGGAATGCCCCATGTGCGCCTTCACTGTCTTGCACACTGATGATTATATCCTGCAACTTCACTTTGAACAAGTGCATACCACAGACAGTCCATTCAAGATTGACGGTGATGTCGAGCCGCCCCTACCCACAGCACCGAAGCGCAAGCACGCACATGCAGACACCCCAGACACGACTTCCTCTGACGACGACGAAGGAGACATGGTTACCTGCCCTGAGCCCGAGTGCGGCGAGGTTGTTTCTCTTGCAGACTTTAACGACCATCTCGATTTCCACGCCGCAGAATCATTATCATACAACGGGACTACGGGCAAATATCATCCTCACTATTCATCCGCTGCAATGCAGACCTTGGCAGCACACCAGCCGCATGAATCGTTTACCAAGAATACGTTTTCCGAATACCACTTTACCACAGATCTACCAGACGCCCTGAAGAAAGCCGACGGCCATGGAAAAAACCATGGCCACCGTAAGAGAAGCAATACCAGCAGCAGTGAGAAGAGTACGCTTTCCCGCAGCATCTTAACCTTCAACCCTTTCACGAAGGCGGAAAAATCGATCAAGCCGCCCAACAAGAGCGCGCGTCTCGGTGTGAGTTATCCCGCAACTGGGGCATCGCAGATGCTGACGCGTACAGAAATCTGAACTCGGACCTCATGCTTGGGAAGAGCGCATGCCACACTGGCTATACGAACAACTCGCTGCCGGCCCCAAGATCACCACCGTCAACCGTATTGGCCGTGATGGCCGCCTTATCAAGCAAGAGCAGGTCCAGAATGAGACGCCAGGCATCATACCAATCCTTGCTCAGCTTTCTGCTCTCGATCGTTCCGTCAGGGAAGCTTACTACTGTCATCCATCCACCCTCCATGTCGGCAAGACGCCTCGAGAGGGTGGCTTCTGCGGCTATAGGAACATCCAGATGCTTCTTTCTTACATCCAGGGTGCCAAGGCTCAGGGCCACGAAGAGTTCCCGGGACGCACTCCAGGCATCTTGAATCTGCAGGAGCTGATCGAGAGTGCTTGGGACAAGGGCATCAACACCATCGGGCGTGTCCAGACGGGCGGTATCCGAGGTACGAGGAAGTACATTGGCACTCCTGAAGTAAGTTGCTCCACGGTGTCCATCTCACAATACTGATTTCGCAGGCCCAAGCCTTCTTCCTCAGCTCCGAGATCAACTGCGCCGTGGAAATGTTTAGCGATATGAAAGAGCGCAAGATCGAAGCTCACGAGACACTTCTCGATGCGGTTGAACGCTACTTCACGCAAGCTGCCGTTAAGGACGGCTCCAACGTGTACAAAACACTACTACCGCCCATCTATCTCCAGCAGCCGGGTCATTCCATCACTATTGTTGGGTTCGAACGACACCGCAACGGCTCATGCAACCTCGTCGTCTTCGATCCTATGTACTCGACCAGCCCTGCGATGCACAAGCTGCTCGGTCGCAAGAACATTCAGACGGCTCGACCGGAGGTGCTGCATGCATATCGCCGGGGCGCGCGACAGCTTAGAAAGCATGCTATGTTTGAGATCTTGATGTACGTGGTAATGCTCGAAAATGCTGCTCCATTTGCTAACGAGACTAGGCTCACGGCAACACCTCCTTTGTTTCCTGCTTGGGATGTGAGAATATCCTCACCCTCCAAAGCACTCTCTTCTGCCTCTTCTTCACATGCATAGATACCCAGCAGATGCTTGCCATTTGACCACAAATGGAAGATGCCCAATTCATCCTTTAGTCTTCTGCCCCATCAGTGCGTTTTCATGCTAAATGAGTCGTGCTAGGTCCTTCGTCAGTTTCCTGACTGCCGCTACGTCTACGCCTTCTTCCGCTCTCGCACTCTTGGCTATGACGTCTACCCTGAAGACTATTTCCTACCAAACTTCCCATGGCAGCAGTACGGTGGTCTTTGGATCTGCGACGAAGCTCGATTCGCCCGTTCAGAAACCATGAACCCTATCGATGCGCAGGCGCTACGCCGAATCACCAGTGAAGGTTCCTCGCCACGAACAAGCTCAAGCAATAGTCCACTTTCGCCATTCACGGATGGTGGCTTCCATGGTCACGGCATCAACGCGAAGATGCTTCACGAGCCACGAATCCCTTCCCTGGACGGTACAACAAGCATCTACCCCAGCGGTCCCATCTTCAACATGGGCAGCATCGACACAATCTCTCGCCCCGACCCTCTACGATCCCAACTCGCTCTCCTTACAGACATTGGTCGAAAGTACCCTGGCTTCCCCACCCCACTCTCCCCAACACCCTCCGCAAGGGAACTCTTTCCCTCACCTGACACCCCGCGTAGCGTCGCGGTCCGAAGCATCAGCCCCATGTCCATGGACGGAAGCTCCATGTGCGGTCCCTCGCGCCGCTGCCAATCCCACGGCTACGAACACTACGCCTCCATGGGCTTGATCGACAAGATCCTTCTCTCTCCCTCTACCCGTTCGCCATCGCGTATGCCCTCGCCACGCACAAATATGGCGCGCTTGCATTCTCCCCCAGCAATCGAAATCGCAAACGGGACGGAAACGAGTCTTACGTCGCCCTTGACGTCCACAGGCACGATTTTGTCCTACACGTCCCATCGCCCAATTACTAGTGGCCTACTCGCGCTCAAACCTCTCGATGAGGCGCAGACGGCTGAATACAGGTTCTGGACGAGCTGTGGACGCCGCGCGTGTGCTTTTGGATGTGGGAGTGGAAATGAGGGCGAGAGACAGGCAGGACGGCGCTTGTTTCGCGAGGCGGATGAGGTCGATGGTGGGGTGTGTTTGAGGGGTGATGAAGAAGACGATGCCGATGTGGCGGAAGAGAAAGAGGAGAGGAAGAGCAAATGGGCTGGACGGAGGTATGTCGGTGGCGGGGGGAATGGGTGGGAAGGATTTCTGAAAGGCTGTGAGAGAGAAGGAGTTGCGCAGTTTTGAGCTGGTTCGAGGATACGATTGATGGATGATGAAAGACTGATGACCTTGCTACGATTGATGCGCTGGATCGATTAGGGCGTTTTGATTCATTCTTGGCTTCTGGAGTTTTTGCTTAGATATACCCAATTGTTACTGATTTTCTATTGCTCACATGTCAGGGAAAGCGAATTAGGTGAGTGAAAGTTGAACGGGTATCAATTTTACCACTAAACGCCAGACCGCGACCTTTCCTGTGCGGTATGCATGCTATTCTACAAATGCTTTTCTCGCAACGCCCACTCAATCGCTATCGTCATCGCTGCCATACCCAACCAGCGGACCTGCAGTAGGCGCTGACCGCTTGTTTGTAGGCGCAGCGGTGTATCCCTTCAAAGCCGCCAGCGTAGAGCTAGAGAAAATTCCATTCCCACCTTGCTGCGCCAGCATCTCCGGCTGTGTGTCCTCAGCGGCCTCGATCATCGGTCTCTCGCCTGAGCCACCGGCCTCAATCTCCCTCGCTGCCTCCCAATCACTCTTCTCCTTCGCATACCACACCTCATCCGGCGCCTCATATCCCTCGAGCCCAAACCCGCCCTCGATCTTCCGCCTCTTCTTCTGCTCCGGGTCGCGCCCTTCAATCTCCGCCACATACGCCGCCGGCAGCGCCTTCCTGATCGCCTCCGCCGCCTGCTCTTCGATCCTCGCGGCCTCGCGCTTCTGACTCGCCGGATTTGGATCGACCGTTGCCCAGCGCACGTTCAGAATCTCTGTGTGATCGAGGCTCTGATGCGCCATGGCCTCCTTCGCGAACTGGCTATTCGCCTCATTCAGATATGTAATGAAGGCGACGCCGCGCGCTGTCAACACCCTGATGCGCTCAATCTGGCCCCATTCCTGGAAATGGCGCGCGACAATCTCTTCAATGTCGTCGGTGACGTGGATGCGCCCGACGTACAGCGTGCGGTTTTGCCGCTGGAAGGAGCCGACGCCGCCCATGTCGTCGCGGTAATCGCTGTGCTTGTCGCGCCCGAAGCAGTCGATGTTACTCGGGAAAATGTCGGTGACGGTGGGTAACCGGTGCAGGTACTCGCAGTCGACGCCCTTGGGACATATCCCGCGCGCAAAGAACAGACAGAAGTACGACCCGGGAGTGCGGTCCGCTTTGGTGTAGCCGCTATCCTTGGCGACGTTGCAACGCCCCTGTGCGGCAGTCTTGGACAGGTACTTGTCCTCGCGATCGCCGCCCGACCATTTGTTGTACCAGATGTTGAAGATTGTGCCTGTGGGCGGGGGCGCGTCGGTTTTGAACGTCGCGGGATCGACTTGCGGCCGGGCGGGGCGGCGCTTGCGGCGGATGATCTTTTTGACCTTCTTGCCCTCTGCGTTGGTGAGTGATGATGGTCTGCTCGGTGGTTATGGGCGCGAGTTCGGTCGATGTGGAAGGGCTCGAGCGATGTGGACGGGTCGAGGGAGACATTTTCGGGCGTCGCGATCGCCTTTTGCGCGGGTGGTGATTGGACTTCGGCCATGTTGTGTGTGAAGTGTGGTGTGGTTGGTGAGAGGTGATGGTGTCGCATAACTTTTAGAGTTGAGCCGCTGAACTTCGCGCTAGTCGCCGATCACACGTGACAGCGTAACCTGTTCCCCACGGCCTCGACAAGACACCTCGACTTCATCGGACATTGCAGACAACCTAGTAAGAATGCTTTGCTACTTGCATTGATACTTGAAGCTTTTCGCCCACTAGCAAAAACTGCGCCTTAGCATGCTTCTCGATGCGGGATCTTGCAGGGTGCGGGTGGAGTCATGATCTTCACAATACCATTGCCCGAACGGCACTCCATCGCATCCATCTTCACCTTCACACTCAGCACAATTTTCCGTAGAATCCGAAAAGGCAACACTACAGGCTAGCCGTGCGGGGTGCCAGCAATCTTGTAGCAATTTACGCATCTCGATCTGTCAGGCTGGAACTCTAACGATCATGTAGTGGTGTCTCTCGCTTCATTCTTTGTCACTATGAGATACAAGGGAAGATATAAGAGATCTACAAGCAGCGAACCTAACTAAAAAAATTTGACAAATGAATGATATGGGTAAGAAAAACAAGAACTCCCAACTAACTCCGGGATCAAATGCAATCACAAGCGCATCTACTGCGATCGGTGCAATGACTCTGCGCTTACCATTGACAGTAGACATATGGTTGCTGGTAGATGCGACCGCCATCACAGAATTTGCCCTCTCTCTTGTCCAGCTTGGGGTCCTTGTAGCATGTGAATGGGTCATCTTGTCCCTTGCACCAAAGCGACCCAGGATTTCCCCTGCCATCGTTCTTGTACTGACATTCCATGCCATCGACGTTTATGTCAAATGTTCCAGCGGGCCAATCTGGCCCGTTCGATGGCCAGGGACCATCTTCTGCCGTCCATTTCGTGACGGTTTGGTCTTCCGGTTTGCAAAGTGCTGATACGCCGACGGGAATCTCGTAGACATACCAGTCGTTGTCGGCAAAGGTCTCTCTGACATTGGTGCGCAAGATGATGCTAATAGCACTTACGTCGCCGTCGAAGCTGTCTGGTTGTCGGTCATCGTCTTCGTCTGTCGCGCTCACAGGGGGGTCGACGAATGTGCATCCCTTCTTCTGGAGATAAGCTTCCTGAGCCGCGATGTCAGTGGGTACACCATAGAAACGCAATGCTCACCTACCGATGCCATGAAAGCGTAATTGTCTGCGTTGATGAGCTGGTCTGCTGCCGAAAGTCGATGACTTTTAGCTGCACCATATGCTTTGTCCACTATTTCTTGTCCCAACGCCGTTTTTCCGATTTTGTTCCAGTGCCTATCGAAATGGAAGATGTCAGTGGTTGCATGCCAGAGAGGGGTTAGGAGAGGGGAGGTAGGCGCATCGGTACGTACACAGCCTCGTGCAAGTGCGTTGAGGCAACACTCATGATCTTCTTTGATGAGTATCTGTCCGAGCCGCTTCCAGCGAGGTCTTCACACTTGATGGTAGTTATGTCCTTTAGTCTCAGACCCTTGTCGCAAAACTTGAACCTCCCGCTCTTGTTCTTCGTGTATGCATATGTCTTTCCGTCGTCGCACGCATCCAAGAAATCTTTCCTCCAGAGCACTCGGTCTTTCATTCGCGGCAATGTATCAGGAACGAGAGCTTTTGGATCTACCATCCTTTCCAAAACCTTCTTTACATTTTCTGAGTCCGCCTCAGCAAACCAGCGTTTGAACGTCGGGGTCTTTGCGTCTGCTTCTTGCCAAGCGTAGACTGCCAACGTTTCCATTTCAAGGTAGGCATCATGGAGCTGTTTGCCATCGGTGCGATCGGCAATGGTGCCTGGCATATCCCAGCCCTTCCATCTCATTTCGTTGGAAAGTTCAGTACCGTAAGGGTACGGTGAGGGATCGAGACCTGCAAGCATGTGGAATCAGCATTATGAGTCCGCTTAAATCTTGGAAAGCAGAACTTACTTGGGTCGCGCTTGATCAAACTCGGCGGCGCTTCCGAGAGGGTCTTAGAGCTGTATTCCATCAGCTTAGTTGAATACCTAGGATCATTGTAAATACCTAGCGATTGGATTACCAGCTGCTAAGGTCGCAAAGATCTGGCAGCAGAAAAAGCCACATGTAGAATGGTGCATGATGGATCTCTTGCCGTCGTAATGGCTCGAAGTCTGTAGAAAAATGAGAATTATCGAAGTGAATAGCTTTAGTGTGAAGATATTCTATCAAAGCAATATCATTATTTTATAGGCAACTCAGTGCTCATGAATAGGCACATCTGCCAAAGGTCGGGCGAAGACACAGCCTCCATAATCAACGCCTTGTGCTGCGTCCGAGTTTCAAGTATGATACATGATTTTCTAGGCCAGCATCACTACGCCTATATCATCCTCTGTATCTACACACAAGACAATAAATGCAGGCCTCAAGTCCGACAGGCGAGAATATTTGAATTTAAGTCGCAGAAGAAGTCGGGAGCTCAGCGAGCAAAACTTGCATTGGAATAGTATTTAACTCAGTAGTAGTTGCTTCAAGCCTAAAGGAGATGCCGGATACAACAGTCTCGCTACACGTATACGGCGCGTAGGTGTCATACCTGCCTAGGTGGGCATGTGGTCTATTTCTAGAGATAGGCTTCCTAGCTGTGCTTACATAGTGCCTAGAGAAGGATAAGATCTAAGGAAAGTAAGAACGCCGGGCTGATTGTGAGTACACGAAATACAAGCCGCTCTGCTACCATGCCCCTAAGGTATAATGCATAGATGCCCAACCGCGGGCGTTAAGAGCAAACAATTTCTTTTCCCTCCATTTAAATTGTGGTATAGATCAATGCACAAGAAAGTCGCTAAGTAATGGAAGAAGGAAGTTCTGTGCATGTTGATCGCAGCTGAGAAGGAAAGTTGAACCCTGCAATATCGACGTGCAGCATAAGACGTCCAAGCTTTTGGAGCGAGTGAATGACCAGTAGGGCAAAGTGTTTTGTGGTGGCTATGAAGAGGCTCCATCTTCTTGATGATGCTTGTTACCGACATCTGCGCTCCTGACGTCAGTGGTACATGTCAGCATACGCCTGGGTCCAGGTCCAAACCATCGACATTACAAGCCCTTTCACGACTCTAGCGCACCGTGAAACTTTATTGTAAACTCTCACTAGACTACAATGATGTCAAAAGCTTCGCGAGTCGAGGTCGAATTGAAAGCTTTGCCAACATGCTACCTCACGAACGACCCTCCTTTCTACTTTCTTGTGCACATCGCACGCCACGGTGTGCAGGATCACACAGTATTTCTCCAAGATGGTTATGCGGATGATAACAGTTATCAGCCCATCAATTCGAATCGGATTTTTCAATGCTTGGACAACGAGACGGGGGAAGAGGTCCAAATTCTCCAGCAGGGAGCCCAACCCAGATTACTCGACAGGAGCTACGTTCAATTCACCACGGCCGAAAACCGCCGATATTATGAACTACCCATCATGACGTCTTCACTGCGACCGAATCGGAAATATAGATTACGCTTCAAGTCCATGAAGCCTATCTCACACTGGCCTGCTAGCGAAGAGGGCAAGCCAAATCCACGAGAAGACGCAGCGTACAGCGCACAACCAGACAGATCCGTGCCACCCAAGTCTACCATACCCTGGGTCGTTCCCGGCGGCAATGACACGGTCATATTCAGCACGCTAAGCTCGCAGCCCACACCACCAAAGGTCGCTGTAACTCTATCAGCACCATCGACATATTCTCTTTCAGGGACATTTGTGTTCGAGCTCTTGTTCACGACGGATGCTCATCGTCCCATAACTGTGCTTGCAGATCGCGCAGCCGTCATGAAACAGGTCTCCGACATCGAGATCCTGGACGGCAAGACTCGTGCTCGACTCGGGCCCGATGAGATCAATATCTGCAAAGACGCCCAAGATCCGGTAAGGGAGCAGTTTATACGAATGAGCGGCAGCTATACGGAGCAACGCGTTTTGGACTTTGAGCATTCGTTATGGGAAGACATGAATCTGGAGGTTGGTGGGGAGTACATAATCCGCCATTTGGGAGACAAACGGTGGTGGAGTGAAGATACGATTGATGACATCCTAACGTATCTTGATACCAAGAGTAACTTAGGGCTGGTGGCAACAAAGCAAATCGAGTTTGAAGGGGGAGGCGAAGTGAGATTCACGACTACAGAATGATGTGTATAGTCTGACAACTCTATCTGCAGTAGGAGAAAGTCAATCGCAACAACCTGACCATACTACTGGAAGATTAGATAGTGCTTCCAAAAAAATGATTTGCGATGCTTTAGTTCCAATTTTGATGCATTCTCTGGAACTGCCTCTCACTTTAATCTTCCTTCAGAACCGCTCGCGACTTCGGTTTAACTACGGTGCTTAGGTCAAAGACGGGCGGATCTGGGATAGGCAGCTCCATAATCGCAATAACAAGTGCAAGGAAGAAGTAGAACCCAAGCACCGACGCAGCGAAGAAGCATGCTCCTGTTCCGGTCGCAAGCTTCGTACCCAACACGACGTTGGCTTTGGCAAGATGAAAGAATGCGCCTGCGCCTAAGCCAAATCCAATTGTCACGAACATGAATATGAGAACGAAGACGCCGTTGACGCGCAAGGACCCGAGAAGGAAGATAAAGGACAGAATGCCCATAGCAATTTGGTAGAATGCTGAGGGAGACGTCAGCTCGACTTTCGTGCACCTTGAATATCGTTGGAACTCACCAAAACTGGACAGGAAAACTGCGGTCTGATTTTCCGGACCAGGGCTGCCGATGCCACTTCCATCTGGGTTGAAAAACCCGATCGCATTGAACCACGGGATGAAAGTCGTGGCGAAAGCCAAAAGATGCGCACCGTAGGCGAGGAACACGATCATGGGGAAGTTGTTGCCGAGTAGAAACTCTCCGATGCCAGCGAGGATGAGAAGCACGCCGCCGAACCAGATGGTAGGACCTGTGGTTGCGACAGCGAGACCACCGGAGCCGCGCCATCCCACTGGTAGACAGCTTAGCAATATGCGCCGATGACTGGTGGTTGAGTTGAGGGAGGAACTCACTGAAGGCACAAGCGAGTGGGAACACCGCGACCGAGAAGCCTAGTACACCAATGGGCGTAGGGTTCCCAAAGGTGTTGCGAAGAGAACCCGCCACCTGCGTCTTGGGGGAGATGAAGAGCTTCTCATAAAGCTCTGGCGTGAGGGTGACGGTTTTGGCAAGCTCGTAGCGCAGCTTCTCTTCGCTGTCGATGTGCATGTCTTGACTATGCGTTGGGCTGGTGCCCTGCCTGTTGTGTGGTTGGTAGTCTCGGCTCGCCATTTCGACAAGGGATGAGGCAAACTTTTTGAAGAACTCTGGTGGAGAAAGCAAAGTGCGCTGAAAGATATACTACATGAGCAATTGCAGCTACTGGGAGCTTCATATATCATGGACGGCCCGTTTCCGAAATCAATACCGCTGCCGATAACCTTCGGATGCCGGACTGTACGCCGCACACCATGGACCAGTAGCTAGCTCATGCCCTAGACGCAATATGGTACAAGAAGGTTCGCATATGATATTCCAGGAGGAGGGATCGTCTTCCTAAGGGGTGATCGTATCGTGAGTTGATTGTGTTCTCACTGACCCAAGGCTCGGTGATACAGTCATAGCCAGAATGTGATCCTTCGCATGCCGATTTCGTGGTCTGCAACACCTGTATCACACCACGAGGGAACTGATCGAGTCTTTTTAATGTGCTTGGCTAGGTTCTCAGTATTCAATGTTCTGATGGAGGACGCGTATCCATCGCTCGCAGGGGTTCATTCGAATGCTTCGGAGATGGTATCAACCGCAATGGCCTGCCGAAGGGTTGACCTAACATAGGTTGGTGGCTAATAGAAGCTCGATCATATAGCCGACATTGTCGATGTTCACTAGCTCCCTCTTCCCCGCGAAAGCTAGTGTCTAACCGATGCGCACTGAGCTAGACCGAAGGATAGTTTTAACCGCCGATGCAGTCTGACCAATGGTGAGTGATTTCCACGACGGCTGGCAACAAAATGTCTTGCTTCTGGACCTGGTCGAGATCGTGCCATACGCAGGCTTGTGTTGATCAGCGCGTTGTCGCTCGCAGCAATCGACCTCTGGATCCAATTAGCCAAACTCTCCAGCGTACACTTCCTTGACTGGCTAACTTCATCTTTTCGTGCACCGGGTTGGTTCTATCGTCTCATGAAGTCGGCTCCTGCAATAGGTCTAGACCGCGAGTCGCCTGGTGGCACTTCGCGGGTTTGACAGCAGCTGAGCGAGCGCGACGCTACCTCAATTGGTATCCTCGTTCTTCTTCCAACGCAATGTCGCCATCTCGGAACGCATCATGAGGCTGTACAGCGCGGATGCAACGACTATTTTGACGGGACGAGCAGCTGTTTGTGCTTCCCCGCACAAAGGTGCCTAGCGTGGACCGTCAATTCGTCTCCGTCCGCTGGCGTGAACTCTCGCGATCTCGACACTAACCTGCGTCCTGATAATGGACGGCTAGCTTTGTTGAAGCCTGCCTCAGGTTCCGCCAAAATCAGCATTTCTGTCACATACCGAAGTTTTGTGTTCCTGCGCGATGTGTGTAAGTTTCGATTGCCGTGTTCAGCACTCACATACCTTGGGGTACTGCCTATTCATTGTCGTAATCTTTTCCGTTTCCGTATTGGCGTCTTCTTCCGGATGTTGTGTTCCCTTCTTCTCTCGCAATGCGAGACGCAACAATCTTCCATCAATGTCTTCCAGTACTCGCGGCAAGGGAACCTTGAAAGTCACGAGGCCGATCAGGCAAGTGCAACTCTATACCAGTGCGCTGGCAACAACAACGTCTGAGTCATCCTTCCTCCATGTCATCAGTCATCACACTCCCCATCATCATCTCAAAGTGCCTAGCTAGGTATAACCGCTTGTCTTCGCAATGGTGGGAAGGGTGTTGCACAATTAGGCCCTCTATCCGAAGCCCCTTCCATTAATCATTGCCGTGCAGGGCTTTGGCGCCACGAAGGACCCAGGTATGCTCTCTGGGCAATGGCTGTGATGCGTCAACCATTGCCATGAAAATGGGTCTGCCCCCGAAATTCCTTTCGACTGCTGGGCATGCGAGGTGATGAAGAGAAGAAGGGCGCACCGATGCAGGCTTAGTTCTTGCGCGACGATGTCTTAAACGGTTTTCATCGGTAATTAAGTTCCATGGATCGCAAGATCTTATCAATTCAGGCCGGTCACTTCAAGCTCGGTGATAAATGATGTCACATCTGCTGTGCCACATGCCAGGGATTGCACCTCATTGTGCTGGTTACAGAACGTCTTCCGTCCATCCTCGAATATCATTCTCGCTTCGACACCAGGCCTGACGAATAACTGCAACATGTGTGATTTCATTGTCTTCGCTACCCATGATATCGCACCCGAGATAACCGTTCGGTTTCTAGTCACGAAGATAGTCTCCTCTAACACACGCAAAAGCACCGGGCTGATTTCATAACACAGCCCCCATTACAGATGAGCTGGTCGGCTATCCGGACACCACCGCCGACCCGACACTTCCATATGTGCTCGTGCATTCTCACTCGCAGAAAAATCTCGACAGAACAGGCGAGATTGCGCAACAGGCCAGAACAGAGTTCATGAGCGCTACCTACGCTCAGATACATGTATTCTTGCAAAGGATATGTGAGGATAAGGAGACCGCACGCCGCATTCCTTCGAGTTTCTTCATGGTCCTCGACGATAAGTCGAAAGAAGATCGCCACGTGGTGCTCATTTGTGAGTCCTCGCGGGCTTTGTATGAAGAGGACGAAAACCAGGAGGTCAATTACGCTAGGGCAGAAGACCAGATTTGGAGAAAGCATCGAATTCCATTTGGAAAGGGTAGCCTTCATTTACCTAGTATACATGTCAAAGCCGGGGGATGAAGGAGACGAGTTCTTGCAGAACACGACACGAGAGAATCTGGACTAGTTGTGAATACGAACGGAGACCAGGACGGCAATGGACAGATCGAACAGGACAATAATCGTGTGGGCGATCGGTGCAAGCTACAAGGTGAGGCTATTCCAGTCTGTTCCGACGGGGCCAGGTTGGTGAAAACGTCATACCCGCGCACCACATATCGTCTTGTCAAGTTGTCGCAATCGCGAGTGGAAAAATGGTCTCTGGCGTTCATGGTACTTCGTGATAAGAGCTGTGCACGAGTCATGCTCATTGCATCCCACTTCACCCCACTTTCTCCGCAAACAAACATCATCATCTCGCGCACCACCATGACTTCTCGCGGCGAACGTGAGATTCAGACCTACTTTGCGCATACGACCTATCCTCCTTGAAGCTGCGCACGTACAACTCGCCAATATGTCCAAACTTTTCCAAGACAAAGTCGTGCTGGTAACCGGAGGCGCAAGTGGCATAGGGTACATTCCGCGGACTACAGTACGTGAGCAACCCAGGGCTAATCAAGACATGCCATAGGCGCGCAACAGCGCTCAAAATGGCCACCCTCGGCGCCTCTATCGCCCTCTGCGACATCAACACGCTCGCACTCGCAGCCGTCGCATCTGAACTCTCCACACCCACACACACGCAACAAGTCGACGTTGGTAGCACCTCCCAAGTGCAATCCTTCGTACGATCCACGATCGAAAAGTTCGGTCGAATCGATCACGTCTTCAACTGCGCCGGCGTAAATCCCACATCCATCCCTCTTGAGGATACGCACGACGAGTACTGGGACAGACTGGTCAACACGAATCTCAAGGGCGTGTTCTTGGTTACGAGGGAGTGTCTGCCGCACCTGAGGCGCGGCGCGAGTATCGTCAACGTGTCGTCGATATCTGGAATTCGTGGGTCCGCGATGCAATCTGTGTACTGCACGACCAAGTTTGGGCTGATTGGCATGTCCAAGTCTCTTGCGCTGGAACTTGGGCCCAAGGGAATTCGCGTCAACTGCGTGGCACCGGGGTACATCGATACGCCGTCAAATGCGGGCATAGTGAAGGGTGGGGAGGCGATCGAGCGCATGAGATTGGGTAATGCGCTGGAAAGGCTGGGCACCCCGGAGGAGGTAGCGGATGTTGTGGCGTTCTTGTTTGGGGAGGAGAGTAGGTATGTGAACGGTGCAGTGCTGGAGATTGATGGCGCGGTTAAAATGAGTAGCACAACGAGTAAGTAGAATCTAACAGACTTAGTTGTCAGGAGATCTGTTAGGTAGCGCGATTGTGAAAGCGTCCCATTTTTATGAAGAATATTAGCATTACATCAATATTGCCTTTTTTCTAGCTTATATACTACGTATAACGAGGGTGAAAAGCGTAAAGACTGGGAAGATCTGCTGTCGGGCATTTGGCGACTAATATTCTTGCATTTGTGCGATCGGCAGCCATCACGGTCTTGTATCCTCTGGATCTGCGACGTTTCGCGAGTTCCACGCCGCAGCGTCTTGTGGAGGAGGCGGAGGAAGAGGTGGTATGACTGATATTCTTCACACAAATTTGCAACGCGGACCATTGTGGCCCACTTTCTGACATGAACGTGCTGTGACCATAATTCATACAATCTGCAACGCTTCCCTCCTCCATTCTCTCTCCCAATCCTTCCCGAACATGACGCCCGGCACCGCCATGCCTTGGCTCTCATGTACCATAGCAGGCGCGAGCAAGACCCTCGTCCCACCATACTCCTGCCGCATAAGTAGTGGCCACTTGACACCATCAAAAATCCATACCTCATCGCCCTGGCGCCCGATCGCAGTCGACGTTACAGTGAATCGCTCAGAATCTGTAGAAAACGTACGCCAGGACTGTGTGGTTTTATCTTGAAGCACTGCCCGGAGCGTCGCTATCTTGACACCTGATAGAACGAGAATGCGGTTTTCGTTGCCATGCGAGTCGGGGAGGAAGAAGGGATTGACGGCGCGCTGGAGCCCAGCTGCGCTTGTTAGTGGTAGGGCGAGGGCGGAGAGGAAGGCGTGGTGCAAGGGGTCTTCTGGGATAGTCCTGTGAAATATATCAGTAAAGGCTATGAACGTCATTTTGCAAGAGTTATTGCTGACCAGTCGGGCGCCCAAGATGGGAGTGCATCGTCATTGGGCGTAAGGCGGCGATTTGGCGCCGCCGTGCCAGCTTGCAGCAACATGTCGACGCCATGCATCTCGTTGACCAGTATCGACCGCGCAGTATCTGCTAGTAACGCATTCATACTATACGCCTTATCATAGCTTATGTGAATATCGTGATGCGTATGAGATAGGCCAAGGAAAGCACACACCTTGCCTTTCTGGTTCGAACTCTCTGTGTTGCGCGCGTGGTCAATGAGGTAAGATAGGTCGACAGACTGACTGCGCCATCTCAATTTACTGTCCATGATGTGGCTTACGAGAGCTCGTACATTACTTAGGCGTTCAACGCGAAGAGTGTGGCGCGCGAGCGAAGTGAGATCTGCTTGGGGTACCCACAGCTCTGAAAATGGCTTGCATGGGCAGCGCACCAGACACCACGGTGTTGGCCATGAGAAAAGATAAGCTAGAGAGATTGCGCAAGTGCATAGAAGTAACCCAAGGGTCGCCAGACACGTACACCATTCACTCTCATATTCGGACACGGGACATGCACAATCGCGGTATATCTTCTCGTGTTTTGTCACGCTGTTGTCAATCGAGCTAGAACAACGAGAGAAGCAGTTCGTTTCATCGTCAGGGTCCATCGGCATTTGGTATCGTTTTTGTCTTTGCGCATTAGCGAGCGTTTGATCGACACACTTGAAGCATGCAAGCAGGTGTCGGCCAATTGACATGGAGAGGAAATGAACAAGTAGAGAGTAAAGCTCGGTCCAGTCCACGTGAGTGTCGTTTAAGAAGAGGAATATCATGCGGGACGCTGTTATGAACTCTTGATAGACCCAAACTCGAGATCACCAAGAATGTTCCAAGATATCGTACATGAGATCCCAATTTTCCGCAGGTAAGTGTCTGTCGATAGGATCGGGGTCTTCAGTGCTGAGCTGCGCTCCCATCCTCGCTGCCGCACTCGCATCGTTTTACGTACCTCGCCCGGGGGTATGTTATGGAAAGATTACGTGGAAAGAGTTTTTTGGCAGTTGGCGCCACTATCTCGCTAGATGTTGGCCTATCTGGATGCTCCCTAGGTCGACTCGACCTCTTTTACGTAGGGTAATCGATCTCGTAGTCGCATTCAGCAATCCAGGAGAGGATATCTCCGACTTTCACTTGGTAATCATCATCCTTTTCTACGTTGTAGTTGTCTTCTTTACCGCGCTTCACCGTGACTGTGCCTTTAGTAACCTTTAAAATTCCATCCTTTTCGATTATTCGGATGCCAGCGCTTTGACGTTCCGGCATTGGAGGCATAGAGTAGATGTTAGCATTGGAATTTGAGTGCCATAAATCATACTATGTACCAATTCAATTAGACGAGGTGATGTTAAGGTTGACGAACGTCAGCAAGATATAGGCGGTTCGGATATGAGCCGTAGGCTGCCTACTGTAGGTCAGAAATGCGATGAAGGACCAAATTGAGAACATGGACTCACAAAGTAGTGAGAGGGATCAGATGCCGAACGTGTACTGCAGGTCTTATAGATGCCTGATATGTATTGGTAAATGATGCGGTAGGCAGCTATTGCACAGTCGTGAGCTTTTGCCATGCTGCGTCTTGGACGGACGCAATAACAGAATGCAAAGAAAGCGCTAAATCCCAAATAGAGCAAAACATTGATTTACAACTCATCGTGGTCCTCCTTGGAAGCTATATCGGCAACCTGCTCAACGAGCTTCTCGCTATTAGCCTTGGCACTCTCGGGGAGGACACCCTCGGCTTTGTGGGAGCCGTTCTCTCTGATGAACTGAGCAAGGTCCTCCATGCTGCGGGAATCAGAGCGATCAATAGGCGAGTTCTTCTTGCCTGCGGGGAAGAGCATGATGGTGGGGAAGCGTTTAATGTTACCAGGAACGTCGTTAGCAGTGGCATCGACCTTTGCGATAGTTACAAGCTTAGACAGCTCAGGCAAAGAAAAGGCCTGACCAAGCTCCTCGTAAGTAGGAGCAAATTTTTTGCAAGGGTCGCACCATGGAGCATAGAAATTGACGAGGACGTCCCGGTCGTTGTCGATGACAATTTCCTGGTAGTTCTTCGCAACGACGATGCTGACGGAGTCGTCCTGGAACTCGGGGATAGGCTCAGACTTGACGCTGGGCTCAATTTTGCCGTCAATAAAGTCCTGGACGAAGTTGCCGATGTCCTTCTCGTTAATCGTCAAGTCCTGGTCGTATAGGAACTGCTTGTCATTGTCGAAGCGCAGGATAACGAACGCGGGCCATTGATCAGGCTTAAGATTAAACCAACCGGCGTTCTGGCCGAAAGAGTTAGGGTCCGCTGTAGCGAAGTTAATAGTGCCCTTGTGCTTGAGAGCAAGGGGCTTCAGCTCCTTAGCGAACTGCTCTCGCTCCTCAGGGGTCTCGGCGAAGATGAAGGCGAGGGGAATGCCAGCGGCCACATATTCGTCATTTGTCTCAGGGCCAACCTCCCCAATAAGCGGAATAGCGGAGACCGAGGCAAACGACTTAATGACCTCAGCGTCGAATTTCTCAGTGAAGACATCCTTGCCGTCGTCAAACGACTTATACAGGACAAGGCCAGGCTGCTTTACACCCTCAGCCTTAGCAAGGGCGGCGTCATTAGTGGCGCCAAAGAGGTACGAGTCGTGCAGACTGTCAGCAACACTAGTGAAGGTCTCATTTGATACCTTGTCGTCGGCTGCGAAGTAGGCGACCAGGACGACCTTGTCGGCCGTCTTGAACTTCTCGAGGTTGCTCTTCGTAACTTGGGAGACGGCAGGCAAGGTCTGTTTAGTCATGTAAGAGATGATCGCGTCGGCCTTGCGCTGGCCCGGATAGGGCGTGACGTTGTCAAGGCCACGGAAGACCGTGAGGGTGGGGTAGCCCATAACGCCGTACTCCTGGCAGAGGTCCTGCTCCTCAGTGCAGTCTATCTTGACGACCTTGATATCCTTCTCCTTGAGGGTTGTGGCGGCTGTCTCGTACTCGGGAGCCAGCGCCGTGCAGTGGTCACACCATGGAGCGAAGACTGCACATGTTAGATTATGTGCGAGGTGCGGTAGCGGGACAAAACCTACACTCTGCGAGGACGAGATCGTTGTCCTGAACAAACTCCTTGAAGTCGTCAATCTTAAGCTGCGTCACATCCGAGGCAGCGACAACAGCGGCAAACAGCGTCGCGCAGATGGCGGGGCATTTCATACTGGCAGAACTATTTGCAGTGAAATTGAGGAGGAAGACGAGGCGAACGTGGAAGTTGAGGCTAAGGTTAGGGAAAGGTGTGTTCCTCAAATAGCAAGAAAAGGACGTTCAAGGCGGTGAGCTGGGGTTTCATCTAAAGCAACCCGTAGCGACGCCTCTGAAATACAACAGGTGTCTAATTTAGGTACTAGTTTAGCAGCTGTGATTCAGAAGCCCTGTTATGATAATCTTGCATTCGTGCATTGATTGTTGTCTTGACGCCGGTTCGGGTAGACTGGGTTACTGTGACTTCTCCCTATGCTTCAAATTTTATTTCTGAGCCACCTGCTAGAAATAACGTCGTCATCAGCTGCCGGAGTCTTCCACTGGAACTTCCAGTGGAAGTCTGCCGGGTTCTTACAGATGTGAATATTAGGGGCAGGGTCTAGGGTCCATGAGTGGAGGAGCGGATGGTGGCGGAAAGCCTATTGATTGCTGAATGCGGCCGAGAAGACAGCGTAAGCCTCGCGAGTGGATTGATCTGTAGGCTGACTGCCAGTGTCAATCTCGGTTAAGTTAGATTTGGCTTACGCGCCAGCTACACGTTAGGTACATACCACAGTACATCTGAGTAACACGCTACCATATCCACATGATCCGGGAACCCGAGGCATCCGGTGCAGGTCCGGAGTCGATCCGGAGTCGATCCGGAGTCGCTCCGGAGTCGCTCCGAAAGTTGATGAGGGGTCGTGTAGTCGGTCCTGGAACGAGGAGCTGTAACCTCGTTACACGGACCGTGCGTCCCGCATGATTCCGGATGCCAAACTGCTAGCCCACGCTCTGGGACTGCGCCACAATCCCAGACATCCCACTCAACACCAGACGTTCCCTACTCCCTAGGACTACTAGGAGACTCTGGGACAGATGGGACGATACCAGTATGTAGCAACAGGCGATGAGCCCTTCTGGCTCACACAGCTTTCCCTAGCACTGAGATCAATCTACACTACTTGGTTACCTCTCTCGCTCTTCAAGCAGTACGCCTCTTGATCACTTGAGAACCCCCTGGCCTATCCGTGCACTCATCCCCCGAGAACCAACCGTAGAGCCGGAGAGTAACAGAGATATCCTCTCCACTTCGACAGCCTTCACACGTACTCGGCGCTTCTTTCTTAACAAAGTTTACAAGGTGATAGATCCAGACTGCGAAGAGACTCGTATTTAAGATTAACACTAGCTAGCAAAAAGTAGCGCAAATCTAAATGCACGCTTCTCGCCATTGCCTAGCATCTGATAATAGGGCCTAAATTTTACTCCACCTATCCTAATCTAGTTAAAGACGTCAGACTTTAGGTAATAGAGTCCAGAATGTCTCGTACATAAAACGCTCTGGATCCACGAACTTAACTATCACCCAACACAGACTATCAAGTCAAGTCGTCTTCTACTATTACCTATATTCTCTTAATACTTGCGCAGTATTCATTCGTATGTCAGCCCTAGTATTTATCTTAACCTTACCTAATAAGCTGTAGGTCACAACATAGGCTATGCATTTTACAAAGTTCCTCCTTGTTGTCCAAGCAGCTGCGACAGCTATCGCCCTGGCACTCGAACCACGTGGACCCGGAGATATTCAACTTACCAGAGAGGAACATGAAGCCATTTTCAATGGTTCTCCATCAGACTGGACAGAAGACCCCAATTTCAAGCCAGACGTCCCTGAACAACAGCGCCCTGCAACTGCCAATGACCTCTCCCAAGCGTTACAGTAAAATAAAGCGAATGATATAAACTTCGGCACCAGATCAGTTCACGATTGTCGCGAGAGAACAGGCATTCAACGCGACGTAAAAGTCCGAGCTGATATCCCGTTTGAGACAGACGACGGCCCCAATCAAGTCCTCAGAGTGACCTGGTCAAATGCCTTAAATGTCGACCGTTTTGACCCCTTACCTATTGTCACTGTCCCCGGCAACGCTGCTTCAACGACAATTACTGCAATCCACGACTTTTGCCTCATGAACCCCACCACTTCACCTCCTACAAGATGTTTATATCAACTGCGGCAACCCTTCACCCTAGGTTTCGACCGCACAAGAATGCATAACAACATCTACCTCACCCCACCTAACCCACAGCGTCCAACCATGCACGAAGTTTGTATACGGGCCGACGAATGCCCAGCAGGAAGAGTATTCCTGGAATGTTCTACAAGGACATATGGGGCAATCCCACGAGGGGAGTAGGGTGTAGCAGCACACGTACACCTAGAGACTCCGGTTATCCTAGATACTAGAAGGCAAAGCCAAATCTCGTTGTATTTTTCCCAGAGTTAACAAAGAGGAGTTTTTATTGGTATAACCTTTTCTTCTTAAAACTATAATACAAAAAAAATTAGCAAGCAAAGCAGTATAACGTAAGCTATAAGCAAAATGCCTATATAAGTAAAATGCTTACTCTACTAACTCTTTAAGTTTCTATATATCAGATTAAATAGGTTTACGAGATAGAATCTAAATAATATATAATAACTTAATGCATTATTATTATCTCCTTAGACTGTCTTAGAGTTTTGTTCGTATTACGCTTATTACTAAGCACTACTAAGTAGTATGTTTTACTTAGCTATACGCAGTTATAGGCTAAGTTCCTACTTAATTATATAGATCTAACTCTAAGCACTTGCTATATATCTAATACTATAACGTAGTTTATAAGCAAGTAAGCCTACTAAGTAAGTAAGCTTATTCTTACTAGTATAGCAACAGCGCAGTAACTGCAATTAACTATAATATATAGTAATTTATTATATAGTATAAGAATCTATTCTTTAGATGCATCGCTATTATCTATATCCTCTATTTCTATCTTATAAGTATAGGCGTTATATCTAGTCTTACTATAAGTGCTATAGCGCTTAGTTAAGCATACTCTCTTTAACGTGCTCCTACTAGTATTATAACTGCTACTTACTTTAGAAGTAAGTAATTCTATTATCTTACTAACTATTAAAGTCTTCTCTATCTATATATAGCGCTACTTATAACTTTAGCACTTTATTACTACTTTAACTATATCTTAAAAGTAGCTTATTTCTTTCTATATTAATATCTAATTATATGCTATCTACTAAGCGCCTTTACTTAGCTACTTAATTTACTTATTAAGAGAACTTACTAGAGACTCTTAATAGTTTTTTATATAATTTTAAATAAGTATACTCTACGCCTCTATCTTATAGGCGTTATATAGTATCTTTACTTTCTATATATTTATCTAGTATAGTAACTTAACTAGTATCTACTACTAACTATATTAAGCTTTAATAATATAGCTTCTAGATTATATAAGACTAGCTTAGTGCCTCTAAAGCCTACTTATATATTATTCTTTAAAATAGTAAGCTTAAAAGTAGTCTTAAAGGCTAGTAGAAAGATCTTCTTACTAATATAGTAGGTAGAGTTATATGCTAAGGCTAAGATTACGTTGTTATACTTATACTTTAATAGTAAGAAGTAGATAATATTAAGTAGCTATAATAGGTGTAATAAGTATAGAGATATGCAGAGAAAGATAATATTCTTCTCTTTATAGAGATCTTAGAATTCTCTAGAGATATAGCTTTTATAGCTATTAACTATAAGTAATCTAAACTTACTTATACTATATAGCTTTAAATGCTTATTAAAGTGCTCTAGCTAGATAAGCGCTAGCTAATTATTTATCTAGCTATTAGAGCTTACTTTAAGAATCTAATTAGATAGTAGATTCTTAAACTAGATATTAATAAGAACCTTAATCTATAAAGATAACAAAGAGTAGTATCTAGTAACCTAACGCGCATACGCCTTAGATAATAGAAACTTACTTCTAGTTATCTAGCTATATTCTCTTCTACTTACTATATTCTTCTAAGCTTATAATAACTAGCTATAATAATATCTTATCTATTATAAACCTAGTCTTATTAAAGTTAAATATATTATTATCTAAGATACTATATTTCTCTTAAGTTATCTTTACTAGCCTAAACTAGCTCTAGATAGCTACTAGGTTCTACCTAATATAAGATAAAGTTTTAGGTCTAATTTTCGCTGAAACTTACTTAGTATTAGAGTTTTTTACTTTTTATAAGAAAATTCTTATCTCTAAAATCTATTCTTAATAAGTAAAAGAATAAGAGTTAGAATAGAGCTTATTCTTTAAGAAACTCTAAATTCTTAAGAGCTTATTCTTTTAAATCTAAATTTATAAAGAATAAGACTTTATATAAGAGCTAATTTTAATATAACTTAAGCTAAAGGTATAGTAGAGTTAGTACTATTAATTATACTATTTAGAATTTTTATATAATATTAGCGCGTTATAATGCACGTTAAGATATATATTAATATTAGTATTCTTTAGAGTTATAAAAACAAAGCTATATAGACTACTAACCTAGAGTTATAAACTCTAATATTAGAGTTTCTATGCCTAATCTAAGCGTTAGAGTAACTCTAATAGCTAGGCTAAGTATAATAATACTATAATACTGCGTGCTGCAAGTATATAATATCTAGTAACTCTAGATACTATAGTAGGGTGACAAAAAAAAAGAGTTACTTAAAAAGTTATAGTTTTAAATTAGCTATAACTTAACGATAAGTAGAGCTATAACTATAATTTTAGCAGCGTTTTAAAGAGAAAAACTTACTCTGTTTTATAAAAATAAAAAGTAGGGTAGTAGACCAGCTGACTAAGCCAAAAAACCTAAGTAAAGTAGAGGTATTTTTTTTTCTAGTTTTTAACTAGCTATATCTTTTTTTTGAACCTAGAAAAAACCTTGCAATTTTTACTAGTGCTAAAGAGGCTAGTAAAGATTACGTAAGCAAATTTTTAGATATAGTCTCTTAACTAAGTATTTAAATAATTAGAGTTATATAAAAAAGGCACTAGATTATATAAGCTAAATTAGCTAAGCTGCTTAGTAATCTTTTTAGTATCTTTTTATAAAACTAATCCTACTCTTTAATTTTCTCTCTCTCTCTTATACTCTTTTTTCTATTGCAAAAATACTCTTAAAATTTAAATACAAAGTAGCTCTTCTAAAATAAGCTAAAGTCTCTAATAAAGATATTGCTACTACTCTAAATAAATCTATTAAATTAATTAAAAACGCTGCTAGCTAAATTAGGCAAAAGACTAGCCTAGAAGCTTCTATAATTAAGAGCAAAAAAGAATAAAAAAGTACTCTTAGATTAAGAAAGAAAAGAGCTATTAAAAGAGATATTATAAGGAGTTCTAAGAAGTAAAATAGTCGTTTACTATTAGAAAATAATATTTCTATTAGTAAGCGAACGTTACAGCGTTATTTTAAAGAGAAGAGAATTACTATTAACGTTGCTTTAAAAAAAGCCTATATTAATAGCAAAAATGCTACTTTAAGGCTAAAATATGCTAAGACTTAGCTTAAGAATATTAAATATATAAACCTAAGAAAGGTTATATTTAGTAATAAGTCAGCAATCTAACAAGAGCATAGTTCTAGGCAGGAATATTATTGAAAATTAAGCAATATAAGAGCTGGGAAGAAAATAGTCTCTGTAGCTAATAGAAGTAAGTTTAAAAAAATTCCTAATAGGCTATTTTATGCAGTTTTTTACGTAGAATCTTTCTAGAATTTTAGTTTTTTAGTAGCTAGCTTACTAATTAATCTATAGGCTGAGATCTAACTCTATCTTTAATAGGTAAAAGAACAAGAGTTAGAATAGAGCTTATTCTTTAAGAAACTCTAAATTCTTAAGAGCTTATTCTTTTAAATCTAAATTTTTAAAGAATAAGACTCTGCATAAGAGCTAATTTTAATATAACTTAAGCTAAAGATATAGCAGAGTTAGCGCTATTAATCGCACTATTTAGAATTTTTATGCAATATTAGCGTATTATAATATATATTAAGATATATATTAATATTAGTATTTCTTAGAGTTGCAAAAATAAAGCTATATAAACTACTAACCTAGAGTTACAAACTCTAATATTAGAGTTTCTACGCCTAATCTAAGCGTTAAAGTAACTCTAATAGCTAAGCTAAGTATAATAATACTATAATACTGCGTGCTATAAGCATGCAGCGTCTAGTAACTCTAGATACTAATATTTAGAAAGAGTACTATAACTTATAGGTAGTATAAATTTATTACTTGCTATAAAGCTCTATAGATAAAGTTTATAGATATTTATAATAGAATAATTTAATAGTATTTTTAAGTATTTGCTACTATACTACATAGCTATATATAAGAGCTATGCGTAGAGCATTATCTAGTTATAGCTAGCAGCTTACTTAAATACTAAGCACTAAGAAATAGTCTCTAATATATAGAAAGCTATTATTTACGCTATATAGAATAAGGCTTTGCTATAGCTATAGGTATTTAATAAAGATAATATTATATTCTCTAGTATAGTAACTAAGCTACTGCTATACTTACTTATATATACTAATAGACTACAGTATAGAGAGTATAGCTGCATTTATTGCTACGTAAAGAGAATAGAAGCTTACTACTATAATAACTATATATAGAAGAGTAGATAACGTAATAGTAGAGAAAAAAGTATAGCTATTATATAGATAGTTAGCGTTAAGTGCTAGAAGTACTAGAATACTAGTTACTTAGGCTAACTATTTAAAGTAGGTATAATAGTTAAAGTAGATTCTATAGCTAGCAGTCTAGAAGTAGATATTAGTTTTACTATGCAAGTAGTATTATTCTAGGCTATAACTAATACTAGAGCTAGGCAGAGAGCGCAGAATATAGTAATTAAAGCTAATATAAATTGCTATAAGTTCTAAGCATAGTTAAACTAAATAGAATAAGCGTGCTACTTATAAGGCTTATAGTAAGACTAGCTGCTAGAAATAATATAAAAGCTAATACCTAAAGAGCGTACTTTATCTATTATATATTAGGCTGCAAAGATAGTATTATAGCATATATAGCAAGTATCTACATTTAGCATAGTAAGTATACTTACTATAATATATATTAACTAATATAAATTTAGTAATATATTATATAAGAAGCTATTTAATGCTAGCTAAATAGATAGCACTATACTAAAGTATAGTAATATATAAGTCTAGATTATTACGTATATATAGCGTATATATGCATTACTTATAGTCTAGCCTAAGCGTAGCAAAAATAATAATAATAATAATAGCAGATAGCTACTATACTGCATAACTATATAGTAG